GGTTTTGCCTGAGCAACCCAAAGGAACAAACACTGAGCAGATATGAGAGCATATCAGAGTAACACAGGATTCCTTGGAGATGGACAAAACATATATAATTTTTTTTTGGTAAAGAGAATGCAATGAGACCAAGCTAATATCAGCATTTGTAACATCTCAGAAAACTGAAAAAGAGAATACCTCATTTTTGTTTTGTAATATATGCAATATAAAACGGGGAACAATTCTGGTGTTACAAAAAAAAAAATGCATGTTTTAGTGAGCCACCAACATTGCGTCACACTGGTCATTATTAACATTATTTATATATTGCCAACAAATGCCGCAGCACTTTACAATGGGTGGACTAACAAACATGTAATTCTTCTTCTTTTTATATAGTGCCAACAAATGCCGCAGTGCTTTACAATGGGTGGACTAACAAACATGTAATTGTAACCAGACAAGTTAGACGCACAGTAACAGAGGGGTTGACGGTCCTGCTCAATGAGCTTACATGCTAGAGGAGTGGGGTAAACTAACACAAAAGGCTAGGGAAGTATTAGAAAGGTAGATTGATAGAATAGTATTCACTGAAGACTTAGTGTGATTTTTGTTTGTTGCAGGAGATATTAAAAATTGGGAGCTATTAACAGTTTAATTGATTTGATACGCTTTTGTGAAGAAGTGAATTTTTATTGATTTTTTTGAAGGAGTGGAGACTGGGTGAGTGTCTAACGGAGAAGGTAAGGGAGTTCCAGAGGATCGGAGCAGCCCTAGAGAAGCCTTGAAGGCAAGTATCAGAGGTAGGAGCATGAACAAAGGATAGACATACGACTTCAGCAAAGCGTATATAATATTGTACCATAAAATGCTTATTATATACTTAAAAGATCTATAAAAATAAAACCTAAACTAACAAGAACACAAAAAACATTTAAGGAATGGTTGTTCCTGGTCACATTGTACTTAGAGTCAACCAACACCCACACTTGGACTAGTAGTATAGCGAGGAGGTCTGGCCAGCTCAACAGTGCCAAAAAGATCCATTACTCTAGGCCCAAGCTTTAGCGCCCAGTATTCACCGACCTTCCTACTTCCGTGATTGTGTAGCTTTCCCAAGAGCATCCCAAGCAACTGAAATCCCTCCGAGGTTGTGAACGGTGCTTAGGGTCAACACAAATCTAGTTTCTTGCCAAGAGGTATCACCGCCTGCCGCCACTCAGTTGAGGTGAGTTGGAAACTGTGTGGGTGTAAGTGTTGCCAAAAGCTCTTGCAGATGGTGTCAAATGCCATATTAAAGTGTGCTTCCCACCTCTGCAATTTGCCTTCTATGGCTTGTTACGAAGTACAAAGGAAGGAGGCCATCTTAGATTGCCACATGTCCGAGTCTCGATGAATGTGTGGATCAAAGGTCAGATCATCAGCCGTTTCTTCCATCCACAAGGTCCTCCAGACGGTCTAGCAAATGCTACTCAGCTGGACATTATCCCAGTCCAATCCTCTGACCAAAAGGCACTTGAGGCTTATTCAATGTGGGCACGGGCGGCTGAGGTCAGTTTAGTAACTGGATGGCAATAATTAAAGCTGAATTAGCGATTTTGCTCAAGAGCTACCATGAGATGCATCTATCTCGGCAGTTTGGCCCCGCTCCCCCAAAACAACATTTATAATAATGGATCAGCATTTTGCAAGAATGGGTAATCACTGTCTTTGTGAGCATCAGCAGTTTGTACGTATAGGGCACACAGTCCGTAACATATCTGATAATTTTATGTTTAAAAAAAAAAAAGCCATCATTTTACATAATAATAAAGTTTAAAAATGAAAGTACACGCTGCTAAGTTGTTTATGTAACCACCTTCAGAAGCTTCTTAAGCTAGCATGTCGTAAGAGTTTAGGGATGGCCAAAGGCAATTCTGTGCATATTCCATGAACAAAGGGGTCATTTATCAACAGATTGTTCAGAATACACTCAGCCAAAGAATAACTGGCTAAATCAACACCTGGCTTCTGCAGGTCTTCATAAGACAGATGCACGTCACTGGCTATTACCGGATGCTCAGCATCCAGCGGGGACCCGGGTACGAGGACAAACAATTGCAAAACAGTTTGCCTCATTAGAGGAGAATGGGCATTATCCTGGCATCATAAGCACTTTGGCAGGAAAAGCAGATGTAACCCTTGAAGACTATGTTGCCTCTTCTCTATATCTGTGATTTTTTACAAATTTTGACACAGACCCAAAATACATTGTATTAGCTCGATGATCCATTTTAAAAATACGACAAATTAAAAATCTTTCTACAGACTCTTTGCAATGTTTAAAAGGTCTGCACTGTGACAGGTAAACTACATTAAACCGTCTATTAAGATAGCCTTATGAATATAATGCTAATGTTTAATCTATAGAGGACACACTGACAAAGCATTGGATACCAACCCAGGGAATATATGAAAAAATAAATAAAATAAAAACAGGTAAAATAAAATAAATATAGTTTAGATTGCTATTGAGCAATTTTGAAGGAACATTAGTTTTTGTTTAGCCAATCATAACACTACCCAGAAAACCAAACTAGAAAAAAAGGACAAAACGAATTCAGTTTACCCAGAAGCTGTTTGCAATAAGGAAACCAATGAATGATTTGAAACATTACTCTGGCACAGGGGTAGGCAACCTACGTCTCTAGTGCCATGCATGGCACTCGAGGTGTCTTTGCACGGCCCTCAAGGCTGCTAGAGCCAAACGCACTCTGGCCTATCAGGAGTCCCAGTAAAACTTCAGATATTTGCTAATACGAAGAGGTGGTGAAGGACAATCCTCAATTTATGCATTGCAGCACATAGAGGAACTGATCTCAGATCACTGTCTCCCAGCACTTGTGAATGGGAATCCACACTTTAATAGGGCAGCCCTCGACAGCTATCGCAGCTCCTGTCCTTGACCTGTACCTGGCCAGCCTGGTCCCCACTGGAACCCACCCACACTGCTAGATATACACAGAAATGGAGAATAACCCTCCCCTCATACAAATAATATGAACAGCCCACAAACAAACATACACAGAATCCGCAAAAAACCCAACACCACTAACAATACACATACATGCACACAACCCCACATGCAGCCTCTCACATGCAATACCCCAAACAGCCCCCACACACTACCAAACACACAATGTGACATATCCATCCACACACAATTCCACAAGCAGCTCTCATACACAGCCCACATTCATATGTATCATACACGATACCATAAACTACTAATGAACATATACAATATAATCGCTCATATACGCACAAATACAACGATACAAAGCAATTACAGTAAAAATAACAAGCAGAATACAGCAGCATACACAACTCAATTGAAAGAAATTGGATCGGCACGCTACGGGACATCACAATCCTATATCGGCACAGTGCTGCTAAAAGGTTGCCTACCCCTGCTCTAGCAGTTTAAGACTATAGCGAAAAAGAACAGAGGATCTTTGTTACAGTTTAACTTTTTCTTTATTTAACAGGCTGCTCTCCATTCATAGGAAAGCAAGAAATATCTCTGGAGCACACACAGAGCAGACCGTACTTACTGGCGTTCCTGCTGAAATCACATCTGTTGATATATGAATTACTGACAGGTGTGTACAGGATCATGAGATAGATATCCATCTTACAGTATCATGGTTCTGCACACACTTATCAAGGTGCAGTCTCCAGCCTCAGCAAAATACAAAGGAGAATACTCACTGGAATTTCAATCACCTTTATTCACAATATATACTAAAGGGGATTCTTATATTTTAATTGCAATAGGGGAATTGCAACCATGAAACATTTGAAAATGTCTGTCTCCTAGCAGTTAGTTTTGTTTTTGTTGTGTAAATGTTCATGGCTGAGTAGTATTTATTCTGAAATCATATTGTTTTTGTTTTTTTTTGGTTCACTTCCCCAGTTTCATCTATTTGCTATTCAGATTTTTGTATTTTTTTTACATTGCAAAAATTCAGCCACCCAAAAAATTAGGTCATCAATAAGTGAAGTTTTAGTGCTGGAAGATGAAAATCAATACTGCCAAGCAAATGAATGACTTCCAACATTGAGGTATTCACAAAGCAAACAAAAGGCAATCTAGACACCATAACCACTACATGTATGTGTAGTGGTTATGGTGTCATTAATTTGCAGACATCCCCCATGTTCGCTCAAACCGTTTGAACACAGCTTGGTGTCCCAGACCCCTGTAAATCAGGATTCTACTTCTGTATTGTCAACAAAGGTAGCAGGATATAAGTAATATATATTTGCAAATTGCTTATAACACTACAGAGATGTTCGATCAGTTCTTTCTACAAGAAAAAAAAACCCGTTCATGAACAGCAATTTTGAAAAGCACCCCAATTAGATATATTGCATCTTGGTGACTCATGTTTTAATTGTAAAACAAACAAAGTGGCCACTTTTACAAAAGTAATGTGATATGTAGCTGTATTGGATAATTTCATGACATTTACAAGAGGGATCTACAGCCACAGTAAAATTCTTTACTGTGGCAAGTCAGATATCCAAGGAATGCACTGTACTTCTTGAAACCACTAGTAACCCTATAATACCACATAGGGAACCAGTTCTGGATCCTGAGCAGTGGGTTTAAAACTACTTTTGAAGACGCTGTTGAAAGCAATACTAAAACAAAGAAAAAGAAAATGGATTAAGAAAAAAACAGTGGTCACTATAACTTCTTTGGAATTAAAAGTTATGGTGCAACTAAGTCCATAGTGCCAACCTACAATTAGGGGTCAATCCTATTAGGAACTGTTTGACCCAAGTCTTTTCTCCAGTGCTTGTTAGCTCTGCCCAACCAGATGCCTCGGAGAACAGTGTTTTCAGTGCACCCACCCTCCCCCCTCACTTAAACCTGCCGTCACTAAATGCCATTTCCCCCTACATAGTGTAAAAATGAACTATAGAAGTATCTTTATTGATGTTTTATAAGAATTTCTCCTCTTTCTCTGATTGCATGTCACTTGCCCTGCTTCCTGTATTTCAGCCAGACGGTCCACCAATGGGCATGCTCCAGTGGTTCTCTGAGAAATTGTAAGGACACAACCAAAATGCCTGCGCCCAAGAAGTACTCAACCTAAGTTACACTACAAATGCAGTACTCAAACACTAGAACTTACATACCACATCACACACTAGGTATGATATAGTGTCATAAGATCATAAACAGACTCAAATACCTATAGAGCTTTGTGTTGGAGATATAAATTGATTGATGTAGATCTCTCTAACAACCTCCCTAAAAATGGTTAGGCTCTTCCATGCTAATCAACCTGCCGACCCACTGTTAATCCCTTCCCTCCAGCCAAATCTCTCTACCCACTATTATCTTCATTTAATGAAAACTAAAGGTATATAACATATTTTAGAAGAAGAAAAAAAAAATTTATATGCAGCGGTGCAGACATATCAAATGGGTTCTGTGCATTTGCATGATAATTACTGAACACTGGAAGTCAGCCACCATGAAAAATAACTGAAGATCAAGGCCCTTTGTATGCGCTTAAGGAGAACAGGCACTACCCTTTCTGGATCTTTGCATTTTCCTTAGTGGTGGGCGTTATCTATTCCTTTACCCACTTTTTTATGAGCGTATTTTTCCTGGAAATATATTTGTGTTTTATGATATTGTTTTCACTCTAAAAGACCTGTCCTTAACTCGTTCTGGTTGTTCTGTCTTGTTCTACTTAGCCTGTATTTTGTAACTCAATTTTCCAACAAAACGCAGAAAATAAAAAGCCAAAACAAACCCACAACTTTTTTTTTTTTAACTTTAAATACATGAACTCACATTAGGCACAGTTGCTCAAAAATGCAAGAAAAATAAAAGACATACACATTTTATTCTGAATATTTAACTTCTATGTGGCTTTTAATGTTACTTTATTAAAATACAAGATATCTGGAAGGGAAAATAACCTAAGATCAGTACAATAATTTTAATATACAAATTCAAAAGCTGCAATAAATTTTCCACACGGAATAATGCAGCTTCTGTCAAACTATTTCTCTTTTTCTTCGTATTTATATATATTCACTTTAAAACATCTGATGAAGGACAATTCCTTTGCTCCCACGCACAACACTAGGCATACACAGTCAGTCCATAATTTTGCTGCTGAACAGTTCTTCTCCTATGATAAAATAAAAGAACAAACCATAGTAACAACAAGCGAGCTTTCCTCTATTGAATGTGTTTGCAGATCAAAAACATGTACAAAAAAAAAAAAAAAAAAGTTTGTTAACTTGTTTTCCCTTGAATATTTACACCATAAGAATAGATTCTGAATTAAAGTTGGCAGGTCAATTATCAAGATAAAAAAAAAAAAAAAAAGTTAAATTAGCCAACTATATCGATCAGCCATAATGTAGTCCTCGTGTTGATGAACATATTTCCATTACTCTCCCCACTCCCCCAAAACCTTGCTACAAATGCCATAAATCTCAGCTAAAGTTGGGCTTGCAGAAGATTATGGCTATTGTGGTTGCATAACGGCGGAAAAACACACCCCTCATGAAGAACATTGGCCTACATCTTACGGTAGATGACCAAGGGTTGTACTGCTACTACCCTATTTTAATTCCTGGGACAAAAATCGCATGAGCGTTAGCAATTTCACTGCTTAAGTTCAGTTTATTCCCTGAGGAAGCGACTTGTGTGATCCCACAGCGCAACACTCAAAGCATTGTGAATTGATTTGATGTCCTGAGGAGCAGTGCAATGAGTTACTATAGTGCAGAGCCCATGATGCACTTGTTACTCACATTCAAACATCCTTTACGAATGTAGATACACTCAGTAACAATTTTGCCAATTACCTTACTAATACAGTGTGTAAAATTACATAGCTTTAACCAATCCTGTCGATACCCTGCTGACCTTTGTTATTTATATCTGATTTGTTGACTATCCCATATGATTATTCTAAACAAAAGATAGTTATGTAGGGTTGTCCAATGGCACCACAGTTGATATACTGCCCACTGAAAGATTAAGAAAAAATCATGGACATGAAGAAACAATTACTTTTCTTCTAAAGAATGTTCAGAAACAACCAACTCAAAACTGTAATTTTGTAAAAAAACAAAAAAAAAAAAAAACCTCCTCACATTTTCATGCCCATAAAAATGGGCCCTAGCCTTATGATAATGACTAATCCATAAATTTAGCTCTGCTTGGGTGGAATGAAATGGAAGGTTATTGTAACACTGCACTACCCAGTTCGTTTACAGAACGCAAACCTAGAACTCCACAGTAGTATGTTTGAATTACCATACTGGACAACTAGAATATTTCAAAAATTTAATGTCACAGTGTTGCTGCCCAAAGCCATCATATACTGCTAAAGTGAGCTTTGTGTCTGAAGAGGACAATACTTTCCAGCTAATATAAACCCTTAACAGACCAGTACAGAATTGTAAGATCTTTGCCTGACAAGATTAATAAAGCAATAGACATGTTTGATAATTTAAAAAAAAAAAAAAAAAATAGAAATAAACAAAAACAAGGCAAGATGCAGCATTACAGCAGCAAAGTGCTTAAAAATAATAGTTTTCAATACAGAACACACAGTGGAAGAGACCTCAGAGGAAATAAGGAGTGGTGGTTCTGGGAGGAATAACACGCTCTGAATCAGGAACAGCCCGAAAGAGTTTTGGCTCTCGAGTATTCACATCCTTGAACACCATAATAGAGGCAATGTTTCCACAGCGGTAACAGTAGTTTGGGGCCGACCAGACTGTCACAAGCTTCTCATCAAACATGAATTTGTAACCTTCATGGACAAGTTGATGAGCTCGGCAAATAAGCTTCAGATTATTGATGTGGACGAACTACAGATGGAAATAAATAAAAGTCAATGCGGATTTGTGGTCAGATATAAAATTGCAAAAATACAGATCAAGTGCAATCCTAGATGTATGGCTCATGTCTACTTACATGGATAAAAATAAAAACCATCAGTGAATATGACGTTACAGTATTCAGGTTAGTTATTGTAAATGTTAATTTTAATCTTTAACAAAGGTTACAATAATATTGCCACCTGTATAAAACAAACATGCATTTTTTTTTTTAGTGCTGCAGTGGTAGCTTTGGTAATATAATTTTTTTTTTTTTTTTTAAAGTGCTAAATCCTAGTTAGTATCCCTTCTACGGATTCAACATATAAAAAGGGAGTTCCCCCTTGTTTTCCTGGCTCTATAAGGTCTTTATGTCCCCCCCCCACCCTCAGGGTCCCACTCCCACTGGGCTGAACTTGTTAAATTCTTACCTTTCTCCAGCGCTGGGGACTCTCCTCCCTCTTCCGTCGTCATCCGCTGAATGCGCATGCACGGCAAGAGCCGCGCGAGCAGTCAGTCCATAGGAAAGCATTTCTCAATGCTTTCCTATGGACGTTGGCGTCTTACTGTGAAAATCAGTGAGAAGCACCTCTAGCAACTGTCAGTGAGACAGCCACTAGAGGCTGGATTAACCCTAATGTAAACATAGCAGTTTCTCTGAAACTGCTATGTTTACAGCAGGCAGGGTTAACCCTGGATGGACCTGGCATCCAGACCACTTCATTAAGCTGAAGTGGTCTGGATGCCTATAGTGGTCCTTTAAGGAATCTCAACCAGATTCAGGTAAGTAAAACTCACCTTTGCCTGCACCCCCCCCTGCCCCCCGCCCCAACTATCAGACACCCACAGGCAATGTCCCTGTCGAGGGTGTTTGCAAATTATGCAAAGTCCCTAGATGGTGACAGCTCCGCTTTAAAGATGTATACGGTTGTGAAAATTCTTAAATCAAAAGTCAGCATTTATGTGAATTTAAGTATACACTGATCAGGCTTTAACATAAGCCACTGAAGTCTTCTTCATTTCAAACTGGAAAATTACCTCATTGGTGACTTTGGCTCCAAATAACCAGCCAGCTCCTCTAGGACTGATAGCCCAAGTATCCACATCCTCCGGATCGGACCATACAAGATCACAAAATGCTCCTTTGTGGGGAATTTCTTGGTTTCGTTCAATGGTCCGGATCTGATCTAGTGTCTTTATGTCTGGAGAGAGTCCTCCATGCACACATAGTATCTGCTCATCTATCAGCTAAATTGAGAGGAAATAAAACAAAGTAGTCCACGAGACACTATGATGCACTGCAAAAGTCAAGGGAAAACTCTAGGGAAAACCAGCAGTACGTTAGTCAATTAGAACTGCAGAAAGCAACATTTCACTGCGGTTTGCAGTTATACGTGCAAATAAGTAAAATAAAATATAAAAAATTACAAAATTAAAGCATCAACACAAAAATGCTTTCTTTCGCTAGAGGTTTAACATCTACGAGGTCACTGCCATTAAAATTTGTTTTTTTTAACCAGTAACAGTGGATACATGTCCATACATTTTCTTCATGTATTCCCCAATAAAAACCCAGATGAAATATTTTTAGATGAGAATTGTGGATAAACTTTTAAAATGTATTCTTTTCTAATATATTAAATTCTTAAATATATACATTGTAACTGCTGGTACCCCCATATACCACTATTAGAAAAAAAAAAAAAAAACATAGAATTTGACGGCAGATAAGAACCATTCGGCCCATATAGTCTGCCCAATTTTCTAAATACTTTCATTAGTCCCTAGCCTTATCTTATAGTTAGGATAGCCTTATGCCTATCCCACGCATGCTTAAACTCCTTTACTGTGTTAACCTCTACCACTTCAGCTGGAAGGCTATTCCATGCATCCACTACCCTCTCAGTAAAGTAATACTTCCTGATATTATTTTTAAACCTTTGTCCCTCTAATTTAAGACTATGTGGTAGTTTTTCTTCTTTTAAAAATAGTCTCCTCCTTGACTGTGTTGATTCCCTTTATTTATTTAAATGTTTCTATCATATCCCCCCTGTCTCGTCTTTCCTCCAAGCTATACATGTTAAGATCCTTTAACCTTTCCTGGTAAGTTTTATCCCGCAATCCATGAACCAGTTTAGTAGCCCTTCTCTGAACCCTCTCTAAGGTATCAATATCCTTCTGAAGATACGGTCTCCAGTACAATGTACAATACTCCAAGTGAGGTCTCACCCGTGTGCTGTACAATGGCATGAGCACTTCCCTCTTTCTACTGCTAATACCTCTCCCTATACAACCAAGCATTCTGCTAGCATTTCACGCTGCTCTATTACATTGTCTGCCTACCTTTAACTCATCAGAAATAATCACCCCTAAATCCTTTATACCTGCAATTAAATACATACACACACATATAAAAATTAAATCTAAATATTAAAAATCTATCTAAAGTTTATCCAAATGTATTAAACAAGACCATAATTCACTATGTGTGTACAATTGTTTTAATGCATTACTTACAGCTGCTACAGTTAGCATATCAAACACCTTGGTACAGTACCGCCATGCATTGGCATTTCCATATTTTGTTTGGCACTCATCTAAAATTACAGAAAAAATAAATCAATCATGATATATATGTATGTGTGTCTAAAAATAAAACTTGCAATACACAAAATGATATAAAGTGGTTGAAATAGAACTTCTTACCATAGAATCCATACACCTGTGTAATTTGTCTGCTCTCATGATTTCCTCTCAGCAATGTAATGCGGTCAGGCCACTTTGCTTTCAGGGCAAGAAGATAGGTAAACGTCTCTAGACTGTAATACCCTCGGTCTACAAAGTCTCCCTGAAAAGCACCACAAAAAAAAAAAAAAAATGTATTAAATATAAAGAAATGAAAAATCACTTTATTAGTAGACTGGACAAATTCAACTAAGAGAAGTAATTTTGCTAAAGCAATTATAGAGAGGAATACCTGTGGACACAAACAAATACGCCTGCAGTTCCCAGCTACCAAATACCGCAAGCATTGTATTTGTTTTGCAATTTGAAGAATAAATGAATAATGCTTCTTCACAATTTTATAGAGAAAAAAATAATACGACCAGTAAAACAATAGTGCCAACATAGAAAAGTAGTCTGTTAAATCACAGATTACATCTAAAAAACAAAAAGGCCTCATGTTACTTTTTGCAAAGCAGTTTAGTTTAAGTAATTCCACTCCAGACAGTGTCATTACTACTGAGATAGTAACTTGAAGTGAAGCTTTTAAATGAAAATATATTATATATATATATATATATATATATATATATATATATATATATATATATATATATATATATATATATACACACACACACACACACACACACACACACACACACACATATATATATACACACACACACACACACATACATATACATACACACACACACAGGATTACATATTGTTTGCATGAGAATGATGCAAGTAATTTTAGTTTGTATTGGTCCTGGTCAAACTTCTTTTTTTTTTTTGCCCACCTAAACTGAAGCCTGGTTTATTTGACATGCTTGCTCTACACCAGTGATGGCTAACCTTGACCCCATAAATTGTTTCTGTACTACTTTTCCCGTAATGCTCAGCTAGCTTTTAGACTCTAAAAGCTAGCTGAGCATCAAGGGAAATGTAGTCCAGAAACAATTTATGGGGTCAAGGTTAGCCATCACTGCTCTACACCTTACACAGCAGACATATGTCAACATACCATAAATATGTAGTTTGTGTCAGGGACTTGTCCTCCAGTCCTGAAGAGCTCGCATAGATCATAAAACTAGAATACAAACAGTTAGTGATTGGGCTGCATAAATAAATATATATTGAAAACAGTAGGTAATTTGAAAACTACAACCACATTTCTGCAGGTCCCTTCATCCCTCTTTTCACACCTTTCCTCTGTGACCGTTTATCTACAGATCTCTGTATCAAACAACTCATTTTTCAATATTTTACATAACACAAATTATTGCTGCAACGGATCACAAATACAGTATTATGAAGCAAATCTAAAGTCACTTAGACTGCTTGACTTTGGGTGGGTACAGAGGTCCTGTCATTTAAACACTGCAGTGTAAAACAACGGTTTACGAGAAAAGTAGTGTGTGTGTATAAAGTGACAGTCTTCCCGACTGCTAGAACAATGGATAAAGATAACTGAATGCTTCTTCAAGAGCATAGGCTGTAGCTAGCATTATGGGTAATCTAACATAAGTTTGAAAGAAATTGGAGCATCTTGAACAGGTGATGTTCAATGGGGTAAATTCGATACTTGCGACAATTCACACAAAATGGAAAGGAAAATATTTCTACTTACCTGTCCATGTATGTCTCCACAAACTGTAACTGGCGTGGACACTGGCTGTACATTTGATTCTTCTAGCAGCAGATCACACACATAGTCACATAGTCTCTATACATTTATAAAAAGAGATTAACAAATTAATGATTACAGAAACATGATTTAACTCAACTTTTTATATATTGCATAGTACAAGGTTCTAAGGTTTTAAACACAAAAAAATAAATAAATAAAAAAAACCACACACTTCAAGCACCAAAACAAATTTTATCTGAATTAAGGTATTACGGTTTACCAGCAGGGTTTAAATTGTTCATTAACAGTCGCCATGCTTCCCAGCTTCTGTCTGAGTCTGAGGCTTCAATCAGGAAGCTTTGGACATGGATGCCATTAATCATCTGAGAGAGTTAGCCAACACTCTCAGCCCATCAGTTTCATCCCATTCACAAAATGAATTTCCCTCAGTATTATGAATTAGGTGCCAAATATCAGTGGTGCTACTGTTCAGGGCTTACAAACTGAAGCCTTGCAATCAAACTGAAGTTTGGGGGCAGAGTTGACAAGCCCTGGACCGAAGACTTTGTGTTTAATCACTCATTACTGAAGGTAGGGACATACTGGTACCATGGCAACTTTATTCCCACAAATTTATGGTGTCTGGTGTGTCCCTTCATTGCGGTGTTATAGCTTTATAAAGAAATGAGCTTTGAAAATTGGAATACATTTCAAAATAGCATACTTAAGGAAAATTATAATAGGGACGTTCAACAACGTATAAGCAGATGCAAAGAACGAGATTTATTACCCTAGCAAACATACAGCAAAGGCCCTCAGCCTAATAAGGAGCAATGATGTGCACTCAATAGTACAGAGATAGATATATATATATTAAAAAAAATTGCTTTATTAAATCAAAACTACATATAAAATATAGGGGGCAACAAAAGTGGTCTCTTCCTCAGGGACCATCTACATCTGAGGTAGTGCCTCAATCACAAAACAGGTTAGGATTCTTTTGGTGCGTGTGTGCACACATATTTTACATGTAGTTTGATTTATAAAAGCAACTGTTATTTTACCTACGCAAGTGAGTCCACATCATTATTCCAGATTGGTCCCTGAAATTACCAAGGTCTTTGCTATGCTTCTGGTTGGTGAAGAAATTCCTGATGAGGAATCTTGTGTCAAGACAAAAAAAATAAAATAAAAAATATATAACTAAAAATAAAATGGAAATATAAAACAAAGGCGGACACGGTCAGAATAGTTAAAAGTTGTTTATTAAGTGTTCTTGCATAGCAAGACTACTTAATGTTATCTCACATATATTATTATTTTTATTATAGCCAAACTTACCACCCTAACTCCTCCCACAGTTTTTACACTACATAGACAGTAATATACCGAAACGTGCAGATTGTTCCCAATTGGATTGCTATTACTTTGTGGAACATTTTGCCGAATGGTTCACGGAATATCGTCGTTCTTGTGGCGAAATTGGTCCCATAGGAATGAATGGCAAAATGTTCAAAACTAGAGTGGGAGCTGGCAAAAGCTGAAAAATCAGGACTTGATTTCTAAACTGCCACCACTCCCTCATTTTCAAGCCCACCTACACAAATCTTATATCAAAACGTTCAGCTACCCCTGCTGCCACTAAAAATGTCCACGGTAAGTTATAGTCCTGATAGTTTTCACAATATGACCATTTGATTGCAACTCACGCCATCCATTGAAACTCCACTCCAGCCAGCTCAAACTTGAAGGACAATTTCTAAACTGCGCCTTCATTTTTAAATACTTCAGAGACATACTATGCATCAAAATGTAGGTCTGGGTCTTGTGATTCTCACAATATAAAGCTCTTCGTTGTAGGATGTATAGTTTTTAAAATACGACGTCTGAAGATGGCAACCGCCAAAATACTCTGACTTGTGCCAGGCTGGAGAAGCAAGTGATGTCATAGACAGGGCCTTTTGTACGCCTGCTAATGTTTTTATAAATGTATGTTTTAATGTAACTGTGAAGAACTTTGGGCAACAACGTTGCAATTAAATGTGCTATATAAATAAATAATAACTGTTACTCCGCCCACTCCAGTTGTAGACTACTGGTGGAGGCAAGAATACTTCACACAATTTCCCCAGCAATTGTAGCTTTTCTAGTTTATATAATGCAGTCAAGGTAAATAGTTCTAAAAATACAATAATGTTCCTGCCAATTGCTCCACTTTTACAACACTGGACCAAAATGTCTGCTTATCAATATTCCACTTAATATAACAGAAGTTTTAGCGGCTTGGATGTGATTTTGCACTTCACGAAACAAGCAGAGTGATTTAAGCAGGGATCCTTCGGTTTTTAATCAGTGTAAAATGTAGCCAATGCATTTTGCCAAAGTGGTGAAATTAATGAAATATTAAAGGGACACTACAGGCAACATAAAACAACTTTAGCTCAATGAAGCAGTTTTGGTGTATTGATCATGCCCCTGCAGTCTCACTGCTTAATTATCTGACAATTAGTTGTTCAGTCACTCTGTTTATACAGCCCTAGGCACACCTCCCTGCATGTAATGTGCACAGCCTTCCTAAACACTTCTTGAGAAGCAAGGTCTAATGTTTACATTTCCTTTATTGCAGATTCTGTTTCATTTAGAATTTCTTATCTCATGCACGGTTAACATTATGATAGAGCCAATAGGAGACTTCTGTGTGTGATTAATGTTCAATTTACAGAGCAAAAGATAATGTACTTTAGAAATCTAAGATCTAAAAGAAAATTAAACCATTTTTAATGCAGGCTGTGCAAGTCATAGCCAGGGGAGGTGAGGCTAGGGCTGCATAAACAGAAGCAAAGGGATCCTATAGTGCCAGGAAAAAAATAAAAAATAAATTCATTCCCCCCTTTTTACACACACATTACATACCTACACAAACACTAGGGATCGAACTATTATCGGTCTGGCCGATATTCGGCAACATCGGTATCGGCCCATAGAGATACCGATATTGCCGATAATACACACTAGGCCTGCCAGGCCTATGACAAGCCCGGCGGTCCTGTGTAAATCTTGTAAATCCCGTGGCCATCAGAGCGTTGCCACGGTACACAGTCCGTGAGATTTACACTGGGGAGCTGAAGGGAGTAGCTGGGAAGGTAAGTAAGCGCTTGCTGGGGGGCCCCACTGCATAGTCCCCTTCTCCTCCCCCCTCCCCCCATTTTACACATATTACATACCAACAGAAACTCACACACACACACAAATACACAAACACTCACTGCATCCACTACACAAAACACACACACAGCTCCCCTGTCTAAACACACTGCATCCACTACATGTGGCATATATATTTTGTGCCTTTACCTTTAGAAACAGTTTTTTCTTTTCAAAATGGTAAATGTACAGAATATCGGTAAGTTATCGGCCTGAAAATTCACAGATTAATCAGAATCTGCTCAAAATTTTTTTTTTTTTTTTTTTTAAAACCCCAAAACACAATATTGGTCGATCCCTAACACACACACACACACACACACGAAAACAAAAAATTCTGACTGGCATATATATTTTGAGCATTTACCTTAAAAATCTTTTTCAAAAGAATAAAGATTTACAAAAATAATAAATAATAAACATGTTTAGTTAACAGTAAATTTGTGTAGAAATAGTTTATTTTTTCAAAATGGTAAATGTACAGAATATCGGCTATCAACCTGAAAGTTCACAGATCGGCATCAGCTCAAAAAAAAAATAAAAAAAAAATAAACCACAATATCAGTCAATCCCTAGTTCACAGCACCCAGACTACGTCAATAAGCTAAAGTGGTCTGGATGTCTAGTGTCCCTTTAACTCGTCAATGGCAGAGAATTGAGCAGTGAGGCTGCAGGTGCATGATCTATACACCAAAATTGTTTCATTAAGCTACTACAGCTTACTGCATTTGTTCTGGTGAGTATAATCATTCCCTTCAGGCTTTTTGCTGTAAAAACTCTTTTCAGAGGAAATGCAGTGTTTACATTACAGCGTTGTGATAACTCCACTGGCCACTCCACAATTGGCTACTATGCACCTATCCACCCTCTGTATGCAGACACCAAACTTTACCATAGAAATGCACTGATTCAATTCATCTCTATGATGAGATGCTGATTGGCCAGGTCTGTGTTTGGCTCTGCCCCTGATCTGCCTCCTTGACAGTCTCAGCCAATCCTATATGAAAGCACTGTGATTGTCTTATAACAACACTTCTGATGTCAGCCAAGCAGGCACATCAGAGGCAGAGCCAGCAGCTGCAGACTTGAACAAAAGTAAGATTTTGCTATATTTAGGGGGAGGGGAGGGGGGGGGGGGAAGATGTTTTAAAATGCCTATAGAATCCCTTTTAAGCCACTGGTTCCCAACCTTTTGTCACTAGAGTACCCCCTGACAGCCCAATTCCATAAACTGTACCCCTCATATTAGCAAGATATAGTTGCTGTAATTTCAAAAGTTAACCTTTTTTTTTCTGCCCCAGCCTCCCCTTGCTCCTCCTTTCCCCCAGGGTCCCAACAGACACACAGATGCAGACACAAATGTACAGACAGATACACACTGGCACACATACAGATGGAGACAGATATCCACCTACAGATGTGCAGACACACACGCAGATTCAAACACTGACAGATACACATACAGGTGTACAGATAGATACACACCGACGTACAGACATACACACACATACAGAAACTGACACCCAAAACACACATACAGGTGAACATTTTAGCCACCCTCCAGTTTCCTACCTTATGGGAGCTTCTGCTGGCTGGGGTTGACGAGAGGTCAGAGCAGGCTCCTCTCCTGACAGCCAGGGGAGGCGGAGCTATACCAGCAGAAGTGGAGTTAAGCCGATCAATGGGGTTATCACGGCAGAGGCGGTGTTATGTCAGCAAGTGGGAGGAGTTAACATTGTAGGCAGGTGGAGAAAGGCACTACTAGTTCATGGTCCCCCCCGCCCCTCTCCTTTGCGGCAGAGTCTGTTTCAGCTGGGAGGAAGTGAAAGGGGGGGTGGGGGTACATGTACCACAGGCTGGGAAGCCCTGCTTTAAAGGACCACTCTAGGCACCCAGATCACTTCAGCTTAATGAAGTGGTCTGGGTGCCAGGTCCAGCTAGGGTTAACCCATTTTTTTTTCTTTTTAATATATATATATATATATATACATACATAGCAGTTTCAGAGAAACTGCTATGTTTATAAATGGGTTAATCCTTCCTCCAATTCCTCTAGCGGCTGTCTCATTGACATCCGCTAGAGGCGCTTGCGTGATTCTCACTGTGAAAATCACAGTGAGAGCACGCAAGCGTCCATAGGAAAGCATTGATAATGCTTTCCTATGCGACCGGCTGAATGCGCGCGCAGCTCTTGCCGCGCGTGCGCATTCAGCAGACGGGGAGGAGGAGAGCTCCCCGCCCGGCGCTGAAAAAAAGCTAATTTTAACCCTTTTCCCCTTTCCAGAGCCGGGCGGGAGAGAGACCCTGAGGGTGGGGGCACCCTCAGGGCACTATAGTGCCAGGAAAACGAGTATGTTTTCCTGGCACTATAGTGGTCCTTTAAGCAATGACATTAGATGAGAGGCACACACATTTAAATGCATCTTTACCCTTATTACAGTGCAGTACGAAAAAGACATGTTATTACAGTGAGGAAAAAAGTATTTGATCCCCCTGCTGATTTTGACCGTTTGTCCACTGACAAAGAATTGATCAGCCTATAATTTTAATGGTAAGTGTATTTTAACAGTGAGAGACAGAACAAAACAAAAAAAAAATCCTGAAAGACGCATGTCAAAAAGTTATGAATTGTAGTGGTTCTATCAGAGTCCATACAGATGTTCAAACAGCTACTAGATGCATACTTGCAAAAACAGAATATTTAAGGATATAATCTTTCAATGTAGGGTAAGAACTGCTTGATCCAAGGATAAATCTGACTGCCATTCTGGGGTCAAGAAGGAATTTTTTTCCTAGCTTGTTGCAAAATTGTGCTTCAAACTGGGTTTTTTAGCCTTCTTTTGGATCAACAGCAAAAAACAAATGTGAGGAAAGCTGAACTTGATGGACACAAGTCTATTTTCAGCTAAGTAAGTATATATTAGGGAGTCCAGACCAAATGCTTTGGCTTTGCACCCCTCCCTGTCAGAGGTGTCTAATTTCAGGCCACCCAAGTAAAGTGTTAATCTCATAAGAGCAGGCATTTTTTTTGCTAGGATAGAACCTGACAAAAATGAACTCTCCCCCCCCCAGCCTATGGTTACTGCCATTAGCTCAGGCAACAGTTTAATTCATGTCTGATGATGAAACAAACATCTGCAAGTGGTACGCTATAAACCATAGATCCTTGGCATATACTTAAGAACTCAATAGAAAAAGCTACTTCCTGGTCTGATCATTACACCTAGCAAAAGCTGAAAACTCTCAGAAACTGCAGTTATTCTTAAAAGTAGAATTAAAATGTTAGCTATAAAAAGCTATATTCTATGTATCATGGATGCTTAATCTTTTGTATCAAACTTCTACATCACCTTTTAAAAGTACCTTGATAATATTCACCAAGCATATATGCAAACAGACACATATAAAAAAAATAAACATTTTAAATAAAGGCAAAACAAATTAAATAAAACGTTTTTGTTAGAGCATATACCACCTATGTAAATGCAGCTGTCACACATACCCAGCTCATTGCAGCATCCACACTTACACCCTATATCCTGTGTACTGGCCTTACCACAAACCATGGTGGCCCACAGATTCGTGAACTGCATTTCCCACAATGCTTTTCCAGCCCAGAGACTGGGTGGGCATCAGACCACATGCAGTTTCCCCTCAGCCCCTGGGTGCCAGGCTCAGCCTGTGCTGCTCTCTATAGCCAGCCATGGCAGTTCCTGGGAGACTCTGCCCTGTGTGAGAGCTCCCAATCCACCCCACAGGGAGATCACCTTCATAGAACCGCCATACTGGACAGGCTGCCAGCTGCTCACCTTCAGATCGTTCTCCGGTAGATATTTACACTGCCGAGCGATTTCCACGTACTTATCCAGGTCCAAGGGCGCCATTTTGTACAGGGGAAAAACTGTTAGGGCGGGGGGGGCGGCAGAGGGCGAGCGTCACATCTGTTAACTTCCTCACTTCCTAGAACTATGGCGGCCAGTGGGGAGGAGCTGGGGAAACTGTTTGTGGTTTGTTTTTTTTTCGAAAAACTTTATTTACATCAAACAATAAAAAACAAAGCAGGAAATGTGATAGGTAGTAAGTTATTTGATCAAATTAATTTTGTGTGATTGTTAGTTATTTTGAAAATGTGATCGTTAAGGACATTGTAAGAACACTACAAGTATCAGAGATATGTGGGAAGAGTGTGTTCTCTTTATTTAGAATTTTACAAAAAGTAACATAGAAATTGTCACTCTTACAAATTAATAAACTCCTGGATTTTCCTGGAGCTTAAAGGGACACTATAGTCACCAGGAGAATTACAGTTTAAGGTAGTTGTTCTGGTCTGTATAGTATGTCCCTGCAGGCATTTTTTTTCTGGCACTAAGGCCCCACCACCTACCCCCTTCGTGATACAGAAGTGGTTAAAAACCCCTTCTGTCACTTACCTGGGTCCAGCATAGATGTCGCTTGCCGCTAGTTCGGGTCTGCCTTCTCTCCTCCCCTGGCGACATCAGCCAGCGGGGGAGACCTAATCCGCATATGCGGCACATAAGGATTTCCCCATAGGAAAGCATTATTCAATAGGGATGTGCATGGGCAAAAAATTCAGTTTGGTTCGGCACTTCCAAAATTCTGGAATTCAACAATTTGGAACTTCGGTAATTCCCTAACCCTAACAGGAGTAGGGTTAGGTGTAAAGGAAGGTTGGGGTAAGGGTTAGGGGTAGGGTTAGTGGAAGGTTGGGGTAAGGGTTAAAGTTAGTAGAAGGTTGGGTTAGGGTTAGGGGTAGGGTTCGGGTTAGAGGAAGGTTGGGGTAAGGGCTAGGGTTAGGAGTAGTGATGTTGCGAACCGTTCGCGGCGAACTCCGGTCAGCTGACACATCCCTGCCAATCTCCGGCAGACCCTCCCTCCCAGACCCTCCCACCTCCTGGACAGCATCCATGTGGAAGATGCCTTCAACATGGATGCTGTCCAGGAAGTTCGCGACATCACTAGTTAGGAGTAGGGTTAGATTCCTGCCATCATTCCCTTAATTTCCCCTCCCTCTCCTGTTTTCGCCACTTCGGCAATTTGGTTTGGCACTTCTGAAATTCGGGACTTCAGCAATTTGATTTGGCACTTCCAAAATTCGGCAATTGAGAATGTCCAAATTCGGAACAAAACGAATTGCACATGTCTATTATCCAATGCTTTCCTATGAGATTTTGGGTCATGCTGGACGTCCTCATGCATAGCGTGAGGATGTCTAGCGCCAGGCTACCAAAAGTCGCCTAATGGCCTGGAAGTCCCTCTAGTGGCTGTCTGGTAGACAGCCACTAAAGTTGGAGTTAACCCTAGCAGGTCATTTTTGCAGTTTCTTAAAAACTGCAATAGTTACCTGCACAGGAATAAGAGACCTGGGACAGTGCACCCAGGAGGTTGGGGTGTGCTTGGGCTGGCCACCTAAATTGGATTTTTAAAACTATAGTGTAAAGAATACACTATAGTGTTCCTTTGAATTTGTGAAACAACATTGGAAATCCTTGCGCTTTGCACGAGGCCATCGTCTTCAAAATCCCCCTACCACCCTCCTTTTTACCTTATCTCTTTCCTTTACTTCTTAAGAGTAACAAGGCGCTATAATTCCGTGTATCTACAGGAATATTCGTATTCTATTATTTGTAGACAATCTTCTCTGTTGGGAGGTATGTTTCAAATAATTTACTTTTCACTTGTTAAGTGAACACCTCAATAAACATTTTAATTGCACAATCTCCATAGGAAAGCATTATTTAATGTTTTTCTATGGGGAACCTTTAATGCGCGCGGTGCTGGCTGAGCATGTGCATGAGGTCCTCTTTCAGCATGTTGTCATGGGAGGAGAAGAACAAGCCAGCACTGAGGGACCTCAGTTCTGGAATTAAGGTAAGTGTTAAAAGGTTTATAAACCTTTTTATGCTTGGGGGACATGCCTAAATTTAGGGACTGGGGTATAACATAACATTAGGAATACAGTTTGGCTATTTTCACACTAAATTTGAAATACATCTGGAATTTTCCTGTGAATAACCCTGAAAATGCATGCCTGTTTTCATCGGGAGTAGACATACTAAACAGTGATTTTCCTTTTTTTCATTTGGGCAGTGGAGCGTCCCTTTAAGAGGTGCATTTTAATTCAAGGCAGATTTAAATATTTATATAATGTATTAAAATGTGTCCATTTTCTTTCCTTCTCATTCCATCTGCCCTTTTTATCCTCACCTATCTCCCATTTTTATCCCACCTTCCTTCCACTCTCAGCTCCCTTTTTATTATCCTCATTCCTACACTATATTATTTAATTCTTGCTCTGCTTATTCTTTGCCTATAGATACAAACATGGCTTGCTTGCTGAGCCTTATAACCCTCAAAACTGTCACTGTCCTAGGTTAAGATGTGAATGCCGTCCTTTACAGACTGTAGCAGGATCTTGTGTCAGCTACATTATAAATAGTCCCCTGTGCATAATAATGTTTTTTTGTTTTTTTTTGCACATGCTCATGCAGGCTCTCTGGCTTCCACTACTAAAATGGCCGCGTCACGTGACCAAAACCACTGCAGCAGCTACTTCTGGTTTATAGAAACGATAGGAAGCGGTTACCATAGTAACAGCGGCCTAGCTGCAGGTGAGTGCAGAGACTCCACGCGTGTGTATTGCAGGAAAGGAAGGTACGGTAGGTGGGCATCGCCAGTGTATCGTTTTATTAGTAATATCGAGACAGTATGGTTTAATAATGATAATGTATCGCCCCCTGTCCGAAAGGCATGGGAGCTCTGTGCTGTGTGCATGGCTTTCACGGGCTGGGGAGAACAAGAAATAATTACAAATGTATACATCTAGAAGGGCAACTACGAGATAATGCAGCAAATAGTAATTATATTAAAATCCAGAAGTCAAGGTCAGAATACCTTGGATTACATACCCAGAGAGGGAGGGGTGGGATACATACCCAGAGAGGGAGGGGGGTTTACATACCCAGAGACTGGGGGGGATACATAACCAGGGGGAGAGGGAGGGTGGGATACATACCCAGAGAGAGGGAGGGGTTACATACCCAGAGAGGGAGTGGGGTGTTACATACCAGAGACTGGGGAGATACATAACCAGAGGGTTATATACCCAGAGAGGGAGGGGGTTACATACCCAGAGAGGGAGGGGTGGGATACATACCCAGAGAAGGGGGGGGGGGGGGGGGTTACATACCCGGAGAGGGGTGGGTGGCTTACATACCCAGAGAGGGGTGGGTTTTCTAGATAAGGTATACCGTGGGCATACTGATTGCAAAAAAATATTAATACTATAGTTATTAAACAGAGCATTGTTCCCCTTATTGAATAGTCCACAAACTAGTCTCATGATTGTAGGGTTTACTTGCTAAACCATTACATTGTAGCCTATGGAAAACATTATTGCAAACATTTAAGATTTGGAAAGTAGACATCCACTCCCCTTTACCATCAGCTTGCCTATTTTAGCTGGAATTTTGCATTTTGGTTTCAGTGTTCTGCTCTGTAAGTAATACTTTAAATTATAAATTCTAGTCAGGAAAATGATTGAAGTGCATAGTCCAGGATCATACCAAGTAAAATGTAAATGCTCTTAGTAATGTGGTCCTTTGCCTACATAAATAAACCCTCATAGAAATGGGTATATCATTTATCATATTGATACATTTTAATATTTTCTTACTAATTTTTAAGCTGCAGAAAGGACTAAACCTCTGTAGTGCCATCTTGATTGTGGAAATGTGGGTGCCACCCGTGTCTGAATCTACATGCTTGCTTGTGAGAATACAATAACTTAGTGACAGATGTCATTCAGAGTGGTATTAGTAAAGGTGCTTATAATATTTAATTAATTGTGCAGCTATGTATTGACCTATGAAGCTATTTTTCAGTGAGTGCTTTATATCCTTTTGGTTCACTGTACTTGACAGGGATATCATCCGCAAGCTAGCTAAATGTGTGTGTGTGTGTGTGTGTGTGTGTGTGTGTGTATATATATATATATATATATATATACAAAAAATAAGAGATGCACTCTAAGGACTTATATAATCGATAGTAAAGTATTTATTAAAAAGAAAGTTTACATAATAAGATCTTATTATGTAAACCTTCTTTTTAATAAATACTTTACTATCGATTATATAAGTCCTTAGAGTGCATCTCTTATTTTTTGTATATATTCCATAACGTGGGATTGCACCAAGGCACTAAGAAATTCATTTTGAATTGGAGAAAGGGTGAGTGCCAAGCTTTCTGTTTGTTACATATATATATATATATATATATATATATATATTTCAAGCTGTAATTAATAGCTGAGGCATTCAGATCTTTCCATCGATGGACAGGATTTTATCACCAGATATGATTATCTCTATTAACATTAAAAAAAATTCTATTTATCAATTGCACTGTATGTGAAATATGCTATCCAATTAGCGAATTATCAGTAATACATTAATCTCTGGTTGTAAGGTCCATCCCGGTACATTTTAACTATGACTCTTTAACCAAATTTTTTTCCATCTCAGGCTGTATATATCCAAATGGAACTTATGGAAATTCTGGAACCAGAAGATATACCCAAAGAATCAACATGGTAATTAAATATATATGTGTGTGTATATTTGTGGTCTGGTACAATAAGCCGAGTTATAGTAATGGTGGTGTAAATCGGTTGTGGTGTGCTGGAACCGATCATTCGGGTAGGCCTGTAAAAGAGGGAGTGGTGGGTGGGCTGAACCAGGCGGTCTCGGCCCAGAGGAAGGGGAGGTATGTTTAATTATAGGCTGGGTAAATTCTCTGAAACTGCTATGTTTATAAAAAAAATGGGTTAACCCTAGCTGGACCTGGCACCCAGACCACTTTATTAAGCTGAAGTGGTCTGGGTGCCTAGAGTGGTCTTTTAATCTATGTTACCATGCAATACATGAGATTAAAGCAACTCTGCTATTTGCCCTTTGGTCAGATTATTTTGACTTGTGGATTGAGGGTAAATTAGCTTAGCAACTAAAATGGATCTTTACAAAAGAAACAGCGCTAGAAAAACCAATACTAAAAAAGGGGCAGCAGACCTAAGGTAGGGTTTCCTCTAAGCCCTACCAGTAGGAATAATACAAAGGTAAAAAGGGGATAGGTTATGCCAAAGACAGAAGTACATATTAATAAAAGTATATATATAAAAAAATCCAATACTGATGTAAAATTCGAAACACAAAAGATACCAAAAGGACCCCCAGATTAATACACATGCTGCAATTAAGAAAAAAAACATAAATATCGGTATTCGAGGCAGACCGGGAGCACCTGATCGCTGATCGCGCTGTCCCTGCAGCTGTGATTGCTCTGACAGGCTGTTAACCCCTGAGGGTTAACTTTTATTTATTTTTTTAACCCTCAGGGGTTCAATTTATTTAATTGGTTAATTTAAATATTTAAAAATTATATTTTTTGCTAGCTGGGGTGGGTGGGAGTTATGGGAAATTGGGGAATTTACTGTTAGTGCTGCTTACTGCTAGTTGGGGTGTTAATGGTAAAAAAAAAAAAAGTTTTTATAAAAATTTTAAAAGTGTAAAAAATTTTTAAAAATGTAATCAGTAAAGAAAATACATTAAAACATGCTCATTACCACTACACCTGGAACAGACTAGAGAAAATATGATCCCACACTAAGATTCAAAATATGCCTTTTGAATTACCCCTGGGTGTATTATTTAATAAATAGTATATGTTTGTGGGGAAGTGTGAATAACCAACCAGCTAAACTACTCTGAAATGAAACATGGACACAGCATAAAAGTTAGAAACAATCTGAATGGCTGCGTCTCAAATGTGCCCTTTTAACATCCACCTATACCTGGAAAAGGTACACACGGGGGTATTGCTGTACTCAGACGACATAGCTGGGCAACATATGAAGTATTATACAATTGTAGCACACCTAAGGTTTGCAAAATATACTGTGCAAACTCACTGTGTGTGTCAAAAAGGCAGAAAAAAATGCTTATTACCACTACACTTGGTACAAGCTAGCAGAAAAATGATTCTACGCTAAGGTTCAAAATATGCCTTTTGAAATACCCTGCTATGTCTTCTTTAAGAAATGGTATGCCTTTATGGTGTAGTTGGAATATGTACACTGCTCAAGTGCTCCAAAGTGGGACACGGACGCATCAAAACCCTCCATGAAAATTCACACTTAAAAACCTGAACTTGTCTCGTCTCATTTACAGCACAGTTACTTCACAAAATAGTGTCTAGGTCAGTGGTAGTCAACCTTTTTCTACCTACCGCCCACTAATGCATCTTTTTGGTTTGAAAAAATTACATACAAAGACACATACACACACACACACATACAGACACACACAAGACATACATACAAAGACATACACAAAATATTTTAGTCACCCTCCTGTTTCCTACCTTTCAGGTGCAGGAGGGTGACTTTCCCTGGGGTCCAGTGGTGGCTCAGGTGGGTGGGAGTCAGAGTTCCCACTCTGACTCCGTCTGCTTCCTCCCGCGCGGTCTGTGTGTTAGCTGGGAGGAGTGACGTGCAGTCACTTCCTCCCAGCTTTGTGATGTAAACACAGGGGGCCGGTCGCGCTGTTAAAGCGGCCAGCGATGACCGGGCCCCCTCACAATCCACATCCATCGGGTGGCGCTGACAGCATGGGCCACCCGATGGACCCCTCCTTATGGGGCCCCGGTGGTTTGCCGCGAGGGCCGGGGCCGCAAGTGGCGATGGCGGTAACCGGTTGCAGGGGTACCGCCAGCTCGCGCCCGCCCAATCTCTCAAAACTAGAAAATCCCTACCACCCACCTGGAATCCTGAAACGCCCACTAGTGGGCGGTAGGGACCAGGTTGACGACCCATGGTCTAGGTCATATATTGGGCATATTGTTTTACTCAGAAGATGTAACTGAGCATACTTTGAGGTTTTTTATGACAGTGGTACATATTAAGTGTAAAAAGTACTCAGCAAAAATGCAACATATATGTAAAAATGCAATTTTTTTTCCCCTCACCACAAACATTGACATAAATTGGTGAAAAAATGGGGGCAAGTTAAGTCACAATGTATTCCATATAAGATAACCTGGGGTGTCTACTTTATCAAATGAAAGCCCTTTGTTTAGTTATTTGAACAGTCACGCTGCTATAATACCCTAAAATGAGACATAGGCCTGTCAAATCCATCTACGAAAATTCTAACTTTAGTAACTGAAATAGCTTTGTCTCTTATATGGCATTGTAGCTTTGCAGAATAGTGCCAAAGGCATACAATGGGGATATTGTTTTACTCAGCAGATGTAGCTGAACACAATGTGGGGGAATAGCACATACCAGCTTTACGAAATACACATTACAAAAACCTGGTTATATGTGTATATGCCAAAATATAGAAAAAAACACAATTTTAGATTGATGATGAAATTGCTACTTACAAAGTGTCAAACTAACCGTAGGTAAATAGCATGTGAAGTCTTTATGTAACTATATACTTTTGTGTGGCAATTTTGTTTTCTGTGATGGCTATTAAACCTACAAGGCAAACATACCAAATGCTAAAATTGCATATTATGTACTCTATAAATCAAGACACATCAATAAATTTATTTTGAATTACTTTTTCTAAGCTGGACATATTATGCACACACTATTATTGCCAAAACTGTTGGGGGAAAATATATATATTTTAGTTTTTCTCCCCATTTTTTTTTTTTTTTAAATATTCAATGAGAATTTATCTATGTATATGTGACATAAAATTAAAGCCCTGTTTGCCTTCTAAAAAAAGGTATATAATATGTATTGGTGCAATAAATGACAGAGATGCAAGTTGTGTTTGAACACAAACAGCAAAAAATGCAAAATTGGCTTGTGTCCTTAAGGGTAAGACAAGCTTTTGAAACTATGTCCCTAAGGGGTTAATAAAATGCCAAAACAGTCAATGAAAAGCAGGTCATTAGGGGAAATAATTAAAGGACCACTCTAGGCACCCAGACCACTTCACTTCAGCTTAATGAAGTGGTCTGGGTGCCAGGTCCAGCTAGGATTAACCCATTTTTTTTATAAACATAGCAGTTTCAGAGAAACTGCTATGTTTACAAATGGGTTAATCCTTCCTCCAATTCCTCTAGCGGCTGTCTCATTGATAGCCGCTAGAGGCGCTTGCGTGATTCTCACTGTAAAAAGCACAGTGAGAGCATGCAAGCGTCCCTAGGAAAGCATTGTAAATGCTTTCCTATGCGACCGGCTGAATGCGCGCAGCTCTTGCCGCGCGTGCGCATTCAGCCGAATGGGAGGAACGGAGGAGGAGAGCTCCCCGCCCAGCGCTGGAAAAAGGTAAGTTTTTACCCCTTTCCTCTCCCCAGAGCCGGGCGGGAGGGGGACTCTGAGGGTGGGGGCACCCTCAGGGCACTATAGTGCCAGGAAAACCAGTATGTTTTCCTGGCACTATAGTGGTCCTTTAAGTTTAGTGATAAAATGTGTCCAGAATCTGCTGGAGACACAATGTGTTTAGAGGACTCTCCTATAATTAAACAAGGAAATTAAAGTGACTGTGAGTTTCCGATGAAAGCAGCAGGTTGATTCAGTAGTAAACATGAGATAGGATTGACACAGGCTGACTAGCAATCTTATCACTTGGAGCCTATGTGAAATGGTAGGATACACACTGATCAGCCACTACATTAAAGCCACCTGCCCAATTTCATATAGATCTCTACATTATTGCTAAAAGAGCTCTTATGCATCCAGGTGGGCCCTCCAGGGATCAGATTTGTTGCTTCAGCACATCCCACAGATGCTCAACTTGACTGAGATCTAGGGAATTTGTAGGCCAAGGCAAAACCTGAACTCATTGTCATGTTCCTCAAACCATTCCTGTCCTGGATAATTGTTGCAGTGTGCAACATAGTCATAATAAGTATTTCATAAAGAATCTTTGTGGAATATTTATTTGGGGGAGGAGGGGGGATGACAGTGCTGCTTTCAAAGGGCTCTTTAAGGTGCCTAGAACCCACACTTTTCTTGGCTTCATTTGATAATGAGGCATTAACACTTTCTCATTGTCAATTTCATCTCGATGGCATTGATTGGCTGAGAGCATTGGGCTAAACCATCCTCAGACTTTCCAGCCAATCACTGCCATCCATATTGGACAAAATTGACATTTATAATGTAGAAGTTTTATTTCCATGTATTTGGTATTCAGAAAGAGGTTATGTTACCTAGCATACCCCTTTAAGGGCTATGGGAACTACTAAAGGCCGATGAACCTTCTCTGGATTAGATGCATGTATCCCCTCGATTTGATGTCAGTTTGGTGCACTGAAAAATGCAACACTCATACTTGGCTGAGATTGAGCACGATTGATGTGATGTAAGCCTTGAAACAGAGGCAGTGTGCAAAAGAGCAGCATGGGACATGATTACAGCAGCTTGCAGGTTTCCAGGGTGAATATTCCTGACACATGTTGCCATTGACACATGTAGCAATTCTGATGCAGATGTAGGACTCACGTTGATAGATATACATTGAGTCTTCTGCTCATTTCATTCCATTCCATACAAACTGCATAAGATTGAGACCTAACCCATGGTACTAGAGTGATTTACAGGGAGTGCAGAATTATTAGGCAAATTAGTATTTTGACCACATCATCCTCTTTATGCATGTTGTCTTACTCCAAGCTGTATAGGCTCGAAAGCCTACTACCAATTAAGCATATTAGGTGATGTGCATCTCTGTAATGAGAAGGGGTGTGGTCTAATGACATCAACACCCTATATCAGGTGTGCATAATTATTAGGCAACTTCCTTTCCTTTGGCAAAATGGGTCAAAAGAAGGACTTGACAGGCTCAGAAAAGTCAAAAATAGTGAGATATCTTGCAGAGGGATGCAGCACTCTTAAAATTGCAAAGCTTCTGAAGCGTGATCATCGAACAATCAAGCGTTTCATTCAAAATAGTCAACAGGGTCGCAAGAAGCGTGTGGAAAAACCAAGGCGCAAAATAACTGCCCATGAACTGAGAAAAGTCAAGCGTGCAGCTGCCACGATGCCACTTGCCACCAGTTTGGCCATATTTCAGAGCTGCAACATCACTGGAGTGCCCAAAAGCACAAGGTGTGCAATACTCAGAGACATGGCCAAGGTAAGAAAGGCTGAAAGACGACCACCACTGAACAAGACACACAAGCTGAAACGTCAAGACTGGGCCAAGAAATATCTCAAGACTGATTTTTCTAAGGTTTTATGGACTGATGAAATGAGAGTGAGTCTTGATGGGCCAGATGGATGGGCCCGTGGCTGGATTGGTAAAGGGCAGAGAGCTCCAGTCCGACTCAGACGCCAGCAAGGTGGAGGTGGAGTACTGGTTTGGGCTGGTATAATCAAAGATGAGCTTGTGGGGCCTTTTCGGGTTGAGGATGGAGTCAAGCTCAACTCCCAGTACTACTGCCAGTTCCTGGAAGACACCTTCTTCAAGCAGTGGTACAGGAAGAAGTCTGCATCCTTCAAGAAAAACATGATTTTCATGCAGGACAATGCTCCATCACACGCGTCCAAGTACTCCACAGCGTGGCTGGCAAGAAAGGGTATAAAAGAAGAAAATCTAATGACATGGCCTCCTTGTTCACCTGATCTGAACCCCATTGAGAACCTGTGGTCCATCATCAAATGTGAGATTTACAAGGAGGGAAAACAGTACACCTCTCTGAACAGTGTCTGGGAGGCTGTGGTTGCTGCTGCATGCAATGTTGATGGTGAACAGATCAAAACACTGACAGAATCCATGGATGGCAGGCTTTTGAGTGTCCTTGCAAAGAAAGGTGGCTATATTGGTCACTGATTTGTTTTTGTTTTGTTTTTGAATGTCAGAAATGTATATTTGTGAATGTTGAGATGTTATATTGGTTTCACTGGTAATAATAAATAATTGAAATGGGTATATATTTGTTTTTTGTTAAGTTGCCTAATAATTATGCACAGTAATAGTCACCTGCACACACAGATATCCCCCTAACATAGCTAAAACTAAAAACAAACTAAAAACTACTTCCAAAAATATTCAGCTTTGATATTAATGAGTTTTTGGGGTTCATTGAGAACATGGTTGTTGTTCAATAATAAAATTAATCCTCAAAAATACAACTTGCCTAATAATTCTGCACTCCCTGTATTCTTCACTATCCTTCTTTACTGTTTTTATCAGATAGTTTGTTCACAACTTGATTGAAGGCGTGCCCAATTAGCTGTAATATTTTTTTTTTTTTTGTTTAATATCATTTTTATTGTGTTTTCAGTACGTAAAGTCATTGCAAGGGGTACAGAATAGAGAAGGGGTTGACAGAAATATAACATAGTGGGGATCCTGTAGAGTTATACAAAATGATTAAAACAGAGTTTTTTCGTATACGTAAACCTGTCCTATGTTAACGGAATGTGGTGATGGGGAAGGGGCAGGGGGAGATGAAGTGAACGGGGGGAGGGCAGTGGTTGGGAAGTGGGGGATCCTGTCGCTACCTGCCTGTATAGAAGTTTAGATTCTGGAGTCTAGAGTTTTCCGGCTCTTTGTGGTAAGGTGTTTTTGATTTCCGTATAAGACTGATTCAAGTACTCTCGCTACGGCTAGTTATGAGCGCATTTCCTGCGGGGGGGCTTTCCCAGTAGGTGAGCCAGGGTTTCCAGATTATGAGATATTTAGCTCTCTTGCCCTGTGTCGACCAGTGGATCTCCTCTAGCTCTCTGGTCCGCTCTACCCTTTGGACCCATTGGTCTCTAGAGGGCGTTTGCGTTTGTCGCCAGAGCATGGGTATAAGTGCATTGGCCTCGCCTAGGAGGATGTTTAGAAGTTGCTGTTTATACGGGTCTATCAGTGCCCGTGGCCACCCTAGTAGTACTTGGGAGGGGGATATGTGTGCCCTCATGGATAGGAGTTTCTTAATGTCCGTGAGTATCATGTCCCAGAATGGTGCTATGTTCTTGCAGCTCCACCATATGTGTTCCATGTTGCCCTCTGCTCTCTCGCACCTCCAGCACTGGTCGCTTACTGTGGGCCAGTAGGTGTGGAGAAGGGCTGGTGTTCTATACCATCTGGTGACCCTTTTGTAAAATGTTTCTTTGCGGGCGATGCTTAGTGAGGATTTCATCCCTGAGGTCATGATGTGTGCCCAGTCACTATTCGTCATGTGAATGTGGAGTTCCTTCATCCATTTTCGTTGGTATGGGGGTCTGGGTGTATCCACTGCTTCCATTTGGAGGAGGCGGTAGATGGCCGATAGGGGCCGTTTTGTTTTATTGCCCTGGGAGCATAGGGATTCGAAGAGCGTCTTGTCCCTTTTCCTCCACAACGGGAGGACCGATTGGGTCAAGAAGTGGGTTAGCTGGGCTTTGGCCATAATGTCTAGTAATGTTCCTCTGTTACCTGGTGTGAGGAAGGCCTTTATTTTAGGAGGGTCGTCTCCTGTTAAGACCGTCGCTACTTCTGGGCAGACCTCTCCAGTGACCCGAGATAGAGTAGTGCTTCCCTGACCGTTTTGGAAGTCTGGGTTGTTGGCCAGAGGGAAAAACTGGGACAGACCGGGGGATAGTCCCCAGTCCTCTCTATGTCTCCTCCATGTCCGGAGTGTGTTATGGATGAGGGGGTGGTGTGTTGGGGTAAGTGTTGTGAGTTGGCATGTCTGCCAAGGGAGCGTGTGGAGAGGGACCGTCGCAAAGCTCTGTTCAAGTTTGTACCAGGCTTTTGGCGTGTCAACCTTATTCCAGTCCCTGACTCGTGTGAGGAGAACTGCTACGTAGTATTTGTATAGGTGAGGTAAGCCTAACCCTCCCCTCCCCGGTGGCGCTGTTATTGTCGAGTATGCCAGCCTCGCAGGCTTGTTTCCCCATGTGAATTTTACGAGTATGGATCTCAAGCGTCGGAAGAATTCTCCCGGTAGAGGGATCGGGAGGGTCTGAAACAGGTATAGTACTTTCGGTAGAGTCATCATTTTGATTATATTGACCCGACCCATTAATGAAAATTGGGGTGAGTCCCATTTTTTGAGGTCTTGGGCTATAGTGTCTATGAGTGTCGGGAAGTTCTGAGTGTACAGGTCCTTGAGTGACGGGGCTGTAATATTTATTGAATAATATTCATCTAATGCAGGGGTCCTCAAACTGTTTACACGGGGGGCCAGTTCACTGTCCCTCAGACACTGTTGGGGGCCAGACTACAGTTTGAAAAAAATATGAACAAATTCCTATGCACACTGCACATATTTTATTTGTAGTGCACAAAAAACTGGAAAAACAATACAATATTTAAAATGAAGAACGATTTTAATCAACATAAAAATAAGTATTTCAATTTTAAGTATGGGCCTACTTTTGGCTAATGAGATGGTCAATATCCGGTTTCCATATTTGTCACTGCTAGTCGTAGCAAGTGATTCAAGTGTTCATGAGTTAGTCTGGATATGATTGGAGATTTCAGATGTTTTATTCGAGAAAAGGTCTGTTCACAGACAGGGGCTTACAAAGATGGTTGCAATTTTGAGTGCAGGGTTCCTGAGGTTAAGATATGTCTCAGATGGGAACGATACATAGAAATTAGTAAGGGTGCTTTCTTTGAATGCGTCTTTCAGAGAGTCACAATTCTGTAGTCCGGCCAATTCCATTTGGTAAATCGGATTAACAATTTCAATGTCAACAGAAAATGGGTTCCAGAAAAGCTGTATGTCCTGTTCATTGAGACAAAGCTCTTTAAATGTAATTTGAAACGGTTTTTGCAACATTTCTAGTAAATTCACACGTTTTGTTTGGGTTTTTCCACCAACATGTTTTGAGTTGTGGGGAGATGGCAGAAGTTTTCCTCCTTCACTTGTTTAATGAGGAGGTCTAATTTTATTTAAAATGCTTTCACATGTGAATGCATATCACAGATGAGCTTCCCCTTTCCTTGTAGTTTAACATTGAAACTGTTGAGTAGCTCTGTTACATCTGTCAGAAAGGCAAGGTGCCATTTCCATTTTGCATCTTTGAGCTCTGGTACTTCTTTGTTATTCGAAAGCATAAAAGCAGAAACCTGTGGAACGTAAAAACGTTTCAAAACTCTCCCTTGACTCAGCCAAAGGACTTCTATGTGGTACAGAATATCTTCATAGGCAACATTTAGCTCAGACAGAAATTCCTGAAACTGTCTGTGGTTAAAGGGACACTCCAGGAACCCAGACCATTTTCTGCCCATTGGAGTGGTCTGGGTGCCAACCCCCACCACCCTTAATCCTGCAAGCTATGCATAAGGACCTCCAGCGTTGCCGAAATCCTCTTAGGAATGCATTGAATAATGGTCATTGCCGAATAGTGGACATTGCCGAGCATGCGCATTAGGTCTCCCCCGCCGGGTGACGTCAGCAGGGGAGGAGCGTAGGCGGAGCCTGACCCAGCGCCAAGGGACATCAGCGCTGGCTTAAGGTAAGTGACTGAAGGGGTTTTAACCCCTTCAGCAACATGGGATGGGGGGGGGGGGAGGGAGAGGGGCACTGCAGTGTCCTGCAACGGATATGTTTTCCTGGCACTGGAGAGTCCCTTTAAGTGCAAGAGCTCTAATGAAGTTAGTACAAGATACCACGATTTTCATGACAGAGTCCAACTTCAGTGATTTACAACACAGTGCTTGTTGGTGGATGAGGCAGTGTATTGTTATTGGATGTGAATGGTTGTGTTTGTCCATCTCTTTGTTAATGCGTGCAACCACTCCTTTCATAGACCGCACCATGCTAGGAGCACCATCAGTTGTCACACTGGCTAGTTTATCCCAGTCAAGCTCCAAATTATTCACAGTTTGGAAAACATTTTCATAGATATTGTCATAATTCTGAGTAGGTCAGAGAGGAAACTTATGTCAGGGTTGACTTCAGGTACTTGATAGGAATTATTAGACATAATAAGAGTATAAAGGCAAGAGGGGGAATGGAATAATAAATATAGAGAAAGTAGAACCTATAAACAGAGTTACCGGTAAGAATATTAAGCGATAACAGAAAACAAGAGTTAGGCAATAAGCCCCAGACAGGATTATAAAGTAACAGGAAAACCTGTTAGAGTTAATAGAAGGAACAGGAGTGAAGGTTTAGACAGTATTCCCTAAGCAGGTTTACGGTAACAGGGATACAGTTACATAAAACTAAACAGAAACATAAAGAATAAAGTAAAACAGCTCAAGTTAGTAATTGAGCGAGGTGATCAGCCTCTTTGGTATGATGTCAGAACTGCAGTTTCAGGGTATTTTAGGATACTTGCAAATAATAGGAAAGTCTGTAATATCCAGGTAGGTTGGAACAAAATCAATATGAAAATAAAGCAAGTTTGTTTTGGAGTTCAGGTTGGAATAAATCAGGATGGTTCAAGGTAAGTATGTTGAGTAAAGCAGGTTTTCTTCAGCTCAATGAAGTGGTCTGAGTGCCAGGTCCCCCAGCCGCTAGAGGCACTTCTGCAACGCTGGATGTGAAATTCGCATCCTGCGTGCAGAACGTCCATAGGAAAGCATTGAGAAATGCTCTCCTATGGACTGTTTGAATGCGCACGCAGCTCTTGCTGCGCATGCACATTCCACTCCACTCGGGAGCTGACGTCGGCGGAGGAGGAGAGGTCACCAGCGCCGAGGGAGCCCGGCGCTGGATAAAGGTAAGTGGCTGAAGAGGTTTTAACCCCTTCAGTGCCAAGGGAGGGGGACCCTGAGGGTGGGGGGGGGGGGTTTTAAGGATGCTATAGTGTCTTGAAAACAAGTTTGTTTTCCTGACACTATAGTGATCCTTTAAAATATATATTTTGAAACAGCAATGTCCAACTTGTACTTATTAGCCCTATAACTTGTACACAAAAAAAAAAAAAAAAAGCATGTAAATACTAGGTGTTTTTAAACTCAGGACAAAATTTTGAATCTATTTAGAAATGTTTTTCATTAGCTTTTGTAGATAAGTTAAAAAAAAATATATATATATATATATATTTTTTTTAAGTTAATTATATGATACAAATAATAGTATGTAAAGAAAGCCCTTGTTGTCTTGAAAAAAAAACCAAACAATATATAATTTGTATGGGAACAGTAAATGAGAGAGCAGAAAATTACAGCTAAACACAAACATCACAAAAGTGTTAAAACAGCTCTGGTCCTTAACGTACAACATGACCAAAACAGTCCGGTCCTGAAGGGGGTTAAAGGTATTTGTTTTTTTATTTTTTTATTTTGTATGTGGATTTTTTTTTAACATAATACGTCTACAGCAACTGCTTTTCATGTTTCTCCAGGTATGCCCTTGTTCCACGCGGCGAGGCTCCACGTTCACGTGTAGGTCATACCTGTATGTATTTACCTGCCACTGAAGAGTCAGAAAAAGGAAAAGTTCTCATTATTGCTGGGGCAAATCCTGATAGCTGCTTTTCTGACACCCACATCCTAGACCTTGGTAAATAAATTGGGCTTTTACATGCTGTCTCTTTTATAATGAGATTGGTAAAACGCTTTAAAAATGTTCAAGTGGAATAAATTATGTGCACTATTTAATAGCATAGTAAGGAAAAGCACAATATTAACGTAACATAGTTAGGAAAAGCACAATGATAACTTAAAGGGACTCTAGATCAAGCATGTCAAACTCAAAGTCTGGCACGTGCCACATAAACAAGGTTTAAGTTTATGTGGGCTGCAAAAAAATAATACCTTAAATTTTCATAGAAACTTAGGTTTATTTAAAAAAAGTACAGTATAAAAAAAAAAACAGCATTCCCCTCTACTAAACCACCCCCTCTACTAAATCCCAGTCCCCCTCCTCTACTAAACCAAAGCACCCCCACTACCACCCTGTGCCAAATCTGATCCTCCTGCTACTTTGAAACCCTGTGAAGGTGGAGCACGTCAATGTCACGTGGCGCTGCGGTAGTATCATGGTGTCTCTGAATGTCCTCTTTCCCGGTGACATTGTGCTACATGATAATAATGATTATAATTTGCACAAATATCGTGTCATTTCTCATAATGGATGCTATGCAGTTTTTCACCGGTCTTTTTCATTTTATGTTGCACCAATGAATGGTCTTTTTAGGCATGAGTTCTTGTCAGGACGTTACTCTATCCTGATAGGTAGATAATAAAAGAAGAGCGATTTGGGAAGGAGTCATGTCGCAGCTCAGTTCACAGTGTTCTCTCATTGGCTGAGCTTCGTACGTAGTGTGAGAACACCCAGTTTGGGAAAATTTTGGGGTATGACTAAGGGGACAGAGCAATGCTGCAGAAGATTGTTAAACAGGAAGACATTAAAGGAGCACTATAGTGCCAGGAAAACAAACATTAGGTCCCCCCCTCCCTCAGGGTTGAAGTGGTTAAAACCCCTTTAGCCACTTACCTTTCTCCAGCGCCAGGCTTGCTCTGTGCTGGGGAACTCTCCACCCCTGCTGACGTCAGATCCGAATGCGCGGCAAGAGCCGCGCGCGCATTCAAACAGCCCATCTGAAAGCATTACTCAATGCTTTCCTATGGACATCCATCGTCTTCTCACTGTGATTTCCACAGTGAGAATCGCGGAAGAGCCTCTAGCGGCTGTCAGTGAGACAGCCACTAGAGGCTGGATTAACCCTCAGTGAAACATAGCAGTTTCTCTGAAACTGGTATGTTTTCAGCTGCAGGGTTAAAACTAGAGGGACCTGGCACCCAGACCACTTCATTGAGCTGAAGTGGTCTGGGTGCCTATAGTGGTCCTTTAATACAGGTAAACATCAAAATATAATCTACAAAGTGCAAAATTGCATATGTTCCATTAAACTAATACATCAAGTAAACACATAAACAATTTAAAAAAACACATTTGTATTAAGTTTTTCCATTGTCTGGAATAGAAAAACCATATGTGTGTGTATGTATGTATGTGTATAATATTACAGATAGCCAATACACCCATACAATATTTGTGTGTTATATTATGCAACAGGAAATTTTCAACACAAATATAGAACACTATTTGCAACATTGAAGAATACCCTTAAGTATTGTAATACATTTTGGGGGAAATTATTTGTAACTCAACCACAGGTGAATGAAGAAATTTGATACTGTCACTTTAAGAAAATATAATTTAATTTATTAAAATAAAGTAATTTCACTTTGGCAGACTTCTGCAGCAATAAGGATATGAAATAAGGCAGAAATAATGAGAATCTTGTTTCAGTACTGCTTTACAAGAATATAGTGTTTAGAAATTAATTAAAATAAGGAATGCTTAATAAGCAGTAAGTAGTATAGTCTGTTAGACTTCGATATAGTTTTGACAGAGCAGGTGATTCCTGTTGTTGGAAAGTAACAGTCTTTTAACTTGAACCAGTAAATATTGGCAATGATATATATATAATCTCCTGGTATGAGAAGTGGTTATAGTCTTTTAGACTCCAATAATAATAATTAACATAAATGAGCACTTTAGCAAATTAGAATTTCCACAGAGATAGCAAGGGGAATTCCAGAGGGCAGACTTTAGTATTCCTTTTCCTTCCAAAATAACTTTAGGTAAGAACTAATTAGTAATCCCAATAACTGGAGAACATATATTGCCTTTCTTGGATGATGAGCATTGTAGTCCTTTCCAGAGTAGAGTGGACTATGGTTCCCTGAAGTAAGTGGAGAGATGCAGGAATCCGAAGTGAAGTCTGTTCTTTGTCAGGAAGTAGAGCGTAGACAGGAACAAAGCCAGAGAGGTTCGGTACACAGGAAATCAGTTAGCAGAGCTCCGTCGGGAAGTGGCAACAATGAAGCAAGTAGTGAGAGCAGATCAAAGGTGAACAAACATTGATTGAGCAATTTGGATGCGATCGCGGCTCCTTTTTGAAGGGAAGCGGGTGGCCTCAGACGCATGGGCAGAGACGGATCGGCGAAACACGGAAGTTATACGGGTAATGCCGATCGGTCCGAACAACATGGAGAAATTCTGACAGGTGTATTGATTTTATATCCTTGTCTTTTCCTGAGTAAGTCCCCCAATTTTTTTTTTTTTTTTTTTTTAATTCTTTATTTTTGTAGTGCATTTTGAGAATAACATACAAGCGTGAGGTACCCCGACGGCAATCCTCAAGCATATTTGCAACACATATAACAATGGGGTAGACCAGTATGCATGCACAATTTTAAATTTATAGTCTCTTACAATAGGTTATGTTAAAACAAGCTAGTCAGAAGACATAGATAACATTCTAAAATTTAGCTGCTGTGGAGAGGCAGGTATAGGAATTAAAAGTAACAGCGAAAATTATAAACGGTATTAGTGAGCGGGGCTATGGTTATTCCGTTTCTGTATATGATACCGAGGAAAGGTAGCACAAGCCATTCTCTCTGGACCCAGCCTAGGTGCATAGCAATGTCAAGATGGCAATAAGGTATTTTATAAGTTATGGTAGCCGTAGATGATCAATGTATCAAGGTGTTATATTAATTTTGGTGTCTACTTGTGTCAAGCATGTCAGGCGGTAATATAATTATGGTCGCAATCTGGAACAGCCAGTTAGTGTGGTCCAGATGCATTTGCTAGGGAATGGTAGCATAAAATAATAATAAAATGGCATAGTTGGTAACTTCAAAATAGGTTTATCGTAAGACATAACTAATTTCACGTATCTGTAATGGTACGTGCAATGATGAGACGCTTTATATAAGCTCAATAATATTTCTTCAGTATTTGCATGTGGTGCAAAGGCAGGGTAGTATAGGCCTTCTGCCTTGGACCCAGCCTAAATATGGCCGAGCTTCAGGTCGGTAGTAAGGCTGTATGTGAGTTGTGATAGCCACATGTGTACGGAGTATTGATGTGATGTTTTCCTTCACAATGAGTTGTTGCGAGTTAGTGTATTAGTATGCCGGGTTAATAGGTAAATGGGAGCATAGGTTAATGCCACTGCATGGTTCGGCGTAGTGACTAAACTCCTGTTGCTGTATAAGAAACAAAAGTTGTTCCCTCCTTCTAAGAAGGGGAAACGTGGATAGGGAGAGAGGGCCTACGTGAAGTCCCCTGTTAAGCGCCAGTGGGAAAGTATCCCAGCGCTCCAGAGGGCCTTGTGCCATGCACGCGCAGCCGGGCATAATAAGACACCCTAAACTAAGATAATTGGAGAAAGTAAAAACAGTTGAAATAAAATAAGAAAATCCCTGCTTGAGAGTGCCTCTATCTTCCTGACTGCCATATGTGAAGGCTATCTCCTCGTGCAAGTGTGTCATCTTGCCTCCTGTCTCAGAGGAGATTAAGGACTGGTGTGAAACTTCCGTAGAACAAACCCAGTGCATCAACAGCCAGACCCCAGGGGCGCCAGTTTCATTACTGCTACCCGACCCCAGGTAAAGCCCCCCACCTTGAGCTTCCCGGTACAGTGGGCACTCGAGGATCCCCCCAGTCTCTGATACCCCCCTTTAGAGTCCACCGGCTGGGCGGCCTCTGCACCCCCACTGTCCCAGCAGAGTCTCAGTAGGTCAAATAGGGCACTCCTGTCGGCTCCCTCTGTCGCCCGCCACTCCTCCAAAGCATGGGCCCCGCGGCCACCGGTCCGCCGCAGGCCCCCATAGTCCAGCCCGGCCAGGCTCACAGCGACAGGGTGCAACACCCTCCAGGTCTCCAGATCGCCTAGGGGTATGGGACGCTGCTGTCCATCTTGAGACCACCTGGTCCTCGTGCCGTAATAACTTGTCAGCCGTCCCTCTGAGGCACATGTGCGATGCATGGGTAAGTATGTTGAGATTCAGTTCCTCTGTTTTCCGGCAGGGTAAGAAGATATCCTCCGTAGTGTGAGCCCTTCTTCCCATGTAATGTCTTGGCACACTTGATCAAAGCTGTATCCTGAGTCCAGTAAGTGAAGGCTGGGGGCCATTAGCACAGAGGTAGAAACTTAAAACCGGGTAATAGGTGACCGGGATGACCGAGGGGAGCGGGGCTGCAGCGTTATCATTCCCTGTTGCAAGTTGGGGATTTCAGTTACCTCCATATTGTGATGTCTCATGGGACGCTGACAGAGCCTTTCCAGCTTCAGCAGTAGGCTGCAGGCTCATGCCCTCCAGTAGGCCCGAGGCTTCAGAATCCTCATATTTCTTGGATCTTCAGCCCCAGACTGGTATCTTTTTTTAATGCTTGTGTGTTCCTCTGTTCTAGTATACTGTGTTGAGGGCCAGATGGTCAGTTTACGAACGGTAAATTAGCTTTTATTCAGGCTCAGGACCGGAGCTGCATGAGATGGCTTCCTTTCAGCTCGACGGTCCAGCCCCGCCCCCCCGTCCCCAAATTTTTAACCTATTCATTATACAACGCTGATGCATATATTAAGATGAGATAATGATAAACACCTTTTAAAAAAAAACAGGGAGTGCCATCTTGGAGGCTTTTCCATACATGCGAGGATTGGCAAAGATGCAATTTGTGTCCATATGTCTTGTAGGCTCTGTCTTTGGAGATGACTATCACATGCAGTCACATTTTCAGGACTTACAGGGATCATAATACAGCTCAGGGGGTCATTGAGTATCTAGAGAATAAGGTCCGGGGCAATTTGAAATTCACTTTGAATTCTCATTTTAGTGAATTAACTGTGGCAGTCTTTACACTAGTGATAGTTTCAACTGGAGGAAATAACCCACTGTTTTAGCAGAGTGACACGCAAGCAGGAGATGCAGGCTATTAAAGTTTATTTTGATACAGATTGTATTGTATGAAAAAAATTTAAGGAACACTCCACAGCCCATATAAAAAAAAAAAATCATTGCGTGTGTGTGTGTTTCTCTAACACCTTGTTGATCTGTCTGCTGTATAAAAAAGGAACAGTAGCACAAGCCCCAATACTGTTTACAAGCTGTAATGTCTGTCAGTGCAAAAATAAAGAATTCTAAAAAATAAATAAAATGGAACAGTAGCCAGCTGTGTTTTGGGGATGTGCAAATTTTTGTTTCTACATGAAAATGTTATAAATACTTCTGATTCTCAGTAAATACTCTCTGTTTTTTCTTTTAGACAGTCATGAGTGGGACGGCTCAGACTGGGATGGATTGTTACCTCGTTACGAGCATGGCAGCTTTATTGCTCATAGTGATCCAAGGAACATTTGGGTTTTTGGCGGAGCTGAGCAATCACTGAATAGAAACTGTGTTCAGGTATTTCACCCAGGTAGGTATCCTCTTTTGTCTAAAGGGGACACATATGCTTCCTTAAAAACAGGCCAGTCATGCACACTCTTAAATTTAACATGTTGCTCTTCAAATGCCAAACAAACATTATTGCATATAGCCAGACATGTCTAAGTGGAGCACAATGTGTGCATGCTCACCTGTAATTGAACGAAGATTGAGGTTTATGAAAGAGAAAACTAAAACTGAATACAAATAGTGCAACACAATAGGTTTTTTTTATATATATATATATATATATATATATATATATATACACACACACACACACACAAGGAAGAGATAGAGCTTGCACACCTAGTGCTCCACTAAGACCCGTTTGTCTATATGCCATTGTGTTTTTTTTTAATTATTTTTTATTTAAGGTTCTGTGTGGGATTGGAAACTCACAGAGTGTTGTTGCACGTTATCCACTTTGTACTGTATTTTTTTTTTTTTTTTTACTTTTCAAATTATTTATTCTCCAACTTGAAATTGTGGGGGGCAGGGCACTCCTAGTACCATAACCCATACAGTGCACTTTATTGGTTATTGTTGTTGGAGAGTGTTTCTTTAAAGGAAGCTTCTTTCAGGAGCTTCTGGCTCCAGTGAGCGGTGATCACTGCTCAAGGGATCCCAGATAAGTTTTTAAAAAATATTCTCAATTAGTTTCATTACTTACCCTTGGTGAGCACCCCTGGCACACCACTGTGAGTGAGCAATTTGCTACTAGTGGATGTTCAAAAGTAGCAGCAGCAGAGACTTCGGGAGCTAGCAGAAAGGGAGGGGGGGGGCAAGGGGAAGAGTGTAGAGTAGCTAGGATACGGATACTTTGTTCTTGTTGCTGAAGTGATTGATAAAACACACACTTCAGGTAATATTCTGCATGCACTTTGGAGGATGGTGTCGGTTTGGGTAGGAGTGGAGACTGGCATCAACATGGAAGTATTTTTTTATAGTAATTCATGTAGTTTTAAATATGCTGAAATCTCTGCCAAATTGTAACATTGTTGGAGTGCGCTGTACATCTCACATTCTCCATCTTGTTGTGAAGTCAGCAATCCCTGGAAGAAATAAGAGTGGCAAGAATAATTTAACGTTGTATGAGGGCACTTCCTCCGTAGCAACAAAAATTATATATATGAGAACGGGGAAACTTAGAGAAACTCAAAAATGTTCACCATAGTGTGAAGGCTAGCCAACTCTTGCAGCAGGAGCAAAATAAAGCTGGTCTTCCCACACATTGTCTACAAAAGGATGTTAGTACATGGTGGAACTTTACTTTGGAGATCCTGGAAAGGATTTTGGAGCAGCAGAGAGCAATTCATAGCCTGGGTCTAAGACCAGTGTGTTGGTATGTTGTCTCCACAGGGTATGAAGGATTGGACAATGATAGGTCAGCTAGTGGCAGTCCTTAAACCATTAAGTGATGCCATTGAAAACTTGTGCCATACCACTGCCAGTCTGTGACAGGTCACCCATCTAGGGAGCAAGATGATGCCTTCCTTAAGAACCAAGAGGCTTTATCTTACATTTTGATGGTTCTGTCAGTAGATAGCTCCCTAATTTGGTATCCTTATTTAGGACAGCCATTTGCCAATACCATGTAGGGGTACCCTAGTACCTACCTGTACTACCAATACTTTGTTAAAATATAGCTCCCTTATTTAGTATCAATCATAATCAATCAATTTGATTGGTTTCATACCAGATAAGGGAGCTATCTGTTAAACAACCACGTCACAATTGGTATTGGATTTGGTAGAGTGATCTGGCTAGGTTTAGGCTATGCCAAATAAGTGTATCAAATTAGGGACATCTAAAATACTAAATTTAGTAGGGTGGCAAAGATTTGTTTGTGCTCACTGAATTCCCTTCGTCCAAATGGCATTTTCAAATGAAAATATTGAACAAGATTATAATGAAAATGCTAAACAGACAAAATTCTTTTTGGAAGAAAATATAATTATTATTTTTTTTTTTTTTGGACAAAAGGAAATTTCTGTGCTGCCCAACACTAATAAAAATATGAGAAGCGGTGCTCTCTACGATGTGGATCTCCTCCATTGTTTATGAAAATTAATCTTTATTAATCTCTGGCACCTGCTCAGGTTCCGATAACTAATTTTCACGTGTACTGTCATTACTGACTTGCTTAACTAGCTTACAGAACACAAAGATTGAATTTGCATCAGATATTCTTTAACCCCTTAGTGACCACGGACGTACTGGGTACGTCAGCCAAAAAAACAGTCTGTGTGTTGGGGGTTAGGGGGTGGGGGGAGTGCTGTGTGTGGGGGAGGAGTGGTAAAGATACATAAAAAAAATTTAAACTAAAATTTAAGAATCTTTATTCACATTTGGTGAAGGAGAGGGGGACACAGCATTGCTGCCAACCGGCATCAGAGGCCCCCTCCCCCGTCAACCTATGAATGCTTGCCCACAGAGAGGGCTCAGCGTACCACCTGTGCCATAGGTTCGCCATCACTGCCCTAGGGTGTCTACTTTTCAAAAATATATGGTTTGAAGGGGGTGAATTACATTGGCCGGCTTCAAAAATGTCCCAAATAGGACATGGGTACAAATATTAGTGTTACAATGTAACTTGGTTAAGTTTGAAAGAAAATGGTTTGGAAATAGCAAAGTGCTACTTGTACTTATTGCCCTATAACTTTCCAAAAAAATGTTAACATTGGGTATTTCTAAACTCACGACAAAATTTAGAAACTATTTAGCACCGGTGTTTTTTGGCGGTTATAGATGCGCAACAGATTTTGGGGGTCAAAGTTCGAAAAAGTGTGTTTTTGAAAAAAAAAAGTCATCATATTTTATAATGTTTTTTTATAGTAAATTATAGGATATGATGAAAAAAAATGGCATCTTTAGAAAAACCATTTAATGGTGAGAAAAACGGTATATTATATGTGTGGGTACAGTAAATGAGCAAGAGGGAAAATTACAGCTAAACACAAACACTGCAGAAATTTAAAAACAGCCCTGGTCCCAAACAGTAAGAAAATTGAAAAGTGGTCTTGTCACTAAGGGGTTAAAATCATGCTATTCGTTGATAAGATCTACGTCTAAAACTATTTTGTCTAAGCAATTTAGAAAATGGGAAAGTGAGTGCAGTACTGAAATTGATATGTGTGCCTGGGGCGAAACATTAGTAAGAACTAAGAAAAATGTACAAAATATAATATTGTTTGAAACACACTATAAAGTGTGCAACAGATGGTATTTAGTGCCAACAAGATTAAATAAACTCAGTGCTAGCGAGTCAAATATGTGCTGGAGATGTAAGAAGGTAGTAGGAAGCTATCTACATGTATGGTGGAGTTGTGATAAAATAAAAAAACTTTGGGTTCAGATTTATAGATTTTTATACGAGTGTGGCAGAATTAGATTTGAGTTAACACCAGTAACAGCACTATTGCATCTGGGTTGGCCAGATTTGACAACATTACAATATTTCTTGGCCACACACAACTTTTTAGCTAAAAATTTTGGTGGCAAGGAACTGGAAACAGTCAACTGAAATTTGTTATTCTCAATGTGTAAAACAACTGACAACGCAAGTTAAAATGGAAACAGGTATTTGGAGGAAAAGTAATGTAAATAAGAAAAACTGTTAGGAGAAACATGTTTAGATTTGAAAATGACATTCACGTAAAATATGTACTTTAGAGTTTAAGAAGTAAAGTTAAAGGGACACTGTAGTCACTATAAGCATTTCATCTCTTTGAATTGGTTATAGTGCCTGGAGTACCCTGGCACTGTCCCTCCATTCAGTGTTGCACTATGTTCGTGCAGTATGCCACAAAATAGGAGTCCCTGGCCACCCACAGTCCGGCCCCTTCAGTATGTGTAGCTAAGGCAGAGATTACACACTTCCTTGTTGTCATACCATCAGTTGGAACTCTGACAGGCTAAAAGCAGTCAGCTGACACTCTCAGCCAATCACAGCTGCCCATTTCTGCTCAGGCTATTTCCTTATTAGCAAAAGCAGCACAGAGGGGATGGATTGCCGGGGACTCTTGTTTAGCATTAAAACATTAAAAGTTTAAAAACTGTTTAATGCTGATAGAAATGATGGGACCAGAAGACTCCAGACACTATAACCAGTTTAATGAGATGAAGCAGATACAGTGCCTACGGTGTCCCTTTAATAAAAAAAAAAAAAAAGATAAGAGCGTTCCAGTCCGGCAATTTTTTTCCCACATTTGCAGAATGTTGTATGTAATGCAATAACAGGGAATATTATACATTTTGAATGTTTGCTTAATAACTGTATGGATGTTTTATAATTTTGTGTATGTTGTAAAAACGAATAAAGCTTATTTAGCAAATTGAAAAGTGGTCTGGCCACTAAGGGGTTAAGATCATGCATACAGTCATGTTTACATTGACTACATGTGCCCCAGAAATACATTATCGACATCATTTATTGCATAACAGAACCAAATGCGACTCCTGTAATGTCCTGATTTGTTATCATTAATTCTTTATGGACCAGTTATTAAGCAAATCCTTTTATACTGTAACTTGTTAATCAAGTAATTAGTCAATAAAAATGGTTAACATGCACATTGCTAGTATCTATTGTTAGGAAATACCATGTTGTATCCTAGCGAAACACCTTTTCTTCTCTGTATATATTTTGATATACAAATAAATGTTTCTTCTGTGTTATTAGGAAGCTCTGCATGGAAAAGTCCAAAAGTAAAGGGAGAAGCCCCCTCTCCTAGAACTTTTCACACATCATCCTCTGCCATTGGAGACAAACTGTATGTTTTTAGTGGGGGAGAAAAAGGTGCAGAGCCTGTACAGGACACTCGGCTGCATGAATATGATGCAGGTAATGTAATTGGTAACTAAAGTTATTACATTGGATTGATGATATTTATAGCATACATGATAAAAACTCTGAAAAAAGTCTTAAAAAAAGAGCCAAACAGTTAAACTGTGTGCAGTCAATGTGAAATCCATGATTAGTAATGCTTGTCTCTTATTGACTGAATGGTATTCTAAGGCTTAAAAGCAATGACAGGAAATGCAATATGTGCTGCATATTTTCTGTTTGCTGCAATAAGTAATTTTATTGGTAGGTTTCTATATAGCTACTTATCTGACACATAAACTGACTCGCAAGATATTCATTGTTATGCTTCTACACTTATGTATTCATAGTCGTTATGAAGCCAACTGTGAAGCCCATACGATGTCTCATTCTATTAGAAGAGAGGCATTTCCACCCATAAGGTGAAAGTGTCTAGAATTGTGTATATATAGAATAACTGACTAGCCCTTAGATATGGGGTACATAACAGTTTGCTCATATAACTATTAATCAGAGGGTCAGACCTGCACAATAACCACTAGAGTCCACTGTAGCACTTATGGTGCTATGAGTTCCCTAGTGCTCTCCCACAGTAAGTAGTCAAGCCATTTTTAACGTTTTAAACTTGTGATAGTGGACTGTGTGGTTAAAGAACCAACACTAGTCGATAGGTGGAGCGCTCAAAGTGAAATAACTCACCCCCCTCTTAGGTTTTGTGGAAAAACCTAGAGGTGGGGATGAGATAAAATAGGGTAGAATCGTGTAATACGTAATAAGTAACAATGGAGTGGTAATAGAAATATATGGACCCACTCACATGGTGCTGAGCCTCAGTAGGACAGGCTCAGATCACTTGGGCAGGCGTGTTTAGGATAACACGAAACCTACAGCTGATGAGAGTCATGCTGTTCCTTTAAAAAGACAAAAGACCGAATCTGGTGCAGTATGTAGGTGAATTTCCAGTATATATGGTGAAGTAAACAGAACTGCTCACCTTATTCAGAGCCTAAAACTTGGCTCTGAGTATGATAATGTTTGTGTCAATAAGGGGACACAAAACCCTGTAGGAGGGGGGGGCGGGGCCTGACCGCCGAGCAGACTGGCCGTACGAGAATCTACAAATAACCGACTTATTCCTAACTCTCCACACTGAATTTACTAATCTGAAGCAGCAGAGAACTGGTGTTACCCCGAGACCCAATTGGCGGGACCGCCGGGCTCGGAGTGGCACCTTAAAGTGGACACAGAGTTGCGGCCTACCAGCAGATGCAGGCGCGGGAGAGGCGGCCGACCTCCCTGCCGCGGTTCTGCGGGACAACGCTGCGGCGAATAGGGCTCCGTACACCCCCCCTTGCCGGTGAGGGATATCCCGGCATTACCAATCGACTGATAAGCTAACAGGCTCTGCCTCAAGACGACAAGTGGGACTTACCTGATCCGGACGCACTGCACTGAAACACAGTCAAAGCCAAAATGGTGACTACCTTACCTCTAACATGCGGCCTGCTGGAGAATTATGACCAGCGGCTGGACGCACTGTGTAAAGACTTCTGGCAGAAACTATGGTGCAGAGGGGCACAAACTACTGGGAAGACCAACAAGCGACGGCACTCCCCTCCTGGTGGCCTGAAACACAAGCGGGCGGACCTCGGACAACCCATCCAGCCCCCAAAACACAGAAATCAGGAGAGAAAAGAGACAACCAAAGAACCACAACTGGCCCAGAGTCACCCAAAGCTATTTACTTAATATACTTAACTACGACTCTTCAGATCTGCTGTTCCTTATGATTGAAGCACCGGCCTAGTTTTTCAAGCAGACTTGTTTGTCCCAGCACTTGAAACACTGCAGTAGTATACAGCAAAGCAACTTCATCCACACACATGCGAACCTACATTGCAGTAACATTTCACCATTGTTAAGCCTGTTATGTTGATCTTGCTTATTTGTTTAAAAAAAAAATTAAAAATAAATGTGCACCTACTCTTGCCACTGTTAAGCTTGTATAGATGTATGTAAGTACGCTGTTTTGGCGTTGGATACTGACATGTACCTACCTGCACAATGAAAATAAAGAATTTAAAAAAATAAAATAAACCCTGTAGGTGGTATGAGGAACACTGGATGCTCACGTCCACAGGAAGGAGTTGGATAAAATAAAATGTATTTAAAGTATAAAAACACTAATACAAAATAAAATAACTGCATAAAAACAGTAATACAAGTAATATATATTTCACTGTTAGATTCTTCCTTTTCCGATTTTATTTAAATGTAATATTTTTCTTGTCTTCTAATCCATATCCTTATTTAGTGCTGTAGTATCATTGTAAATATAACATTACAATAATCACTTCGCCCTCATCATTTCTAATTTTTATTATATTTGGACAGCCTCCATGACATGGACTCAGCCAATGACATTTGGGAACCCACCTGCTCCTCGCCATGGTCATGTCATGATAGCAGTAGGCACAAAGCTGTTCATACACGGTGGCATGGCAGGTAGTGCGTTTTTTGATGACATGTTCTGCATTGACACAGGTAAAGGTCTGCCTCTCCAATGGATTATATATTGCTTTACTGCTTTATTATATACAATGATAACTTTTTATTGTAGCAACAGTATTTAAAAGACAAGCTTTCAATAGTTATCCTCTCTTCCTCATGTATGAAGCAATACTGAAGAATGTAATAGTTTAACACTTTGAAACTACTGATCTTGGCCTCAATGTAATATTCTTGTATAAGCTTTTCAAATGATTTAATGTTTTTGTATAAACTTTTTAAAATTATTTTTACAAAATATTAAAATACCTAAAAATATCACAGAAAAAAAAATGATCACAATATTAAAATGTGTTTTATAACATTCAACTGTTTTAAAAGTTTATCCAAAAATATTAATTCATTTGAAAAGTGTATCTAACAATATACAATCGAGGCCCTTGTTAGAGATTGGGAGGAGGTGGGCCAGAGGGGTTGTAAATAGCCAGACACTAGTCTTCCTGACACTCTGGGGGAGACTGGGGACACACACTATGATTTTCAAAATTAATGCAGTAGAACAATTCATTGGAAGTGCTGGTTTTAGTACCGTACATAGCTCTCCTGTCAGTCTGGGGCCACTAACCGTAGCATATGATAATTTAAAAATCCTCTTGGCAGCCCATGCTCCCCACAGTGGTCTGTCCCAAATATATGATGCTGATGAGAGGTTTCTGCAATGTAACCAGATAAGCAGTAATTAAGATTCTCAGAATTTAGATTTTTAGTGTATGCATTTATTTAGTAATTGGGCCATCCAGGTGTCCTCCCAAACAGGCAGTTATTTTAAACCTATATGGAAGCTAGATATATACAGACACCCCAAGCTAGAAGAATTCTAGACTCCCTGAATGGGGAGCCGACTCTCCTCTCTATTCTTTTTGTTTCTTGCTATATGGAAGCTAGGTTAGCTTTTTTTATGAAAATTGTATTCTCGCCCACTTCACCAAAGTTAATGATGGCTGCCTCCAGCATCAACCGATAATCCGTTAACTAAAAGTAACCAAGGAAATAATAGACATCGTAGTTTTGGGAGTCTAAATAAAAAGCATTTGTGTTTTGGCAGGTACAAGGAAATGGGAGCATCTGAAATTGAAGGGAGATGTTCCTCCTGCCTGTGCGGCCCATTCTTCTGTAGCCTTGAAAACCTATATTTATATCTTTGGTGGAATGACTGAGTTGGGACCAGTGAATACCATGTACCAGTTTGACACAGGTAAGTTAGTATATGGTGTATTTCAAGTCTTAGCAGGTGATTGCATTCATATTATTTTTTTACAGAAACCTTTACTTTTTCTTTAAAAAACATTAACAGAAATTAGCAAATGTTTTCTAGATGGCATTTCATGGAATTAATTTTCTAAGTAGTATTTCACCAATAAATATTACAAAAATAATCTTACCCCTCCTAATGGTATGATTTAATATGTTAGCCTGTCCGTATAACTGGGCCTAGTGGTCAATTGTGTTTATGCATTCTGTTCTGGGTGGAACTTAATAAAGTTTAAAAGATGGACCAATTCATCAGCATCAAGGGAAATGTCACAGAACAGGCCCTCTAATGGAAAAGGAATCACTCAAATCCATATTTTCCCTAGCTAGTGAATTAAAGGACCACTCTAGGCACCCAGACCACTTCAGCTTAATGAAGTGGTCTGGGTGCCAGGTCCAGCTAGGGTTAACCCATTTTTTCATAAACATAGCAGTTTCAGAGAAACTGCTATGTTTATGAATGGGTTAAGCCTTCCCCTATTTCCTCTAGTGGCTGTCTCATTGACAGCCGCTAGAGGCGCTTGCGTGCTTCTCACTGTGATTTTCACAGTGAGAGCACGCCAGCGTCCATAGGAAAGCATTATGAATGCTTTCCTATGTGACCGGCTGAATGCGCGCGCAGCTCTTGCCGCGCGTGCGCATTCAGCCGCGGGGCGGAGGAGGAGGAGAGGAGGAGGAGAGCTCTCCGCCCAGCGCTGGAAAAAGGTAAGTTTTAAACCCCTTTCCAGAGCCGGGCGGGAGGGGGTCCCTGAGGGTGGGGGCACCCTCAGGGCACTATAGTGCCAGGAAAACGAGTATGTTTTCCTGGCACTATAGTGGTCCTTTAAATGATTTATTTCATTTTACATTCTTACATTCTAAGCATTTTTTTACAAGGCATTTAGCTTGTAGCCTGATTATAAACAATGTATGTGACCTCTCTGATCACATTAGAGTTTGTAGAAGGAATGTTGTCCTTCAAAGTATTTTTTAGATGACATTTAGAATCTTCTCATTTCTGCTACATCCATAGCAAATATGATGGGGGGAGATTTCAACACAGGACTTGAGCCTTATCAAAGGGTAGTGTTATGTACAGGGCCGGATTAACATAGGGGCTGATGGAGCTGCAGCTCCAGGCCCAGGCCCAGGCCCAGGCCCAGGCCCATGGAATAGGCCCATCTAAAAAAAAAAAAAAAAAAATTTTTTTTTTTTTTTTTTTACACACTACTCTTAGGTTTCCCACCTGACTGGTATTTTACTGGCACAGCCGGTATTTGAGGCTGCCTGGCCGTGCCGGTATTGCAGTAATACCAGCAATACAATTGCAGGTATTTTTCTCAGAATAAATGGAGATTACTCTGCAATACCAGCACCAGCCAATAGGGGTCACTGTGTGGAGAGAGGCAGGGATAGGAAGTTACAGCATATCCCTGCCTCTCTCTACTACTTACTGATCCATGGGGGAGCAGCAACACAGCACAGAGTCCAGACAGCAGCTCTACAGCTCAGGTAAGTGAGGGATGGGGACACTGGGGGACACATGGGGACACTGAGACACTAGGGGACACATGTGGACACTGAGACACTAGGGGACACTGAGACACTAGGGGACATATGGGGACACTGAGACACTAGGGGACACAGACTCTAGGGGACACATGGGGACACAGACACTAGGGGACACTGAGACACTAGGATACATGGGGACACAGGCACTGGGAGACCTGGAAACACTGAGACACTTGGGGACACTGGAAAATATGGGGACACTGAGACACTAGGGGACACTGGGACACATGGGAATATTGAGAGACACTGAGACATTGGGACATGGAGACACTATGTCCCCATTTCTCCCCATGTCCCCCATCCAGTGTCGCTAGTGTCTCAGTGTCCCTAAGTCTCACAGTGTCTGTGTCCCGTGTCTCTCAGTGTGCCTAGTGTCCCCATGTGTCCCAGTGTCCCTATATGTCCCAGTGTCCTCATGTCTATGTCCACAACTGTCCCCAAGTCTCCCAGTGTCCCCATGTCTCTGTGTCCCTAGTGTCTTAGTGTCCCCAAATGTTTAAGTGTCCCTATGTCTCCCAGTCTCTGTGTTCCTAGTGTCTCAGTGTGCCTTGTGTCCCCATGTCTCCCAGTGTCCCTATATGTCCCAGTGTCCCCATGTCTATGCCCACAACTGTCCCCATGTCTCCCAGTGTCCCCAAGTGTCTGTCTTCCAGCCAGTGTCCCATGTCTCCCAGTGTCCCATAGTCTCCCAGTGTCTGTGTTCCCATGTCTCTGTGTCCCTAGTGTCTTAGTGTCCCCAAATGTTGCAGTGTCCCCATGTCTCCCAGTGTCTGTGTCCCTGGTGTCTGTGTCCCCATTTCTCCCAGTTTCCCTAAATGTCTCAGTGTCCCCATGTCCCCATGTCTCCGTGTCCCCGGGTCTCTGTGTCCCCATGTCTCACTGTGTCCCCAGTATCCTAGTGACATGGGGACACACTGAGACATGGGGACACACTGAGACATTGGGACACTGGGAGAAATGGGGACACTGAGACACTGGGAGACTAGGGGACTGGGCGACATGGGGACACTGACACTGTGATACATAGGGACACTGAGACACTGGGTGACTTGCGAGACTGGGACACTGGGAGAAATGGGGACACTGAGACACTGGGAGACTAGGGGACTGGGCGACATGGGGACACTGACACTGTGATACATAGGGACACTGAGACACTGGGTGACTTGCGAGACTGAGACACTGGGAGCAATCCATCTTTACAGCAGAATCAAACTGTGAGTAGTTTGTTGGTGATTTTACAGAATTTTCTCTGATGTCACTCCTTGTGATTATACAAATTATTAAGGCTGGTATTTTTTTTCCAAGAAAGGTGGCAACCCTAACTACTCTTCACATACTCTTGCTTAAAGGAGCACTATAGGATCAGGAACACAATCATGTATTTCTGACTCGATTATTTAAAAACCAACACCCTGGCCCCTTCTTGCCTCCCTAAGTATAGTAAAATATAACTTGTATTCAAGTCTGCAGCTGCTGGCTCTGCCTCTGAATTCACTGTCTACTGACATCATCAGAAGTGGTGGTCTGAGCAAATTACAATACTTCCCCATAGGATTGGCTGAGACTGTCAACTAGGCAGATCAGGGGCAGAGCCAGCACAAGTCTAACATAGCCCTGGCCAATCAGCATCTCCTCATAAAGATAAATTGAATCAATGTATCTCTATGAGGAAATTTCAGTGTCTGCATGCAGAGGATGGAGACACTGAATGGCAGTGCTGCACACTAGGCAGTACTGCCCCAGGAAGCACCTCTAGCAGCCATCTAAGGAGTGGCCAGTGGAGTTATTTTCTCTGAAAAGACAGTGTTTACTGCAAAAGGCCTGAATGGAATGATTCTACTTACCAGAACAAATACAATAAGCTGTAGTTCTTCTGGTGACTATAGTGTCCCTTTAAGTTTGGAAGCTTAAGAGGGATGTATGGGAACAAAACTTGTGTGGACTAGCTGACAATAAAATTAGTTTAGGTAATGCAGACGCTGGTCTCTCTAACACTGTGGCATGTCCCCTTTCTTCTACACTCACTACATACACTACACTCACTACAAACACTACACTCACTACATACACCTTTACTCTGTCTCAGACTATATACCAGGAACTTCTGCCTGCTAGTAAGAAGGTAAGGAGACAAGTGGACCAGCGTGTGCTAGGGGACAGTCCTTAGAAAGCACGGAGTGAGCGCATCATTAGATGCATTTATGTCAAGCTCATGGTGCTGCCTGCATAGTATGCCCTTAGTTGGACAGCCTGCAGGATTGGCGGGCAGCCTGACATGCATTCATGCCAGGCTGTCCTTCAAATTCTTTGGACAGACATGCCCCCTTTTTGGGCATGTTCACCCCATTTGGCAGGTCTGGTCACGTGATTTGCACCAGTGGCACACCCTTTTACCTCGCCCATTGACTTCCTATTTCACTGGACATTGCTGTTAGGGGTTATGGATTTACTTGAAAGATGAAAACATAAATTAGAGAGAGATTAGCATAGAGTATGTGTTTTCATATAGCTGCATCCTTTGATTTTCCTTCTAACACCATCTCCATCAGATACATGACGCTTGGGAGGTATGACTGTTTTAGTGTTTTTGGTTGAAAAGATTCCGTAATTAGGCCCATCATATTTGTCAGCACCATGCCCAGTATGCTCTTAATCCGGCCCTGGTTATGTAGCATACCTTAACCATACTCAACATCCTTAACTTTATCAGTGTTTGTTTTCTGGAATGCCTGACAGATTATTTTATTTTTTTTTGCCTCCTACAGAATCATTATTTTGGACCAAGATGAAATTTGAATCACCATGTCCACAAGCACGTTTAGATCATTCTATGTGTCTACTGCCATGGAAAATACGAACTGAACTTTCTAGCACAGAAAAACCTCATATTAAACCAAAGGACAATGGAGACACAAATGATCATTGTGATAAAGACTTGGAATGCAGTAAACTGGACAAGGTGCCCCTCTGTTTAATATTTGGTGGCATGAATATCAGTGGAGACCTATACAATGACTGTTGTGTAACTTTACTGCAAAATTAAAACTAGACATTTTATATGTTTTAATGACTGTATAAAGTAGACTGAATATACTTCCAAATGTCTGAAATTCTGGGTTCTTTCATACAGCTTTTTAAAAGGGTGGTTAAACAACCATTTCAAGTACTCTCTGTAACATTTGGTAACTTCTGGAAATCCTTTGTGAACACAAAAGCTTTATTTTTTAATTAAACATATATGGAAGAATCAAAGTCTTCTCCTGCACAAAGCCTTCAAGAGGAAAATTAAAGTGTTTAGGATCTATAAAAGCACATACAGGGTTACTCACAAAGTAGAATTGCAGTAAATTGGAAACCAAATTGCAAAATTGTAGTCAACAGTAACATATTTAGAAATATTCTGCTTGGCTATATTTACTGTTGGCCTATATTAACCTGGATTTTGAAATTCTGTTTTTGATTCATTATAGTGAATAATTCCCTGTAGTGTATATTGTTGGGGACTCGAAGAACATTTCAAATTTGGGGGTAAACCATATTAGAGTGTGTGTGTGTGTGTATCTGCCATAGACAAAAAGCAGTAGTGTGTTGCTATTCTTTCAAAGGCCATCATCTATGACATTATCCTGGTATTCGCCAATTCCAAGAAGATGCTCTTGGTGTCTTCTTCTTACAGCTGTAGCTTATATGAATTTTTTTTTTTCTGCTTGCCTCCATTATATTATTTTATGTTATCAAAATAATTTTATTGATATAATAGAATACAACACATGACTGAAAATTCAGCTTATGACAAAAAAAAGAAAGAAATAGAGAATATATATATGATTTAGGTTAATCTGGTACATGTAAAGCATCTCATTTTGTAGTAGAAAATAAACAAGGAATAGATTGCTCATAGCTCAAACAAATTGCAAAATATGTTACCAGATTATAGCTTACTAAGATTACTGAAAGAACTTGTTGTGTATTATCATGTAAAAATGTAAAAGAACCAGGATACAGATGTGTATCTCAATTAGCAACACAATGTGCACAAAATATTGCTATACATATAGAACTCCCTAGAGGAGATCAATTTGATGAAAATATGTCTCCCCTGCTGTAAATCGGGGGTTCGAGTGTCCGTCGACTTTTTCACTGAACCATGGTAGAATCTCAAGGATATTTATATATTTACAAAACCATATTTTATGTGTGGAGACAACCCCACAATAACATGAACCCATGTTGATCATATTTCTATATGAAATCAATATAGTAAAATGGCTAATCATTTAATGACTTATTGGTAACACCAACACAGGATACAATTAATATAATTGATTAATGACACTATTAATAGAATTTATTTAACAATGAGAATGATTTTAATTAGACCAATATTTATCATAAAGTTAATAAATACAGTAATTAAAAGGACACTATAGTCACCAGAACAACTACAGCTTATTGAATTTGTTCTGTTGAGTAGAATTATTACCTACAGGCTTTTTACTGTAAGCCCTGTCTTTTCAGAGAAAATGCAGTGTTTACGTTACAGCCTAGTGATAACTTCACTGGCCACTCCTCAGATGGCTGTTAGAGATCCTTCCTGGGTCATTGCTGCCTAAAATGCATCAACACACTCAGTATCTCTGCCTACGGCTTCAGGCTTGAATACAAGTAAGATTTTACTATATTTAGGGAGGCATGAGAGGGTCAGGGGGGCTAGATGGTGGTTTTAACACTATGGGTTCAGGAATACATGTTTGTGTTCCTGACCCTATAGTGTTCCTTTAAGTCGTTATATGATAAGTTATTTAATATGTTGCTATGTTGAGTTCATATAGAAATACAGTTAGACATAGGTTAATGTTATTGTGAGATCATCTCCATACATACAATATAATCTTGTAAATATATAAGTGCACTGGTATATAGAACATCATTTTGTATGCATTTGTTGAATTGATATCTGGAAAAATGGCAAGGTCTGATTGAAGTTTATATATTTATTTCGATTGAGTGCTGGAGATATCGGAGCTTGTGATCATGTAACCAGCATAGCTCAGACTGCACACAAGAACAGGAAGTGGGTAATGGAGAGCACAGAAGCCAGCAGTGGAACGCAAGCGGACGCACTCATGGCGCCTACACGAGAAAATCAATTAGAGAATAAGACCTGGCTGGAAGAGGTGTGCACTCTAATTCAGAAAAGAGGATTGGCAAATGGATTATATGGGGGAACATAACGTGGACCATTTAGTAGAGATGATCATCAAACCAACAATGAACGATAGGGATTAGCCTTATAAAAGGGGACCACAGGGGTGTGGGTATTAGGCTGTAGGTTTTATGGTTATTATACTTGGTTTTTTTGGTCCCTGAAGAAGTCAACTAGGAGGACGAAATGCATTGGACCTTTTAAACTTTTATTTTTGTTTTATTGTTTGTAACATTTTTTTATAATAAACCTCTTCATATACCTACCTAGATCATTGAGATATTACCAGGGTTGAGCGGAAAGAAGAGCAGAGGATGCTCTAGGGATCACAACCACGAGAGGTTGAAGGTTTTGGTTCAGTCCCAGATCCCAGGTGTAGTCTGCAAGCCTGCAGGAATACTGCTGAGTCAGCCTCGGATGAGAGCAAAGATCTTGAAGAAAAATAACTTGCACGACTTCAGATTGAAACCGGGTCTTACTTCTTACATCGGGCATAATTAACATTTTGTTGCCAAAGGTTTGAAAATGGATAAACACGTAGCGAGGAGACACTGGTGCCTTGGGTAATCTAGGAAGCCTGCAGAGACCATCCAGGTACATGCCCCTGACCTGCTTCTGTGAAAGGAGGAACGCAAACAAGTGTCAGACAAAGAGTGGCAATTCTCCCTTCTCAACATCCTCTGCTACCGCTCTGAGCTTTATATTTCTGAACCTAGGGTGAAATTACAAAGGAGGGAAATGTGAGCAAGGGACAAGTACTCTCTTTGGTTTATTTATCTATTATTAGATTAAGAGGCATGTTTTAATTGGCACAGGTGGAATGGGCAGGATTTGTTACTGCACCTACGATTATAAATACACTCAGACCACTATTCTCTCACTGATAGCCCCAGACAAAGGCACAATGGTGCCGAAGTACACATCAGTTCTTAGTTAGTTTTCCCAACTTTTCATGTTTTTGGTGGGGTATAATTATTTTTGTGTTCTATATTTTATATGGGAAAGCTCTGTAGTTAGCTTTATAAAAAAACAAGACTTGCTTCAAAGTTGGGTATGTAGAAACCTTAAAGGACCACTCTAGGCACCCAGACCACTTCAGCTTAATGAAGTGGTCTGGGTGCCAGGTCCAGCTAGGGTTAACCCATTATTTTATAAACATAGCAGTTTCAGAGAAACTGCTATGTTTATGAATGGGTTAAGCCTTCCCCCAATTCCTCTAGCGGCTGTCTCATTGACAGCCGCTAGAGGCACTTGCGTGATTCTCACTGTGATTTTCACAGTGAGAGCATGCCAGCGTCCATAGGAAAGCATTGATAATGCTTTCCTATGTGACCGGCTGAATGTGCGCGCAGCTCTTGCCGTGCGTGCGCATTCAGCCGCATGGGAGGAGAAGAGGAGGATCGGAGGAGGAGAGTTCCCCGCCCAGCGCTGGAAAAAGGTAAGTTTTTACCCCTTTCCCCCTTCAAGAGCCGGGCGGGATGGGGACCCTGAGGGTGGGGGCACCCTCAGGGCACTATAGTGCCAGGAAAACGAGTATGTTTTCCTGGCACTATAGTGGTCCTTTAAGCTCCAAGGTAATAGGTGTTGCTCAGTCTGTTTCTATCATCTAGAATTTACCTTTAGTGACTCCTTAGTACCTTAGTGTGCTTACAGCTTCTATTACAATATAGAGCTATAATCTACTCTCAGCTAACACAGGACACTGTCGATTCTCTGTATTACCTATGAGTAGTTTCTCTCCAGTTTGTAATCTTCATGTTCGATTGCACAACAGATTTAAAGCTGTAACTTTTAACGAGTTGCACGTCTATTCTTCTAGATTTGTTAGGAGAAACATTGTACCTTGTAATTCCTTGAGGTACCAGCATTAGCTGTAACATTGTAATCACGCCACTATCTTGATTTAAAGGGACACTATAGTAACCAGAACAACTACAGCTAAATTCAGTTGTTCTGATGTCTATGGCCTGTCCCTGCAAGCTTTTTATGCCATGCCTATTCACATCTCTAGTGGCAGTCGCTCCTTTCCTAGCGTAATTAATAAATCAATTTTCATATGTGTATATATATATATATATATATATATATATATATATATATATATATACATACATACATACATGAAACCAAGAGGGCTGCACTCACCTGAACATGCATAAATTATAGGGTGCTGCTGGGGCCAAAATATACAAAATACAGAATCCAGCGCACTCGTTTATTCACTAACCAATGATTTCAAATCTTAGAGATTGTAATAGTTTTATTTAAAAACTCCCCACCTAGACAAAAAATAATGGGGGTTTAGTTACATTATATGATCATATATTGCATAAACCTGTCACAACGTCAATGTACCCCATTCTTGGCAGGTCCTACTCTAACAGCCTAATGTCTGCTCTTATGAGATTAATCCACTTACTTGGGAAATTCTTCCTTACTGGGACTCTCTGCAAGTCAAGGCTAAATAGGGTCCTGGAATGAGGCACCTCTGATAGGAAGTAGTAAAAGACAGACAAGCTTTTCTGGGCATTACCACATGAGTAGACATGACAAGAGAAATTACAAAAGATATGTCAAGAATGTTGCACTTTTTTTTTTAAAGATAAGAAACAGAAAGAGTAAATGGAGACAAACTATTAGCAAAAATAAAATAAAAGAATATGTGCCTTGTAGCTTAAGGCAAAAGAGGTATCCAATCAAGTTAAGTGACTACAAGTGCAGGAGTATAAAACATAACTAAACAAAGAATTTAAGCTAGACAGGCTCCACTTATGCAGGAAAAAGTAACGTAGGCAGGTATAAGATTCATAGCTAAACAATTGAGTTATCTATCTAGGTAAGAGAAGTGACTGCGTGGAAGTTAAGTTGCCACATGAGAAGGAGCCACTGGATTCTGAGGCACTCATACAGTATTGCTGCTAACATATTGTAAATAAAAATAACTCAAAATAATATGCTTAATACAACATAGTTGGCTTCCACTGGTGCCATGTGGGCATATAACTTCAAGCTGGACTGTTGCATATACCTTGGTGAGGCAAGCCCTGTGTCAGCCGACTCATTAAGGGAATAGCAGGAGACTTTGGTGGTGATGGTCTTCCTCTTGTGTGGCCAATGCATCCGTGTACAACCTGTTGGGGCCTGCAGCCTAGTACGATTAGCAACAGATGCTTGCAGAGTCACTATACCCGGAGTAGGCCTCACCTCTTTGTCCCTTTGATCATCCTCTGGGGGCAAGTGATGAGTTGCAGTGAGTTTTGCTTCCAGCTTTGCCCAGAAGTGTGCAAATATTTCCTCCATTCTCTGGACAGAGCCTGCAGCTGAGCCATTCTGGGTCAGTTTCGGGTCTTGCCCACGTTGCGATGGTGCATACGCCATCTTGGCTGATTCCACACACCGGGGATAAGAAAAATCAGTTGAAAAGCAGCAAGGAACGTAAGTATGTTGGTCCAGTGGGGACCAGTCCAGAGGGGGGGAAGGGGGAAACAGGGCTGTAGGAGGGCTCTGCACAGAGGCTGTGCAGCACAGATCAGGAGAGCGACCGCCTTTCCTACCTGATGGCCCCACTAGGCCTCGCTTGGTGCTTCGGGAATAACTGACAGCCGGCACTTCACGGACCCGACCTTAGGCACTCCGCTGGTAGTAGGCGATAGCTAAGTCCCAATGAGAGCTGGATGAAAGTGCCTTTAGGGTATCTTGCCTTAGTTTTTTTTTTTTTTTTTTTTTGCTCTGCCATTCAAGCGTGGTTACAATAGTGCAAACAGATGTGAATACATGACCGCACAAGTTTTGATGATTTGTAGTATAAAATACAGGGTAACCGAGTTAATACAAGCATCGGTCACAAACTGTGCACCTTTGGTGCGTCTCTGCCAGAGTTTTCATTTACATTGGTAATCAGATAAAGAGAGAGAAAAAGAAAAGCATCCGAAAAAAAGGGAAGAAATAACGGTACAACTGTAGAATTATTGAGGAGTGTGCTGTGCCCTAAACTCTCAGGATGGCTGCGATGAGTGTATTGCATTGCCTTGGCCTAAGCGTAGGTGTGTGGTATCCCGAGCTTGCCCAGGTAGTTCAGGCATTGTGCCCTCACCGTCTGCCCTGTGCCTGCCCCCCACCGTGTTCTGTCAATCCGTTATGTACGTGATCTGGCAGGGTTAGACAGTGTTGAAGTTTTCCTCTCCTCATGTTTGCTTACATTGTCTGAGGTATTTACAAAAGATAAGAGAAGATCAATAAAGAATAGATAGATATAGACAAGTATAATTTTCAGTATGTTGAAGTACAGAGAGTTGGTGATCTCCTGTGAACCGAGAACCCCGTGCCGCCCGCCCCAGTGGGCCGCGGCCCTCGTTCCGGCTTTAGCCAGTCCCCCGTCCTGCTGTGGAGCCGCTTCCACCCGTCCGGGTTATGGTATGCCAGCGACCGCCGGGTGAGCCCCTGCCGTCACTGCTGAATTGTGCCGCACAGATGCCGCTCCGCGCCCCGAGTCTATGTGTCGTATTGCTCCCATGGACCCCACACCTTGTGAAATGTGGTCAGCGTGTTCCGCACTTTGGCCGTGAGTTTATCCATCAGATAATTATTGCGGAGTTTCGTCCTAACCAATGATAGCTGCGGGAGGTCCGGGCAGGACCAGTGTTGTGCCACGGCCCTGTGGGCCGCTAAGTAGATCATGTTAAGGAGTTTTTGTTCGTGCCTCGGGAGGCCCTCCGTGGGTCTGGATAAAAGGCATGCCCACGGATCTAGTGTCATTCGTTTTTGTAAGATTTGGGAGCTGAAGTTTACTATGCTGCGCCAATAGGCCGCCACCTTTGGACATTCCCACCACATGTGGATGTAGGTGCCCCTACCCCCACATAAGTGCCAGCAATCATCTGTAGGACGCAATTTCATGTGTTTTTGCTTCACAGGAGTCATGTACCAACGGAATAGCGTTTTGTATGATTGTTCTTGGAGTGTTACGCAGATGGTGGTTTTGGTGCATGCCTCCCAGATGTCCTGCCACTCCGTTCCCTCTAGGGCCTCCCCCAGGTCGGCTTCCCACTGGTCAGTGTATCTGAGTGCGTCTGTCGTGTCTGGGGCCGTGTTGAGGTGGTTGTATAGTAATGTAATTAGCTTGGATTGTGTAGTCTCCATAAAGCATAGTTTCTCAAAAAAGGTTAGAGGTGTCAGGGCTGCCTTTTTTTCCGTCAGGGCTCTGTGCAAAGTCTCGGATTTGCAGGTACCTGAAATAGTCTCTAGTGTGCAGTGGAGCTTTGGTGTTCAGGTGTGCGTATGTGACTATTTCCTGGTTTATGAATAGGTGGACGTATCTCTGGAGCCCAGTGGCTTCTATCCCTTTGTAGTCCCGGGCCCTCATTCCCGGTGGGAATGCCCTATTCCGGAAGACCGGTGTCATGGGAGACAGAGGGGGGCTCAAGGAGTATTTCAGTTTAGTTTGGTCCCATATCCGTATGGAGTTCAGTATGACCGGATTCGTGGTTCTCAGTATGGCCCTTTGTGTTTTTGGTGCCCATATAAAAAATTGTGGGAGGTCCTGTCTCGTCATTAGTGACTCCATGTCGACCCAGCGTCGTGCATCAGGGGGTGTGTGCCATTGTATGATCTGGGCTAACTGTGCCGCTAGATAGTAATTATATACATTAGGTAGTCCCAGTCCCCCCCCGGCTTTCGGTCTGTACATGAGTGTGCGAGTCATTCTCGGGCGCTTGTTGTGCCAGATGAAGGAGTCTATTGCCCGCTGTATACCCGTCAGGTCCCCCCGGGTCACCTGTACCGGGAGTGCCTGAAAAAGGAACAGGAGCCTCGGCAACACATTCATTTTTATTGTGTTGACCCGTCCCAGCCATGATATGGGCCTGTGTGTCCACTGCTCCATTTCCGTGATAAGGGTCCGAAGCAGTGGTGTGTAATTGCGGGCATAGAGCGACGATGTGGTTGCTGTTAGGCGGACCCCTAGGTACAGGAGTTCCTCTGTGGCTATCTTTAAGTGGTATTGTGTGCGTATATGTTCTACGTCTTGGTGCGGTATATGGAAGGGCATTGCCACCGACTTGGAGTAATTAATTTTGTAGCCTGCGATGTTCCCAAATTTTGCTAAGAGTTGTGTCAGGTGGAGAAGGGAGTCCAGCGGATCCCGGAATGTTAGCATAACATCATCAGCATATGCCGAGACTGTGAAGGGTGTGCCGCTCACCTCTATGCCCTGAATGTGTGGATGTTGCCTGATAGCTTGTAATAGTGGCTCTAGGGTTAGGGCGAAGAGCAAAGGGGACAACGGGCATCCCTGCCTAGTGCCGTTGCTAAGGGTGAAAGGCTGTTTAGGCGCCCCTGTGATAAGTGTTTGTGCCCTCAGGTCTGTATAGAGTGCATGGATTGCCGTCACAAAGGGTTCTGGGAACCCCTGGAACCGGAGCAGCTCGAAGAGGTAAGGCCATAGCACCCTGTCAAACGACTTCTCCGTGTCTAAAGAGAGCGCTAGAGAAGGCGTCTTGGACTCCGCCATGTACCACATGGCATCCACCCCCCGTCTGGTGTTCTCGTATAGTTGGCGTCCGGGCATAAAGCCCACCTGGTCCGGGTGGATCAGGCGTGGGAGTAGGGAGGAGAGCCTGGATGCCAGTATTTTAGCAAAGACTTTGAGGTCCGTATTGATAAGTGAGATTGGCCTATAGCTGGAGGCTAGTATGGCATCCTTTTCTGGTTTTGGCAGTAGTACTACATTCGCCGTTGCCATGTCTCCGTCAGGTACCCCTCCTTGCATAAAGTGGTTACTAAGGGCCGTGAGGGGAGGGGCTAATACCTCTTTGAATTGTTTGTAGTAGTTAACATCGTATCCGTCTGGGCCTCGGGCCTTGTTTCCCTTGAGGGATGCTATGGCTGATTCTACTTCTGTTTGGGTAATCGGTTCACTTAGGGAACCTGCTTCTGCCTCGCTCACTTTGGGCAGTGTGAGGTGGTGTTATTGGCGTGAAGGTGGGGGGAGTGATTGTAGAGGTTGGAGAAATAGGAGGTGAATACTTCGTTAATGGCCTCAGGGGTCTCAACTAGCATGCCAGTGACCGTGTGTATTTTCGTGATGGCCTTGCCCTGTGGTCTCGGGCGGCGCACCCTGGCTAGAAGAGTGTCTGTTTTATTTGCTTTCTCGTAGTAGAGTCGTTTTGACCATTGTATGGAGCGTGTCACCGCTTCCAGAGAGATGTCCCTAATAGAGTGTCTGAGGGTGTTCAGTTCCCTAAGTTTGGAGTCTGTCGGGTTAGTTTTGTGTTGCTGCTCTGCCTTCCGTAGGGCTGTCTGTAATTCGAGGAGCTTTTTAATTTTAGCTCGCTTTTTATACGTTGCAAGTTTTATAAAGTGCCCGCGTATGACCGCTTTGTGTGCTGCCCAGACCATGGTGTCAGGTGTTGCGTTTAGTGTAAAGTATTCTGTGATAGCCTGTCGGGTGGTCTCAAGGGTTTCGGCGTCTCTAAGAAGACTAGTATTAAGTTTCCACGACCAGTTGGACTGGTAGCGCAGGTTGCCTAAGGTCAGCGTTACGTCAGCGTGGTCTGACCACGTGATGTTACTGATGTCTGTGTGTATGGCCTTATCCATCCCCACCCCGTTCAGAAAAAGGTTATCTATTCTGGAGTAGGTGTTGTGCGGCGCGGAATAGAACGTGTAGTCGGATGTGGTCGGGTGCTGTAGTCGCCATACATCCAATAGACCCGTGTGTATCAAAAATGTGTGTAACAGTTTGTCTTGACCCCCTCTACCCTGAGACCTCACGGTGCCAGGTTTTGAGCTTCTATCCACTGCTGGGCTTGGTACAGCGTTAAAGTCGCCCCCCACCAGCAGAACCTCCCCCCCCCCCGGCCCCGGTCACCAGCACCTCCAGGCTATCTTGCCTTAGTTTTTAAATCTGTTCTGTAAGTCTTTTTTTGTTTTAATTCTTACTTTTGTTACAGGCGTCCAGTACAAATATTATTCATTCATTACATTTCGTGCATGCATCTATAGTTTTTCAAATAATCATATACAAGACAGTAGTACTATAACAACTGCATTTTCAGTCATTATTTGTTTTTGCTGTGTATGCAGTAATTATACTTGTATATCTAACATAATAAGAAAAAACTAAGAATTAATTTCCTTACAATGTTGAGGGCAGGGCCTGAATCTCAAGCTGGCCAGACGTGCTTTCTATGGGCTCCTGTCCAAATAAGCTTTAAATCAGCTAAAGACTAGATATAAAGTAGAGTCATAAAACATGCTACGTCAGTGGAGACAAAAATTCCCCTGGTTAAGAACTACAAAATTTAAAACGTAAAATAACCATTAAACACTGCAGTGCTAGGGGATGGTTGCTTGAATATGTAAGCTTGCCGTCTCGTCCACTCAACTGATACCACGGGTAGGCCACAATAGAGAGTCCATCGCAGTGCTGAGTACAGCTTCACTCCACTTCTTGCAGGCAGTGGAAATGAATGTTACATATATGCCAACAGTTCAGTTTGTCAGCCCAGGTGTTCTCACCACCTCGAGGCCTGGGACATAAAGGGAGCCAGTGCCTCATGTCCAAGGGTCCTCTTGATCCATTATGCACGGGTGTATGGATGGCTGTGTGGATGCGGCTCCACTTGGACTCCCAGCCCAGAGGAATGAACAACGAGCTGAAGTAGCTGCTTGAATCTGCGATGGTGTCAGGATTACTATATGATCCAGCAAGTAGTATTGTGTCACACAGATGACTAATAGGTAACGTATTACCAAGCCTTAGAATGGCCGGACTAACGTACCAAAGAATAGTCAGAATACTAGCCGAGGTCAAGGGACACAACGATAAAAGAAAGCCAGAGGTCAGGGATACCAGAATACAGGGAAGTCAAAATCAAAGCCAAAGTAAAAAAACTAGAAGAAACTTGAATCAGGAACGCACTCTCGGACAACCAGTAGGAAAACCGCGACAGGGCAATGAGGGAAGGTAATTATAGGTTTAAATACCTGCTTTATATTTCCGATTAGCCGAGATCGCTCTCTGAGCCCAAAACGTGCGCACACGTGCGTGACTTCACGTGCACGCTGACGTCGTTAATCACGTGAGCGGACGTGGGGGTATAATTAGCCGTGGACTGCAAGGTGAGGATGAATATGTTACAGATGGGACAGATGAGGTAGAAGTGCATGAGCAGCAAGCTACACAAGTCCAGAAATCCTGGCACAGCTTGTCAAAACCGGCCTTGAAGCTTTGCACCCAATCCACGCTCTTAGGGCCTGCTTGACTCACAGACTTCTGTGCAATGGCAAGCAACGACAGAGATTGAGTTTGCCACTGCAGCGTATTTAGTATTCCCAGCGGGTACCAGGATATCCACGACAGGACCAAAAAGGGTGGGGGGTAACCACGCTTCAGTAGATTAATTTGTCAACGGGCTGGCAATCCCTGTAGGCCGCACGGTCAGATGGTAGAACGAGCTTGCAAAAATTATTATTTTTGGACCATTAGTGTCCCCTTTGTTAAAGGTGTCTTCTCTTCCAGATTCTGAGTTGTTTGTAGCTGTGTGTATATATATATTATCTTGTACAAGTCTGAAAGGGCTTTCTATTGCTATCATGCTTAATTCCTGTTTGTATGTGGACATGCATGTCTGCTCCAATAAGTCTTATCTTCCTACTCCTTATGTCTAGTTGACACCATTAACCCGAAGGCACTTTTTGTGACATACCCTTGCAGGCATGTTAGCTCAGCATGTTCATTATTTTCTTAAAAATTGTGATACTGTTTAATGCCATGCTTATGTATGACTCTGTTTGACATGATCAGGCTTGCTTTAGCTGTCGTGGCATCGCAAACTTTTCTGTAATCATTTGCACAGGAAAAATGAATGTAAACCCCCCCCCCCACAAAACAATGTTAAAGGTTGGTGGCATAGATCCTCGCAAGCTCAGTCCCTAGGAGTTTCATTAGTACATATATGACTCCCATGGAGCCCAGACTTTGTGTAATGAATGTTCTTGACCTGCACTCTCAACCTATCCATTAAATAATTATCTTTGATAACTTGTGACATAGATAGATGTTCTGCTAGGTCAATCATATTGAGGAACTTTTGTTCCTTAGCGGCCAGTCCTTCTGTGGGTCTAGCAGACATGCCCAGAGGTCTAGATCAAGGTATCTGTTGAAAATTGTATTATCCGGAGTGGCCACCTCGTCTTAGAACCCAAGGGCTTGTGTATAGGACCACCACATGTGTATATAAGTTCCCCTCTCCCCACATAAGTGCTGACGTGTCTGTGGCTGTTTTTGACTGGTGTGGGATATGAGCGAAATAGTAGTTTGAATGATTGCTCCTAAAGGGTCACACATTGATGACTTAGTGCATGCCTCCCAAATGATCTCACAATCTACTCTCTCCAGGTCAGCCTCCCATTGATCTAAGTACCTAAGCTCCCCTCATTCTTTGGACAATTAACTATTATGTTGATGTGACATAGTAATCGACTTTAGTTAATTTTCTGCAAGACATAATTTCTCATAGGCTACAGGTGTCTTTTGGCAAAATCTTGGATCTGGAGATATCGAAAGTAGTCCCCAGGTTTCAGCTAAACTCGTCTGGTAGATCAGGGAAGGGTATGATCGCTTTGTCCATATATATAAATGGAGGCACCTTTGTAGTCCTGTGCCCTTGAGAACCCTAGCCCTCATACCCGTCGGAAATGCCTATATGTGTAGGAGAGGAGTCATCTGGGAATGAAATGATCGTAGTAAATATCTTGTCTTAAGTCCAATATATCCCATATCTGGAGAGAGTTGCGTATGACAGGACAGTTTGTCCGCAAAAGTGCTCCCTGATTTTTGGGAACCCGCATGTAGAATTGCAGCAGATTTAACCCCATAAAGAGGGACTCAATGTCAATCCAGCATTATTGTTCTGGGAGGAGTTCCAATGGATCAATTGCGATGCTAGGGAATATACAAATAAGTTTGGTAGTTCAAGGCTACCTGCCGATCTTGGTTAGTATAGGGCAGTGATGGCGAACCTTTTTGAGCCTGAGTGCCCAAACTGCAATACATCCCAACTTTTTTTTCCTCAAAGTGCCAACACGGCAATTAAACCTGAATACTGAGGTTTTAGTTTAGAAAAAACAACTTGTACAGTTGTCCGAACTAATTAACAAGTTTTGTTTTAAAAGAAGAACACAACAGAGTTCAATGATACAAATTTTAAATAATGATATAGATAAAATTAAGCTTATATTTATATTTATTAGTATCTCCAACAAATGCAATACCTTCACACAGACTGTGGGTGGTAGGGTGCTGTGCTGTATGTGGGAGTAGGGGTGCTGTGCTGTGGGTAGGGGTAAAAATACATTTAAAAAAAAAAAAAAAAGGAGCATCGCACGGGAGGACAGGAGAGCTGCTTCCTAGAGCCCTCCCCCTGTCCTCCCAACACGGAAGCAGAGTAGGCACCTGCTGTTTTGGGCAGGCGCCTTCTCTGCAGACAGCCAGCGGCCCCCCTCTCCCGGTGACCTATGGCCGCGTGCCAACAGAGAGGGCCTGGCGTGCCACCTGTGGCACGCATACCATAGGTTCGCCATCACTGGTATAGGGGTTATGTGCTACTCTGCAACACTTGGAGACCTACAAATTAATGTATTGCAGTCTGTACACCTGCCAGGTGTTTCCTAGTTACCATAACTGGGCAGGACTGAAATGAGAATAGGATCCTGGGTAGCATGCTCATTTTAAGGGAGTGGATATGTCAATCCATGAATATGTCATCTGTCCACTGATCTATATCACTAGTCAGCATGCACAATGTAGCTATGTTATTGTGGTGAAATAGGTCTGGGTCAGTAGTAATTTTACTTGCCATGTAAGTAAATGCTTCCCTTTTGATTTGATACGTTGAGTTGTGTCTGCATTTGAGAGGCTAAGTGACATTTCTACCAATTTAGAGAGGTTCCCTATATTTCTACTCCGCAATTGCTTGTTAGTTCCCAGTTCGTGAATAAATCCTAGCATGTAAATAACAGGCATCCATATGAAGTAGTATTTGGCATAAAATGTGTTCCTTTCATTTGCCCATCTACCATAATTCACATGTACACAAAATGCATTAACAAACAGAACAAACTGTGAAAGCACCTTTCTTTACACATCTCAAAAGCATTGGTTTTATTAGGAAGGTTGTTTATATGCCTACTTCTAAGCTTTGCTGGGCAAGAGGAGATTTTTTTTTTTTTTTTTTTTTTAAATACACCATGATAAAGACAATCCCAAATGTATCAATGTACCTGGGGTGGTCTATTATACTAACTTGACAATTTGAGCATCACCAGGTAAGCATTTGGAACTCTTTTTCCCCCACTTGTTTTGTAAATGGTTTTTATATTTCTGGGATCTGCAGTTGCAGGCAGTTTGTTTGGTCTTTAGAAATAACGTCAGGTAATGCATAAGGATTACACCTCTGCTATATGCAGATCTCAGTAATTACTCTTGTGATGCATACCACTGCATTAGTGTGCTGTAACAGTCAGAACTCCAGATGGTGGACATGTCCCCATATGCCATGACAAAATTGTTGCTGTAAAAAAAATAAAAGGCATTAAGTGAGATTTAGTCCACAACCTCTGGAGGACTAAATCATATATACCGTGTTCTAGTGCATCAGAGCACAACTCTGGATTCCCAGCATGCACTCACTAAATGCCAGGAAAGCAAGTAGAGATTACTGTAATCTGCATCTGTCTGAGGTGCAGTCCTTGCACTCTGAATGGAGGTGGGTAAGTGGGGTTTTACACAGACACTGCATAGAGTCAAACAGCATTTCCCCCCCAATCAGCTATGGTTTGGCTCAGTTTCCACTCCCCCCCACAAATTAAAATCAATTTTAATGTACAACCCTGCCATGTCCAGGAACAAGCAGGGTCCCCAAACTTTCTCATTTGAAATTGTGCTTTATACCCATGGACAAATGTTTGTACTTATTAAACATTTCCACACCCCTGACCAAGAGTATGTAATTCGGCCACTAGACTTAAAGGACCACTATAGTGCCAAGAAAACAAACTCTTTTCTGGCACTATAGTGCCTGAGGTGCCCCCATCCTCAGGGTCCCACTCCTGCCAGGCTTAAGGGGTTAAACACTTCCCTTTCTCCAGCGCCAGTCACTCTCCTCCTCCCGACTGAATGCGCAGCAGGAGCCATGCGCGTATGGTCAGTTCATAGGAAAGCATTCAAGGCTTTCCTATGGACCCTGGCATCTTCTCAATGAAAATCACAGTGATAATTCCGGAAGCGCCTCTAGCGGCTGTCAATGAGACAGCCACTAGAGGCTGGATTAACCCATATGTAAACATAGCAGTTTCTCTGAAACCATGTCTACAACAGGCAGGGTTAACCCTAGATGGACCTGGCACCCAGACCACTTCATTAAACTGAAGTGGTCTGGGTGCCTATAGTGGGCCTCTAAGTTAGACCGACATGTGGATAGACCAAGTTATCCATTGCTTAGGGTTTTACTTACTTGAATTTTTTTTAGTCAGTTAAAAATCCATTTATAGCTGTATTTAGTTTGTGTTTCAGCTACAGTGTGGGCAACTACTCACGTTAAGACTACGGTTTAGTCTCAAAAAAAAATAAAAAAAATAAATAAACCACACCACAGAAATGAAAGATGATAGATCACTAAAGAAAAATAAAAGAAAGCTACACTGCCACAATAAAGGTCAATGTTATACCTACAAACATGTTCATCTTTGACATTTGCAGGAGTTATACAAGTGAAAACCCATAGCTAGTAAAAATAGAATCCACAGGCTTCACAAAGTGGGTGCTCAATAATCAAGTTTTTATTGATGCTCAAACGCCCCCCCTTCTCCCCATATTTTGGCCTATATAGCCTTTGTTATGCCAATTTATTTTCTTGAATCCTGGGATCACAAAAAAGTCCATTGAGCACCTATTTTGTGAAGCCTGTGGATTGCATTTGAACTCTTCTGTGGTGGACCTCTTTCACAGAGCTCCTGCCAGAGTGCTGATGTTTAGAGTTCAGCTACAGCGCCACCCTAGCTTGTGAACAATGGTTGGTAATGAACCTTACAAAAGAAAATATAAAGGAGTTAGATTTACAAAGTTAAGGTTGAGATCACCTCCACATTTATGAATCATAAACCAGTTCTACTTTATAAAAATTGGCTCTTTGTAAAGGACATTGAAGATCTGTATTCAAAGTGTCTTTTAATACCAGTAGTTTACATAACACTTCCAGTATTTATATGTAAAAATGGGGAAAGAAAAAAAAAAAGCCAGGATAATTATCAAACATTTATTGTGGTCAATGGTAGTAGAAAAAAGTACTACATATAATGTGCCTGACCATTTTCAAATAAATAAAACATCTGAGTGGATTTTAAACAATGTTGAACCGAGAAATACCAGACCCCCACCCCCCAAAAAGGGAACCAAACCGCAACAAAAATAATGTTTTGGGTGAACAACTGCTAATGAAAAGCAGTAAACAGCCATTAAGGCTTAGCATTTGTCTCCACTGGAGAGTGAAGAATTCACACACACTAGAGTTCTCCATTCAAATGTTCTTCAAAAATGTTCTTGAAGTCCAGTATTTACAATATTACAGTAAACAGACAACCAGCATGCCTACAATTCATCCTTCTCGGTTTCTTCTCCCTCAGGAGGTGGTGCACCGGCTCCACCATAAAGTTTACCAACTATGGGCTGAACAATTTCTTCTAGCTCCTTCTTTTTTGCCTTGAAATCTTCAATGTCTGCATCTTGATGACTTTCCAACCATTCAATCTTCTCTTCAACTGCTTTTTCAATGGTCTCCTTGTCCTCAGAGGACAGTTTTCCACCAAGCTTTTCCTTGTCTCCAATCTGATTCTTTAGGGAGTAAGCATAGCTCTCCAACTCATTTCGAGAATCAATACGTTCTTTTAACTTCTTGTCTTCCTCTGCAAATTTCTCAGCATCAGTGACCATGCGCTCAATTTCCTCTGGTGTTAGACGGTTCTGATCATTTGTAATTGTGATCTTGTTCTTGTTGCCTGTGCCTTTGTCCTCTGCAGTTACTCTTAAGATTCCGTTCACATCAATCTCAAAGGTGACTTCAATCTGTGGGACACCACGAGGAGCTGGAGGGATCCCAGTGAGATCAAAAGTGCCCAGAAGATGGTTATCCTTGGTCAATGGGCGTTCCCCTAAAGAGAAAAAATAAAATAAAATTTAAAAAAAAAGTTATAAAAACCACACACACACACACACTTTTGTTTATGTAGCACCAGCAAATTCCGTAGCACTGTACTACAGGTATAACATTTATTTTGTTATGTGTATGAGTTTGCACTAGACTATTTTTCTAGAAATTGCCTACTCACCTTCATAAACCTTAATGGTAACAGTAGGCTGGTTGTCAGAGGCTGTAGAGAAGATCTGTGACTTCTTGGTAGGCACAACTGTGTTCCTGGGTATAAGTTTAGTCATGACACCTCCCACAGTCTCAATACCAAGAGTAAGAGGGCACACATCAAGAAGTACCAAGTCACCTGTGGAAATAAAATAAAATCATTTAAACTCATAGCCAACTAAAAGTTTTTTGACCCAGTTCACAGACTCATGTAAACACAAGTCAACTGCATTCCTAGACAATTTAAAGAAGTAAACACTAACCAGTATCCTGATCGCCAGAAAGTACTCCTGCCTGAACAGCAGCACCATATGCAACAGCCTCATCAGGGTTGATACCACGGGATGGTTCTTTGCCATTGAAAAATTCCTTCACCAACTGCTGGATCTTGGGGATACGAGTTGAACCTCCCACTAGAACAATTTCATCAATGTCAGACTTCTTCAGGTCAGCATCTTCTAGCACTTTTTGAACTGGTTTCATGGTGGAACGGAAGAGATCCTAAAACAGATTATTGCTAGCATTAGACAGATCATTACTACACCATTTATAGCTCTTTGCGACAGCCATCCTTAAAGACCAAACTGCTTTCAACGTGTCCAATATACTTTGTATAAGTTACAAGAACGGACACAAGTTAAGTTATTAAAAAGTCAATGTCATAAAGTGGAATACCACCTTGCATTACTTTGTCAAGCAGGATCCTTACCATGTTCAGCTCTTCAAACTTGGCCCGGGTCAGAGTTTCTGAGAAGTCCTCTCCCTCAAAGAAAGATTCAATCTCAATTCTGGATTGATGCTGAGCGGACAGAGCCCTCTTTGCCTTTTCCACCTCCCGACGCAGTTTCTGCACAGCTCTATTGTCTTTCCTGACATCCTTGCCAGTCTTCTTCTTGTACAGCTTTATAAAGTGCTCCATGACTCGCTGATCAAAGTCTTCCCCTCCAAGATGAGTGTCTCCATTTGTAGCCACCACTTCAAACACACCATTGTCAATGGTGAGTAAAGACACATCAAAGGTGCCGCCACCCAAATCAAAGACAAGGATATTTTTTTCTCCTTCCTTCTTGTCCAGACCATAAGCAATGGCAGCAGCTGTCCTGCAAGAATGAATAATAGTAAAAAAACTTTTAATGGAGAGAGATTAGACACGGTTTTCAGAACCCAACAATTGTTCTGCTATTTTTACTATCTATTGTGGTGATATGGTCTATGCAGCATCAGATGCCAATAAACCAATGACAAACTGAGTAGGCCTTCAGATTGTAAGCTCACAGGCATGGCCCTCTAACTGTTGTATCGATCTGCTCCGATTTGTGTGGTCTTTCCCAATTGTACAGTGCGGCAGAATATGTTGGCACTTTATAAATGCCAGTAATAACAATGAGCTCTGCTCACATCAGTTCTACTAAAATCAAGGGAGTGGAACAAATAAAGCAGTGGTTAGCCATCCTGCAGCTTCTCTGAAGTGTTTCTTCTAAATTTAATTTGTTACTATGCAGTTCAGAAGAAATGAATTAGTTTCCAGAGCTCAAAATTTCACATTCAAGGCAACTAGTCAACTAGCCATTTTTCACTGCAAGCCAAGAAGTTCCATGGCAGAATGCTCACTTGCCAATGGAACATTTAAGGCCTGCATTTGTGAGGAGTTAACTGGGTGGATATAAAAAAAAAAAAAAAAAAAAATAATATAACCCGAGTTTACTATATGAACCCAAAATCTGTAGTTTTACTGGTTTACAACAGGAAAGTGCCACACAAGAATAGTTTACTGAACACCCCACTCCCTAAGATTACAGAAGAAAAATTAAAAAAAAAAAAAAAAAAGATTCAGAGTTAAAATTAGCTACTTACGGCTCATTGATTATCCTCATCACATTCAACCCTGCAATAGTGCCGGCATCTTTTGTGGCCTGACGCTGGGCATCATTGAAATAAGCTGGTACAGTGACCACAGCATGAGTAACCTTAAAACAAAAATAAATACAGTTAAAAATAAAATAATCAAATATACTTTGAAATAAAAACAAAAAACTAATCTAGTTAAATTGGCCGTTTTCCTCCACCACCCGAAAAATGAGTGTTTCATATAATAGATTGATCGGTCTTCATGCATTTTCCGGTCATAATAAACACTTATTGCTGTCAAGTTTTGTTATGTCCCCCAGCCGGCACTAGTATTGGCTATGGATTCTCTTGCAAGATCCTCCATAGACATCTGAGCATGTCCAAGAGTTCTGGCACTGTAAACAAGGCCAGTAGTCTCTAAAGGACAATTATTTTCAGGACTATAGATTCCCCTTAGATAATACATACATACATACCTTTTTACCAAGATATGCTTCAGCGGTTTCCTTCATTTTAACCAAGACCATAGCAGAAATTTCTTCAGGAGCAAAGGTTTTCACCTGATCTGCAATATCTACTTGGATGTATGGCTTGGTCTTCCTCTCAAGAACCTAGAAAAATAATTAGAAATAATTAGAGCTTAGAGTTAACCAAATTGGTCATAAAATGAGCAATAAGGCATTATTAGAGAATAGGTATTGAAAGACCGCTTTATCAAAGTCAGTGTGTCATAGAATATGTACCTTGAAAGGCAGGTACTTTATGTCCTGCTGAACAGAGGGGTCATTCCATGTGCGGCCAATGAGACGCTTAGCATCAAAAACAGTGTTCTCTGGGTTGGAGGTCAACTGATTCTTGGCAGCATCTCCGATGAGACGTTCTCCCTCTGGAGTGAATGCCACATAAGAAGGTGTAATACGGTTGCCCTGGTCATTTGCAATTATCTCAACACGGCCATTCTTGAACACTCCAACACTAAAAAGGAAAGGATTTGATATTAAGTTATTCAACTATGCAATGTTTTAAAAGCTACGTTAAAAGCAATAAATGCTGCAATGATTAACACTGCCACAGTGGGAGGGGAAAACACAAATGGGTAACAAAACAGAATGGTCTCAATGTATTCAAGTCTGAACATACATGTGACAATATGCATATACTAAGATTGATATGAAAATGTCAATTGGAGTTCCCTAGGGATTTCAACTATGCTGTACTTAGAATAAGATATGTAAAGTATTGCAATACATTTTTAGCAGTATACCAAGCATTGTGAAAAACAGGAAGGGAGGAGTCTTAATGAATTAAGAGAATTGTTCAGAGTGTAGCTAGTAAAGCAAAAAGAATAAAAAAACAAAAAAAAAAACAAAACGGAAGATGCAGACAAGGCACTATACTCCATTATAGCAAGAAAAGGAAATTGCATAGGTCCAATTTGTATTTCAGTGGTTGTTCACACTCTAGATTCCTTACCATGAGTAAGTGGTGCCCAGATCAATTCCAACCACTGTCCCAACATCTTCTCTTTTGTCATCATCGTCAGCATAAACGCTGGCAACGACCAGCAAAAACACAGCAAAAAACTTCATGATAACCATATGGAGGTTTCTTTTACTGCCACAGATAAAGAAAAATTCTCCGATAGCAAAATTCTGCAAGGAATAATAGTCATGTTAATTCAGAAGCCAATCCCAAACCAAGCACTTAAGAAAAACCAAGTAGAGGCTCAATATCATACAATAGGCCAAGATGGTACAAAAGCTTCAAATTCAACACATCATATCCCTGATAGCTTTACGCCCTATTGACGGTTTGCTATGGGTTAAGGGTATTTAAAAAGGAATACTCAGAGGCCTCTCTCTAAATGCTGTATTTATGCTAACAAAAATTTAAAATTTTAAATCAAATACCACATCCTAAAATAAGAGCTTGTGTGGATACTATTTATTTTGCAGAAAAGTCACTGGCAGTCAAGAGGTTAAAAATGCTCATCAAACCATACGTCTCTACAAAATAGGAGGCAGGCGTACAGAAGGGATGTACTTTTTTACGCTCCTCCTCTCCAACCAATGAGAGAACATAATGCTTCAGACATGGGTGGCAGGAAATGGAGAGAACCTTCTAGATACTGCAAAATGCCCATTATCACTTTAGGATATACATGAACTTGACATACATGAGCCAGTAATAACGGGAAGGGGAGTTACATGCAACTCCGATTCCAAGTATAATTTCTTTTTTATTGCCAGAATGCTACTTTAGTTTTCTGTAGTTAAACTGATAGTCATACAGTTATCAGTTACACCTCATTCATACATATATTGTAAAACATTGCATATTTAAGTGCTACTATAACAAACCAACATCTCATTGCGATGACCGGCAATAACTAGGCATTGAAATCCTATCAAGTTGGATTTACAAATAATTACAATGCTAGATTTAATAGGACAGTGGAGTTTCTTTATTAGACCTCCAGACTAGCCATTCTAACAAATCCTGCAACAAAATATGTAAACATACAATGTGACAGACAAGAGATGATCACTAGAATGTGAATGGTTAGTAATGCAGAGAGAATTCCAGGTCAAGATGGCTAAATAGCTGGTATTAGTCATCCCAATTAGGCTATTAATTTTTTTTCGGTTTTGGTTTTTAAATGCACTTTAAATAACCAGGACCAAAGTCACATTTCAGTGAATAATACTGCATGCTTTAGATAAATACATAATTCTTAAAAAAATAATAAAAACAAAATCTCATCTTTAAGCATTAGATCTGAAATTCTTGATTTTTAAAGCAAGACCACCGACGATGTAATCATTAATTTAAAAAGAATAAAATAAAGGGGATTATGCATAAACCGTTAACCTTAACTAGCATCAGCACCCCTGGATCTATACTCCACATAACAAACCAAAGCACAGCTTAACCCAACACTGAGCGACATCTGAGCACTAAGAAAGCACTCAATGAATGGCACCATGCTCCCCCATAACCAGCCCAGTGCCGAGCAGGACAGGGGACCGGGCTGCCAGTGATACTCATCCAATGGCTGGCTGAGAGTGACAGGAAGTGTAGTGCACTACAGCTACTAACCATGAAATGACCCATCGCTGAGGTCAGCCCAGTGCTGAGCAGGACAGGGGACCAGGCTGCCAGTGATACTCATCCAATGGCTGGCTGAGAGTGACAGGAAGTGTAGTCCACCACAGCTACTAACCATGAAATGACCCATCGCTGAGGTCAGCCCAGTGCTGAGCAGGACAGGGGACCAGGCTGCCAGTGATACTCAGCCAATGGCTGGCTGAGAGTGACAGGAAGTGCACTACATCTAGTAATAACCATAAAGCAAGCCATCACTGATACAGGGACAGTCAGACTGCAGACACCGGTTACAGATCACTAAACCAGCTACACGGCAACAAAAGCAGCCACCGCTAAACACACTCAGCCATCCCGCAGCCATATTAGGAGAGGAGATTCTGCCGTTAGATAATACAATCCCCATGGGCCTCCAGTGACATACCGAACTCAAGCCGCCTCTTCGCTCTCTCGCTGTGTCTTCTCTATTCGCCGGTTGCTGTCAGACTGACGTACCACGCGCTGCTGGTCCCCTTTTATATCCTCCCGGCCGGTCAACGTCGTGGAGTGCTCTGATTGGCGGGCACGGCGCGCGTTGGAGTCACCCGATTGGACGCCGTCTCTAATGCTGGCCGCAGCGGATTCGCACACGTTGGTGCGTTTCGTCACATACCACGCCCTGCCCTCCTTTTTTTCCCCCGTCTCTTCAATGACACACTCCACGCCTCGTTCGCTCTCCGACGCTGGGCCAATCAGATAACAGGCCGTGGCTCAGCGGCTGCTGCCGATTGGCTGCTTGTGGTGCCTGTCACACGCTGGCGCCCTTGCCTGGTTCGGGCCGCTTCTGGAAGATTCCTGCCTCTGGCACTTTCGTCAGAATGTCGTCAGACTGTGGCCTGTGCTAGCTGAAGCTTTATGTTGTAATTCAATGTAACTTGCTGCGCTAAAATTAAATATATATTTATTTGGGTGATGCACAGCACGAGGCTCTGCTTAATACCCATGTGGAAACTGTATATTATTATTATTATTAATAAAATACAGCACAGTGGGGTTCAGAGAAAAAAAAATAGCTGAAATGTATAGAGAATAAAATAAATATAACATTTGAGGTCAATATAAATCTACTGAAATAAAAAGCTAAGCTTGAGAATTTCCCCCCCGCCCTTTCTTAAATTTGCAAGTTTCATGTTCAGTGAATAAATCCCAAATATATAGCAGTTTATATCCTTCACATCTGGTTACTGGAATAAAAGAATGTAAAATATCAGAGCGGTGCATGATAATTCAATAAATTTATATAGACCACAATTAAAGGGTTACTCCAGGTTTCCCCAAATTCCGGCCCTCCAGATGTTGCTGAACTACAACTCCCATGAGTCTCAGCCTATCTATTTCATTCATAGAATCATGGGAGTTGTAGTTCAGCAACATCTGGAGGGCCGGAGTTTGGGTAAGCCTGGGTTACTCCAACCACCATGACCACTTACTGCTTTTAGAAGTGGTCGGGATGGAAGGAATAGCTATACGGTTTCTGCTGGAAACGCTGCACATTCAGAGATATTTGGACGTTTGTGCTCTGGGCTAGTTACACTATTGGCACACGTAACGTAGGCAGCCTAGAAGTAATCTCCAGGCTAGCTAATATCAATTCTGTGCAAAAATACGTCTGTTGTTGGGACAAACTGTGCGCTGGTGACAGGTTGTTAGCGCCTTGCAGGGTAAAGCTTCAACGTTTCTTCCCCCCATGTTAAGAAACACCATTAACTGTATCAAAAGAGCTTAAATTACACTGCTACTGTGGCTCCTTCCCCCCTGCACACACATACAGCACAGGTACCCTAAAAGCAAGCCACCTGCTCCCCATAAACTGCTGGATAAAAGTTCAGAGAGAACAGCGCTACCTCAGGACAGCTGTGTGTAACGGTTACTTGGACTGAGTCTCAGCCACAGCCAGTCAAAACGTATAGTCAGGTGGCGATTCCACCATATACCTGGGAACAGGTTGCCATTTTGCCAGATTGGGCGCTCTGGGACTAGCGATCCGGAGATATTAATTGTGTGGGGGTTATTATTGGTTTTCACATTATTTTTGGGAGTTTTCATGTCAGGAGCCTTAACAGTGTTTGATCTGATCATCTACCTGACACAGAGGGGCCTGGGTAGGCTTACCAATGTGTAGCTAAAGACCCCATGCTGGGGGTCTGATTATAAATATGTTTGTAAAATCCAAATAAAGTGTTCTTGTTTTCACCCTTCATCAAGGCTCAGCCGATGTTTGGGTGGGTAGCTATAATCACCAACAATTTTGCTGGGAGAGCTGCTCTGGTATACTCCGATTGAATATTGGAGCTCTGCCACACTCCATTTAGTAGAAGTTTTTTTTTTTTAAAGAATATATGTTAAAATCCCATCTCTTATTACCTCCTCTTCCCGACTCAGAGTACTGCATGTGCTCGAAGCTGGAGAGAACGGACTAATAAAATACTTCTCTATGAGAAGCATTTGATCGGACCTTGTGAAGAAAAATTATGTTGAATTGAGGCATGGAAACCAGCGCGGATTGTTTTGTATGGTGTAGTGTTTGTTTACAGGTTTAAAAGGTAGCAGAGGGGGTAATTACTAGTGTCCAGCAGGGCATTGCAAATTGGAAAATAAAGGGTAACGCTTTAATTATATACAATTCCAGTATGTTGGTGGTAAGGTTCACATTAAAAATGTCACATTTAAAACAGCAAGTAAATTAAAAAAAAAGGTAATAACATTATGTTTGAAGGAGAGTAGACACCTTATAAACCAATTTACAATGGCGAATGTCTTTATATTGTGGGGTACAAAGCAGTGTACCTTAAGGTGTAACCAACATTAATTATACTGTGGAAGAGTCTGTGTCCCCAAAATGCTCTCTAAATAAATGGGGTCTCACTAGTAGCCCAAACCCATATTGAACCTGCACTTAGTGGTTCATATTATTAACATTCGGGTAGGTTAGGTATATCCTGATACTCTACTTCAGGGGTGCTCAAAAGGAAGATTTCCAGATGTTGTTGAACTAGAACTACAGCTCCCATGATGCTTTGCATACCTTAAGGATGACAAAACATCATGGAAATTGTAGCTTTAAAACATCTGGGGATCCATCTTTTGAGCACCCGTGCTCTACTTCATTACAGTGTGGTAGTCTGGAGGTTTACACCCTATAACCCTTGTGTACATTGGAGATAATGTGGACTCCTATCCTCCACAATGCATTTTCAGTCAAGATATCACAAAATACAATGGCAAATATCCTAGATTTAAAATGTACAGGTCATAATAAACACACAAATAAAACAATACATAACATGCTATTCCGTGTGTTAGCTTAATTGAAAATGTTGTTATATTCGGTAGAGACAACATGCACTGATCATCCACAACATTAAAACTACTGACAAGTGGGGGGCGGGGCCTGACCGCCATGCTGACCGGTCGCATGCGGGAGAGGCTCTTGCAAAATCTGGCCATCTGGGCCGAAAACTATGGCACAAACTGCTCTTATCTCAGCCTAGAGGTACAGCAAAGTGAGCAGGGAGCTGTGGGCACTACTGCAGACCCCAAGATCGGGAGCTTTGGAGACCCTGAAGGTTATACATAGCTTTGGAGCCTGCGGCCTAAGCGGGGTGGACGGCCGCCACCCTGCTCGATAATCTAGCAGCCACACAGCAACCCCGTGACACTCCTCACAGGCCCCGTTCCCTCCCCATGGCCCGGGGGGTTATCCCGGTCCACAGTGGAGAGATCTGACACCATCAGGAGCAGATGCCACGGACCTTGGCCTGCTCTCGGACACCTGCGCTTTCTAAACAAAATGGCTGCCTCACAGTCTGAACTAGAAAAGCTGACTACCTGCAGACAGGAACCACACCACTGCTAAAGGCTGGCTGGAGCACCCACCCCTGGACTGTCTAGCCACACCAGCAGAGGAAATGGTAGCCCAAACCTTTGTGCCAGGCGATTGGTTCCGGCCCCACTGCTGCCCTCCTGGACATTGAGACGTGAGAGGATGTTCCTCACATCGCAACCCAACGCCTGGACGAATTACACCAGCCAGGACCCCCGGACACAGGACCAGGCCTTAAACCGACGGAGCAGTATTTACCGAACTCTCCTACTTGCTGGAACCCTGCCATCACTTCCTGCACACAAGTCAGCAGCAGGAGTGTGCCGAAGATCGCATACCGGAGAGGACTGTGTTCTGTCTTTGTCTGTAGCACCCAGGTTGACTTTTTGTTTCTCACCACCTTTTCTCATTATTTTCGTACTGCACTAAGTCCCCCATGTCACACACCACTACACTTGCACTGTATATTATATAGTGACAAACTGAGCAACGAGACTGTTCTAAAATGTCTGGAATCTTAATACCTCACCTACTGTGTTTACGCTACTCCGGCCTGTCGTGATTACATGGAATGTATGTCTTACAAGCAAACACAAATAGGCATAAAAGTGGTGATGCATACAGGGTACTGCGAGGATACCCTTCAAAATAAGCGTGATCAAAATTTATACTTAAAGCATGTTAACCTTAAGAGTCATGAGCCTAGCCAACTATATTGCTATTAACTGCTCCTCTGACTCCATTACTTATTTTTCAATAACATAAAATGTGCATTATTTCTCATGTCACGCAATTGTTAAGCTCTACCTGACGTTAAGCATGCACCAGCTGTTGTGGCTGTGCAACCCTGTATGTCTTACTTATGCACAAATAAAATAAAGAATTGAAAAAAAAAAAAACTACTGACAGGTGAAATTAAAGGGGCGCTATAGTCACCAGAACAACTACAGCTTATTGAATTTGTTCTGGTGAATAGAATCATTACCTTCAGGCTTTTTGCTGGAGAGTGATTTATTTGTTGCGTTTTTTTTTGCTTGGACATCTCCTCCAAGATTTTCTCCGTAGGTGTGGGCATTGTGATGGGGATATTCTCCTGCTGTCTCTCAGCCCAGGAAGGCCCGACTTCTTAGAGATGATGGAGGGTGTAGCAGATTTGCCTGGAATGGATTCCCGTGGACATCTGTCTCATCGCTGTTGATTCCTAGTTTGATGGTGGATATAGCGTAGCTTCTGGGTCGCGTGCTAATTCAATGTTGACCAGAACCGCTCACAGAGTTAATTGAATAACGACAGGGTGTCTCCCTGATGCATATTAGCTATTGCTCCTTGTGACTGCTCGGCCACTTTGCAGAAATCGAGCGCGTGTTTTATGGACAAATGCTTCCTTCAATGGGGTTAGTAAGGTTCTTGGCAGCCTACACAGTGGTGACCGGGATATCCCCTACTGGTCCAGTAGTGGGAGGGATGGGGTACGATGGCTCCATCTAGTTACTCTGGTTCAACCAAAGGATCGTCTGCTCTCTCCACCAGCATGGGCAGCTAGGCCACAGTTGCTGAGGTACAAATGGTTGAGTAGACGAATGTCACCAGGCTTGGAAGTACAAAAGCTTCATGAGTCAGAAGTTCTGATTAGGCCCGAAAGTAGCCTCTTTATGAGCAGAAAAACTGTATTTAATTCTGACTTTGAGGAGTTCTTGTCACGGCTCGTGCAGTCACACAGGAGCAGACTGGCAGTTACCTAAGTCGCGGCGGATCTCAGCCAGATCTGCCTGCGCGTCCTTCCCCAGCGAACGCGGTGTTCCTATGGATGCTGGACGCTGCTAGAATAGGGTTATATGTAGCACTGCCTCTGGTGGGAGTCACGCGGACGTGCGTGCACTGCCACGTAATCGGCAAGCACGCACATTCTGGAATCAGCTGATCCCTGCCCACCAAGGACAAAAAGGAATGGGCTATTTAAACCCATTTCTGTATCTCCTCTTTGCCCTTTCGTGGTTTCCATCACGGTTTGGTTATCCAAGAGTACGTTCCTGTATTTGGTATTCTGGTTTTTGATATTGGCTTGTTCTGACTATTTTTACTTCTGGCTTCCTGACCTTTTGGCTTTTGACTTTCCGTGTTTTCTCCTGTCTGTACCCCTGACCTCGGCTAATTACTGGTTATTCGATGTACATTAATTCCGGCCATTTTAAGGCCGGTAACAAGTTTTTCCTTAGTTTATATTTTATCCGTGTTTGACTTAATCCTGCGTGTTGGGCCACTGTACTGTCCTAACAGTTCTAAAGAAACATATCTGCTCAGAATAGTAGTCAAGCCTCACCCCCCCAATGAAAAGCATTTTGACGCTTTTGATTTTTACATTTTATAACCAACCTCAGTCATATCTGTTGGTTATACACTGCTCAAAAAAATAAAGGGAACACTTAAACAACACAATGTAACGCCAAGTCAATCACACTTCTGTGAAATCAAACTGTCCACTTAGGAAGCAACACTGAGTGACAATCAATTTCACATTCTGTTGTGCAAATGGGATAGACAATAGGAAATTATAGGCAATTAGCAAGACACCCCCAATAAAGGAGTGGTTCTGCAGGTGGTGACCACAGACCACTTCTCAGTTCCTATGCTTCCTGGCTGATGTTTTGGTCACTTTTGAATGTTGGCGGTGCTTTCACTCTAGTGGTAGCATGAGACGGAGTCTACAACCCACAAAAGTGGCTCAGGTAGTGCAGTTCATCCAGGATGGCACATCAATGTGAGCTGTGGCAAGAAGGTTTGCTGTGTCTGTCAGCGTAGTGTCCAGAGCATGGAGGCGCTACCAGGAGACAGGCCAGTACATCAGGAGACGTGGAGGAGGCCGTAGGAGGGCAACAACCCAGCAGCAGGATCGCTACCTCCGCCTTTGTGCAAGGAGGAACAGGAGGAGCACTGCCAGAGCCCTGCAAAATGACCTCCAGCAGGCCACAAATGTGCATGTGTCTGCTCAAACGGTCAGAAACAGACTCCATGAAGGTGGTATGAGGGCCCGACGTCCACAGGTGGGGGTTGTGCTTACAGCCCAACACCGTGCAGGACGTTTGGCATTTGCCAGAGAACACTAAGACTGGCAAATTTGCCACTGGCGCCTTGTGCTCTTCACAGATGAAAGCAGGTTCACACTGAGCATATGTGACAGACGTGACAGAGTCTGGAGACACCGTGGAGAACGTTCTACTGCCTGCAACATCCTCCAGCATGACCGGTTTGGCAGTGGGTCAGTAATGGTGTGGGGTGGCATTTCTTTGGGGGGCCGCACAGCCCTCCATGTGCTCGCCAGAGGTAGCCTGACTGCCATTAGGTACTGAGATGAGATCCTCAGACCCCTTGTGAGACCATATGCTGGTGCGGCTGGCCCTGGGTTCCTCCTAATGCAAGGCAATGCTAGACCTCATGTAGCTGGAGTCTGTCAGCAGTTCCTGCAAGACGAAGGCATTGATGCTATGGACTGGCCCGCCCGTTCCCCAGACCTGAATCCAATTGAGCACATCTGGGACATCATGTCTCGCTCCATCCACCAACGTCATGTTGCACCACAGACTGTCCAGGAGTTGGCAGGTGCTTTAGTCCAGGTCTGGGAGGAGATCCCTCAGGAGACCATCTGCCACCTCATCAGGAGCATGCACAGGCATTGTAGGGAGGTCATACAGGCACGTGGAGGCCACACACACTACTGAGCCTCATTTTGAATTGTTTTAAGGACATTACATCAAAGTTGGATCAGCCTGTAGTGTGTTTTTCCACTTTAATTTTGAGTGTGACTCCAAATCCAGACCTCCATGGGTTGAAAAATTTGATTTCCATTTTTTAATTTTTGTGTGATTTTGTTGTCAGCACATTCAACTATGTAAAGAACGAAGTATTTCAGAAAAATATTTAATTCATTCAGATCTAGGATGTGTTATTTTTGTGTTCCCTTTATTTTTTTGAGCAGTGTATTTATTTTTGCGTGTTTTTGAAACACCAAACCCTAATGCTAACCTCAGGGATCTCATGCTCCCCCCTGCAAGCTTGGAATCCTCTAGAATTCCAAACTAATAACCACAGCTTAGCACAATCGCCCAGTCACTGTGATTTAAAGGGCTATGTGCAACGATGAATACAGCTCATCTGTAGGTTTGGGTACAACTGATATAGAGGACCCTCAGGTATGTAATAATAACTTGAGCTCAATGGCTCCAGTATGGGTCTAGCTCTGCTGGTACCTTAAAAGCATGATGGCCTTCCATGGGCATTAAAGCTCTGAAATGCAGGAGAGCATAGGCTGCCATATGACCCTTAAAGCGGAGCGGTCACCGTCTGGGGACTTTGCATAATTTGGTAATTAAGCAAGATTTACTTACCAGAACATGTCCCTCACGGGCACCACCATCCCCATCTGACCTGTCTTTTACTCATGGAAAATCTGAAAGATAAAGGGTTATAGGTCGCACCAAAAAAACATATGCAGAAAACATATAGCAAATAATAGAATCATAAATCAAAATTGAAATATCATCATGAGAAACTGCTAAAGATGTAGGAGCAGTGTAATATGTACTTACATATATCAGTACATTAGAACAGAAATAAGTCCTAGAGAACTCCAGTTGATAAAACACGTTTTGGCTATTTTATAATTTTATATATGTATTAATAAAAGATTATTGGCTAGTATATATTTTTTTCTCTCTTGCCATATACCTTTTATTTTAGTTTTTATCTTGTTTTATTTTATTTTTGGACCTGGTTATATCTATATACATCACTACCCATTTGCTCAAGAATCCTAGGTGGGGATTATACCACCTGCGCCAAAAAAGTGAGCAGTATATCCTGCTCACCTAAATGTGAGTATTCAATATATAATTTTATTTCACGTATAACTTAACACTTATACAGTGAGCACTATTTTGTGTTACCTTTTTTTCTCTCGAGGATTTCCTTCACCTACATATGTCTACACCCCATCAGTGGGGGACTAATACCACTGAGTGCGAACCATACCTGAGCTAGTTCAAGCTCCACAATAGGTGAGTGCGATACCCTTTTGTTTTGACTCTTCATAAAGAAGCTCAAGTTACAGTCTACACTATTGGAATTTCCGTTTGTTCTATTTTCATATTTTCATCCGGGAACAAGAAACATCGATTATTCCTCTACCTCTGTTTGGATTATTACCACTCTTCAGTTTTTCAAGTGGATTTGACCATTTTCTGCTTACTCTAGGACTTATTTCTGTTCTAATGTACTGATATATGTAAGTACATATTACACTGCTCCTACATCTTTAGCAGTTTCTCATGATGATATTTCAATTTTGTTTTATGATTCTATTATTTGCTATATGTTTTCTGCATATGTTTTTTTGGCGCGACCTATAACCCTTTATCTTTCAGATTTTCCCCTTTTTGACGTACTGTGAGAGAACGTCTTAATTTTAGGTTGCGGCCTATACTAATATATACTTTCCACTATTCTATTGAGACACTAAGCGTTGAATCCACTACCATTTACACATTTCTACTCGTGGCACTTCAGCTGCCAGAAGCCAAAGTCACTGCTATACTCTCCCGTATGTGCAACAGTAGAGCAGTGAGGTTTATGGAGGATCCCACGAGACCCTCCGTAGAAAAACCTAATTTCTTTGCTGGGGGCTTGACACGGCTCTGCCCATTGTCAAGCATTGCCAGGCATTGGAAAATAATGAGACAAAGTAGTCTATACTACTAGATACAGTGTATCTTTTGACTAAGTTGGAATTTCAGTGAAATTCCAACACAGTCAATATGAGTATTTCACAAAGATCCTATCTCCATGAATGACTTATTTTGTGAGGAGGGAGTAGAGGTGACAGTGCCACGTTAAGGGGTTAATGAAATTCCCTTAAATGTGTGAATTTAACGGAATTCAAGCTTCATTTCAAAATAGCTAAGGGGGGATGTGGGGGGGGGAATCAACTTTGTTTACAGATCAGCTATTTTGGCCTAAACTTTACATTTACTCAAGTGTGAATTGTCAGTAAATGTGACAAACGCTCCTTCCCACGTACATTTGTCATGGATTCCTGGAGGAGTATAGAAGATGGCCTCCTGCCCACCGACTATGGTCCAGGTCTGGGACACCGTTTGGGAGTTACCCTCCCCAGCCGCCATTAGTAGCTTTCCCCGGGTGCCTGAGACTAAGGGGAACAAACGGTACCTAAGAGCCAGGCCGGAGCTCCCAAAAAGTTTACCCGGCAAAAGCACCAAACGCCCTGGAACTATTTTAGGCATAGGACCATGGGTGCAGCCAAGCAGAACTTTAACACGGTGGCGTTTTCCCTACACTGCATGGATCTGAGAGCTATTTGGAGAACTTGGGCGCTCAGATCAGGGCTATTTAACAATGTATTGTTTGTGGGGTCTCCTTGTTCGCAAATCATGTTTAGGCTTGATTAGAAGATTGTGCTTGTCCCATTCTAAATATGATAAAACCTAGGCTTGAGTATTAATCTGTTGGTAGGTATTATTGTCTCTTTTGGATATGTTATTGAAACAAGGCTTGTTCATATCAAAGGACTCCTTATCTAAGAGGGAATCAAGACATATGACAAATGAGGGAGTTAGTTTATACTGAAACCAGACTTCTAGGCCACTTATGTGTGACTTCTCACACCTTCCAGAGTAGCTCTGTTGGGGGCCCAGCTGCAAAAAGGAATTTAGGTTGTAAGGTCTGACCTTCCATACAATCAAATTAACCCCTTTTGAAATTGACAATACCACCTCTACCAGGCAGCAAGTTCATATATGTACTACACAAATTACATTAAATGGCAGTATTCTATAGTGCAACAATGAATTATGTACCCTTGCCATGACACCTCCCCCAGATGAGAAATGCAGTTGGAGTAGGCTCTCATTCATATTGCGTATTGGCACTAGTTCTTTTCTTGCCTTCCCACCCACTGCGCTCATGTAGTAGCTCTAAGGGAAAGAAACCAATGAAGGGATCTGAGTGATATTTCGGCAAAGTGTGCGCTCAGATCCAAGCTATTCGGTGATATTACCTGCATGGGATTCCGAGGTTATTAAAATGTACTTTTGGGGTGTTTTAAAATTGTATGCTTTTCTGTACCTGGGAGATAATTGAGTTTGTACAGTTCCTGACTCAATTATCTCCCAGGCACAGGGGAGGAGTTTGTGTGTAATTGTATGGAGACCCCCTGCTGGGGGTCTGTGTATAACGTGACTGTACCATATCTAGTTATTGGGAGGGGAAGGGCTTTAATCACTGCACAGCACCTTGCTCCAGCTCTTGAAGGATTCGGCGGGGAAAGTCCTTTTAAGGGCTACAGCTCCCAGGACTGTGTGTCATCCAGTCCCTGTGAGGGAATAGTGTTAGTCCCCTATCCTGCTCCAGGACAGAAAGGCTTCAGGAGGACCCCAGTCAAGCCACGGCGACTGGGGCAGAAGCGCTGAGGTTTTCCCCTGTTCCAGTTAGGAAGCGGTCCTTGGTGGAGGTACCCAGCTGGGGTACAGGGAGCTCTGCCATAGTAAATAAAAGTGAATAAACTTTAAAAAGTCTCTCACTCGGTGGCTAACATTTAACCTCCCTTTCAAACTAAACTGTGTCAGCAGTGTCGTTGAAGGTAGGGAGTAGTGACCATTGCTGCCATCCTTGACATATGGGTTAAAAAGTCAGATGAGCTGCACAATAATGGGCAACATCTATCTGAAGTACTCATAGGTGTGCACACAGGGTGTGCCTGGGCACACCCTAATCCACACGGCATGCGTTATGTGCCTCCCTCCGTGGGCCGGTGAGGGATATCAAAGATCTCCCTCACCGGCCAACAGCAGCATGGAGGGAGGCAGGAGGGGACCCGGGGAGCTCTAGCCAGCAGCTCTGCCGGGTTCCTCTCGTGAGATCTGACAGTTGCTGCGGCAACGCCCAGATCTCGCGAAAGTGATGGAAGCAGCACGGTCCCCCCTCCCTATAAAAAGGTAAGAAGGGAGGGGGGATATTTACTAAATGCTCCCCCCAACTCCACCCCACACAGCTCCCACACACATACATCACCCCTTACACATACACGCATACATCACCCTTACACATACATACATACTAACAGCACCCTTACACACACACAGCACCCTCACACATACACACACACACATACTAACAGCACCCTCACACACACACACACTGCCCACACACACACCACCCTCACAAACAAACACAACCCTTACACACACACACACACACAACGTGCCTACACACACCCAACGCCCACAAACACAGCGCCTTCACACACAGCCTCAGCACCTACACACACTAGTGTGTGTATGTATATGTATGTGTGTGGTGTGTGTGTGTGTATATATATATATATATATATATATAATTAATATGCGGCATGTGTGTTTGTGCTTTAGGGTGCACACCCTTATGCAATGGGCTGCGCACGCCTATAGAAGTACTGTAATGAAAGAATCATGGGTGGTAACAGCACTAAAGACAATTGCATAACCAATATAGGTAGCTGAGGGCAGATCATGGTCTGCAGGACCGCAAGAAAATGAATACAGTATTCAAAACTCACCATGTCAACTCTACTAAAACATAGCATATAACCAAGGTTGAAAACTTGACGCACACAGGTTAATCTATTTGAAGGTGTCTGGGTGTAGTGTCCTTGTCCCCATGGCCCTGCAATGTAAAACTATATGTCTGTATTGTAGGGTTAATACTGCCTCTAGTTCCCAAAATGACATTGGCAGAGAAAGAGCCCAAACTAGCACCAAGGGACATCGGTACTGGATCAAGTAGGTAAGTGAAAAAGGATTTTTAAACCTTTATTTGTAGCCAGTCGGGGCCACATGGGAGGGGGTGGCAAAGGGTACTATAGTGTTAGGATTACACGTTTGTATTCCTAACACTATTAAGTTCCTTAAGCCCCAATACAGGCAAAAACTAAACTAGAGAGAGTCACCAGGTAGATAGTCACAGCTTATCTCATATATTGAAAACAGCAGCAAGTGCTACGGAATTTGTTGGCGCCATATAAATCCAATAATAATAATAATAATAATAATAATAATAAGGTTACTATGTAATTTAGAAATTAATCAGCTGTACATATGCTTTGTTGTCTGGTCAGTTGAAAGGAACCCTGTTTCCCAACGGCTGCTGTGTGGGTATGAAATTACCAAGTTAGCAGGGCAAGTTCTTTCAAAAGGTTAGTCAGAGTCATCACATGTAAGCTGGTAATACCAACCAGAATTTTAGTGCTCAGAAAGACAGGATTTACCATTGTTAAGATATACAGTCAGAACAACAGTTATCCAGAATTCCAAAACTCAAGCTAGACAAGAAAGCCACTACAGACCTAGCTCTAGTTGATACAATATCAGTTTCGGTCATTTTACTCGATGTAAAGGGAACAGCAATCATCATCACTCTGTGATGGTATTATCCCCACTTAATCTTTACTTTTTGTTTGGCATCTTATGGCACAATTTAAAATATAACACAACGGATTCTGTCATATACAGGGACAATGGCAGGATCAGAATAAAATCAAACCAGCAAAGGCAAAATATACAAGGACAACAACATTGAATAACATGACTCATACTTTACTTTAGTAAAAATTAACATGACACTACAAATTTAGGCTAATTTTGGTCCATCTAATTGCAATTTCCAAAATGGAGATCAGATACCTCCCTATATAAATTATTACTCTATATATTATAATACTCTTCTGTTGGATTTGACAACAAAAATTCATTAAATCCATATGGATCTTATGGTAAATAACTTATTTTGCTGCTATAAGAGAAGTCGGTTTCCTCAAGTTTCAATTAGGGACCCTGTGATCTTCCCGAAAAGCTCCTTTTAATGGTTAAATGGCCTCATTGCAGTTTGCATAGTGCAAGTTCATCTAATGAGATGGTTGTGCTTTCTGGAGATATTTCTCTGGCGCCCCCCAAAAAATTCACAAGGTAACAAACCCTGGAAAGCAGATTAAGAGACCAAAACCTGCCCAGGTTTGTCTTATCTAAACTGGAACTGTTGAAAAATATTGTATAGCCCAGGGGTAGTCAACCTTTTAATACCTTCCGCCCACTTTTGTATCTTTGTTGATGGTAAAATTTCCTTACCGCCCACCACTGCCGCAGTAACTAATTTTATAGTGCAAGTATGATTTTTTTTTTTTTTAGAAAGGAGAAATATGTACATAAATTTATCTATTTTTTCTATTTACTATTCCACTTTTTTCTATGTGTGTCTGTGGGTTGGGGTGGGGTGTGTGTGTGTTTGAGAGATGTAGTATGTGTGAGGGGGCGGTGTGTGAGTGAGGGTTGCAGTGTGTGTTTGTTAGGGTTGCTCTGTGTGTGTGTGTGTCAGGGGTGCAGTGTGAGAGGAGTGTAGTGTGTGTGTGTGTAAGGGGGCATTCTGTGTGAGAGGGGTGTAGTTTGGGATGGGGCAGTCTGTGTGTGTGTCTGTGTGTGAAGGGTGTAGTGTGTGTTTGTTTGTGAAGGGTGCATAGGGTCTATGCTGTGTGTAGGTGGGTGAGATGTGAAAATCTTCTTACCTATTACCAGCAAGGTGGGACATAATGCAAGTCCTGGTGATCCAGTGGTGGCATGTTCACTTTGGCCTGCTGCTCCTCTGGTTGTAGGCGGTCTTTCCTGTCCTTCTGCAAGCACCACACTGTATTGTAGCGTTGCCACGGTAACGCACGGCAACGATCTGACCAGGCTGCTCGTGGGAGGAACACAGAGGCTCCTAGACCCTTCCCTCCCTCTGCTGGAACTAAGTGCCAGCGGGCCAGTGTGGAACATTTTGATCTCATCACCAGCTCAAGAAGGCTTACAGCAAGACTGGCTCTGCATGGGCCGGCACTGGAGATGAATGGAACTAGGCCCACCGGGAGTTTTCTACAGAACCCACCACCGCCCACCTGAAATCTCAAACCGCCCACTAGTGGCCAGTAGGGACCAGGTTGACTAGCCATGGTATAGCCAATATCATACTGCATCGAAAACAAAAAAAATTTCTAGTGTAGACAAATGCAATTTTTCTTCACGTTTTAACTAAAACCTGAAAACAGAGAATATGAAAAATGAGGATGGACAAAAGCTTAGAGAAACTAAGTAGCTTGCCCTTCGGTAAATCCCTGTTCAGGTCTCAAAATAGTTTTTGCTCACTTGTGCCATTACAGAGAAAATCTTTTCCAAGGCATATCAGACTGATCCCACTCATAAGGGCAGTCCAAAAGGGAACTGCTGGCAAGTTCTCTGCACAAGAAATACAGCAACCTAGAACAATTGTTGTTTATTGCTCCCCCCCCCCAAGTTTAAAGTTTAATCAAGGCGTGGACCCCCTGCTAACGGTGCCTAGAGGGGTATTGACTATACCTCACTGACCAGGCCTAACAAGGCCGATACAATAGTCTGGGGTTGCTGTATCTTTCGTGCAGAGAAAGTAGGCCTGCATTTCGGTTCTGGACCGCCATTTTGGGTGGGATCAGTCTGATATGCAAATGGCCCTAGTTCTTTTTCGAATGGCACAAGATGAGTTAAAAGCAGTTTGAGACCTTGAAACCCTCACAGCCTTAGCTACGCTTCCCAATTTCATTAAGTACATTTTGTATTTTTACATTTTAAGCCATAGATGATTTTTTCCCAATTCAGCTATTTCGACCTAAAAGTCACTTTGTATTTCTGACAAATAACACCTTAGTGAATAAATTTATTTTTGTTCTAGTTTTTCCATTTGTGTTAGTGGTCAGCATATTGGATAGCAGCTGTCAAACTTAATTAATTGGTAGTGGTAACATGGAAGTGAAATATAGCAGAAGCAAAGCTTTACGTGCCAAAGTTTTTGTCAAAATGCTTGAAGATGAAGAAAAAAAAACAAACAACTTTGTGAATAAAATAAAACTGAGAAACTTCACCAAAAGTCATCTTGAACCATAATGACTACAAAAAACTCTAGGGTTTTGGTGCTTAAACAATACCTTCAAATGTTTAAATAAGTGAAAATATTTAACCCATTCTACCAGTAGATGGAGTATGTTCCACAAAAAGTTTTTCCTGAACAGAAAAAGAAACTAACTTTTGTCCCTTTATGTTACAACAATCTAGAAGATGTGTTGTGTGCGAGAGCAGTAATTTACACCAAAAAAAAAAAAAAATGCATTTTCATAAAAATTAATCTTTATGAAATGCTGATAAAGCCTGTGTTGGAATTTAAATGAGATTCCAACCCTGTCAAAAGATGCAAGACAAAGTAGGGGCTACTCTTTTGTATTTTTCCTATGCTTGAAAAAAAGCCAGAGCTACTGCTGTAAAGCTGTGTCAAGCCATTAGCTGTCACTAGTGACAGGTGATGGGAAAAAATGTTCTTTCTATTGAGGATCCTCGATAGATTTCAGTGTTGTAGTCTTACAGTAGTGATGTCAGCTTCTGGCAGATGAAGTGCCAGGAGATGGAGGACCTGATGAAAAAGGATGGGCAGTGGCAGCAAGGAAAAGGTTTGGTAAGTAAAAACTACCTTCCCATGCTTTTTCGGCCACCAGCATACAAGCAGAGCTGTCACCATCTGGGATCTTTGCAAAATATGTAAAGACCACAGGAGTGACAGAACCACTCTAAATTATATGTTTTTTATAAAACTGAATTTATCAAATTTTACAGGAAATAACAGACATATGCAAGTCAACTGGTTGAGTACACCACATATATAATATTCCAAAATAGAATGCAAAGTTAGATGGGACCAAATCATTAAGTGCTTAAAGACACATCTAAGAGAAGCAAAACAATTAAACAAAACATGCAAAACCATCACAGATGAAAGAATGAACATAAACCACTGCAAAACTGGACTCATCAGGCTATGTGACCCTGCTGGATTCTGCCCCACTTGTTGTTGCCACCCTGACGTTTCCCTTCACTGCGTTGTGCAGACTAGGGCAGCAAATTATTTAAAAGAATTTGAGATCCCAAATATGGAGGCATAAAGTAAAATGCCATCCATGCATGTTCCAAGGAACTTTACGTAGGAAAATGTCTTTGTAATATGACCCACTTTTGTGTTCAGTACAGTGGTTCTTGTATCGTCATTGGAATGCTGGTTGATTAATAGGTTTATGCTGGTTATGTGATCTACCTGAATCCTTGTTTGCGGATACCTGCTCATAGTTACACTATTACGCGTTATCTCTGTGTAAGATTGCAGAAGTGACCTGGTGTGTTGTTAAATTCCTGCTGGAGTGACTACCTCTTGGACCACTGATCCAACTAACTTTTTGTCACTTGGTCTTATCTTATGTCCATCTAGTCCCATAGCCAGTATTCACCATTGTCCCATAGCCAGAACATTATTGCCAAAAGCCCCAGTTTTCATTGAAGTTAGCGGTTTAGATAAAGCTAACACACAATGTCCTGCATTGGGTGATCAAATTTCTGGTCAAAATTTCACATTTCTGATACTTGCAAGATCTACAAACAGGACTGCATTTCCTATGTGAATGCCAATGTCATAACCTCAAGCAGGAGAGGGCAGCATTAGAGGAAATGAGGATTCACATAGTGCCATAGTTCACAAAGCACCCACCAGCTACAAACTCAGATTGGCTTTAATTCACTCTAGGCCAATGACACCTATATTGCTTTTTGTGGTTTTTGTGCTCTTTAATCCAATCATTAACAGCTAAATGGTTTCTAAGCTAACTGTTGTGAACAGAGAGCCATAGGGTAAGTTTTAGAATGCATCCATGCTAGGATTCTGTCTCCTTAGCAACTGCTGCTCCCCTCACTGTTATTGGTTCAAAAAAATGCAGTGGCTGTAGTGGTTATGATGCGTTGAGTAACCTGTTAATTTACATTACTTATCTGTCCCAAGCACCATTGACTAAAACTACATTCTCTTCAGCCACTTGAAACATTGTGATAAATATAAAGTTGATCCAGAGAATGTGCTTTGTGCTAAAATTGCTCTTAACGAACATCTAATCTTGCTTGCGGCCACATTTCCACTACCTGCTATGACTTTCAGATCCTGATATGATTTGTGAGTCAAGCCTTAAATTAAGAAACCTCTTGCAACTATATACCTGTAGAATCAATTCCTTTTCTGGAACTAGCATTGAGACATATACATTCAATGTATTTAAACACAAAATAAAGATTTAAAGGGATACTTTATGCATCAAAACAACTTTATCTTAATTAAATAGTTTTAGTGAATAAATCATGCACCTGCAGTCTCACTGCTCAATTATCTGCCATTTAGGAGTTAAATCACTTTTTTTTTTGTCCACACATTCCATGTCACACCTCCTCTGGCTATGACTCACACAGCCTGCATGAAAAAAATAGTTTAATTTTCAATCAGGTGTTAACTTGATTTATACGTTTATATCACCTGCCCTGTAAATTGAACTTTAATCACACACAGGAAACTCCTGTGGGGTGTAGGAGGCTATTAATAGAGGCAAGGAATGATAAATGAAACAGAATGTGCAATAAAGAAAGTTTAAAAATTAGAACTCTCTTTACAGGAAGTGTTTATTATGGCTGTGTAAATCACATGCATGGAGGAGTGACTAGTGCACTAGTGACTTGTGTTCTGACCAATCCTGTGACCACTATCATGGACCAATCATCATGAAAGTGCATTTTGATATTATCAACTAATCGATGTCAAGTTATTGCAGAATTAGACCAATTTTGAACTTTAAAAAGGATGGCTTTAAAAATCTTTCAATTGGGTTGTCTGTCAGTTTTTCATTGCCTGATGCTTGAACACTGACACCATGAACTATCATTGTGTTAAATGGTCCTCTTATCTTACTGATAAAAAATTAAGCTAGCTATTGACTCAAACAGCTGGTGGATATGAGAAATGATCTTTCAGTAGTTTTAACCACTGCAGATATATTCTGTCCAACATTTTAGTTATTTGATTTGTGGTTTCTTTTTTTCATAGTAGATGAAGCAAGGTAGTTTAGGGTAGTGCCAGTTTAGTCCTGTAAAGCAGCTTCTTTTTAACTATGTTTTGCAAGGACATCCAAATTTTAGAAAGATAAAAAAAAAATTTTTCTTTCTAGAATGCGCTAAAGGAAAATACATGCCAGTTCGAAATCAATGTTTTATAGAGTATAATAAGATATGTGGATTGATTAGAAAGGAAAAAAAACATTGATGATGACTAATGTACCAAGGCCCGAGATGCAGGAATTGCAGTAGAATACACAGGCGGGTACTGTCTGAAAAAACAAAAAAATACATGCCAGTTCATTATTTGCAACTACTCTTTAATCAGGGTTTAGTGAGGCATAATTTTCATTAGACAAGAAGTACAGTGAGTAAATGTGTTGTCAGGTTTTTGAGGATATGAATAGATAAAATGTAGCTGCATTTATAACAAAACAAAGCCAAAACTAAAAATAACCCTTATCCCATCCCACCCCAAATCCCTCTCCGAACTAGCTCTTGTGGTACAAAATACAGGTTGTGTGTTTATTTAATAGGCAGGTGACCTTTTTAAACTCTGTGTAGATGCCAATTTGTACGCTTGAACAATTTTAAGGTCATGCACATGCCCTCATACAATGAATTAGTATATGCTTGGCAGGTTTGCAAGAATTTCATTTTTGCGTGACATTAATTCTATCCAATTAACGTGCGTAGGGAGCGCGCTGTAGCTAATGAAGCCACCTCCCTGAAATGCATTTTTAAAAGTTGGGATGTCTGTAATCCATAAGGAAAGTGTGGGAAAGCTTGATTTTCAACAGAGGTTTAGTTGGAGCCTCAGTTTCGATCAACTTATCCAAGACCGTCCTCAAATCCACCCCCTCACAATGAACTAGAGGCAAGGGGCGACTCCTAATCTTAAAGCTGCACTGTCACTCCCATATTAAAAATTAGTATTTAATAAAGATATATTCTTTATGAAATACTAATTGTGACTGTGTTGGAATTTCACTGAAATTCCAATCCAGTCAATAGATATGCAAAGAATAGTGACTACTTTCTCTATGTATTTGTCCTCCGCCAAGATGGAGCCTATGTGTCAAGACCTGCAGCTGTCAGTAGTGAAGGCTGCAATGAATTGACTATGTCTATGGAGTATGGCGCGGTCCTGCGGGATCTACCATAGATGTCAATGCTGTACTCTCGTGAATGCGCGAGAGTAAAGCTGTTACGTCGGCTCCTGGCGCAGTTCAAAAGGATCAGCGCAACCAAGTTGGCTGCACCCATGAGGGATAGATACAGGCAAGTAATCTCTCTCTTACCTGCTCCCCGTGTCCACCGTAAAACCAGCGGAGATGTCACCATATGGGGACTTTGGAATTCGGCAAAGTCCCAAGACGGTAACAGTGCCACTTTAAGTCAAAAAGGGTGTTGAAAGAGTATGAGGTGAGAGTGGCCTCACCTCACACTCATAGCAAACAGCGATAGTAAAGCTCTGCATTTAACATCTTGCAGAAACTCCCACAACTCCCGGTACTGACTTAAAGGGACACTAAAGTCACCAGAACAACTACAGCTTTGGTCCTGATTGGCCAAAATGGCATTTGGCCCCACCCCCATGACAATTTGTCATTAGTTTGGATTTTAGATCTGAACAAAAAAGCGATTGAGGACGCACGGAGCATATCACAGATACTCAAAGAATTAACAAACTGGTGGGATAAAATCACATTCAATATAGGATTTAGAAATAAAATAATAGAAGTGCTTCCATTCTCTATGAAAACTTGGGGGATCAGGGAATTCAAAAATATAATGGTGGAGAACAAAATCAAACCCTTTTGGCAAATTATGGAGGAATTTAACATCTCCAGGAATTAAACCTTCAACTACCTGAGGACCAAGGGCTTCATTTCTGAATATTTATCCAAGAACAAGGAGGAGAAAAATCTAAAACTCAGACATCTTCTGGAACTAAAGAATTATAAAAATCTATTGGCAAAATGCACCAAAGTAATATATGGATAGAGGCATGATAAACCAATAGGATTGATTAATAAATGGGGAAAAAAACTACATGTTCCTATAGAAAAAGAAGAATGGATAGGTTCCCTAAATAAAGTAAACATGTACATTGCCTAAATCTCACAGAAACACAATTCAAACTCGCTAATAGATGGTATTTGACACCCAAGTGTCTAAATAGAATATTTCCAGAGACCTCAGACAGGTGTTGGAAATGCAACATTAATAAAGGTAATCTGACCCACAGCTGGTGGCATTGCGCTCCTATAAGTCAATATTGGAAGAATGTAATGAAGGTAATTTATCAAACAAGCGGAATGAAAATAGGATAAACCTGAAGTAGTTTTATTAAACCTAAAGTGGCCCAAAATGAAAAAAAAAAAGAACAAATGGTACAATACATATCATTACAGCAGCTAAACTCCTACTAGCACGTAATTGGAAAACAGTGACAATTCTACACATCCAATAATTAATTACTCAAGTTATATGGCAAGTGAAAATGGAAAGGGGTATACTAATGAACATAGGAAACAGATACACCCAGATAGAAGACTGGGACACATGGATAAATAAATTGGAATCCATAATTCAAGAACCGGCATAACGGTGTAGAAGTTCATATGGATCCCGAAGATTCCATGTAACGGGCAAATAATAAAGGGGGGAGGGAGAGGGGGAGTTGGGGTGGGAGGAACTAGAGCTAAAGCACACCACTTACTCTGTTTTCTCTCTTCTTATACCCATAAATCTATTAAACAAAGAAGAGAATATATCAATACAGAGATGAGGAAGGGGGTTGGTTAGGAGGGACCAAGGGAGTAGATTTTTATGATGACAAGAATGCCTAGGCTAGATACAAGAAGCACCAGGTAAAATACATAAGCCAGGTATACGTCTGAAATATAAAAAAAAAAAAGGATGTCACAAAGGGGGTGGAGCCAGCGGGTCAGGAATACATGTTTGTGTTCCTGATCCTATAGTGTTCCTTTAAGCTTGGAAGATGTTTCACCTCATTTATTCTTACATTGATACTATATTATCATGTGTTACTATAGAATTGTTACTAATTATACCTGTACTTATCCACTGTAATTTTCTGTGCATGCAGATTTCATTATTGTCATTTAATGTTTCTAAACAATATTTCATATACAGTTATTAATATTTTGGGCGATAGAATTTGGTTGCTAAACTTTTCAATTGTATACAACACATGGCTACTCTACCCCCTCCTTCCTAGGCTTCTCCTGGCTGTAAATACCTTCATATAACTATTCCATCTCCATTCTTCAGGCCTCACCTCACACTCATCGCAAACAGCGATAGTGAAGCTCTGCATTTTCCCCCCACCACTTCCCACCCAACTAGGTTCCCCCTAAATATATAGCATGCTCCTCCAGCTGTTAGAGATTCTCACTCAATTACCTCTTCATTCCCTTTATATTTTACCAATAGCTGCTTCTCTCAGTTAACTCTTTTAAGTATCACTTCCAATTTTCCCCTGCTACCTTTTGTCTCAAATCCCCACTGTATCCTTTAGATTGTATGCTCACGGGCTATCTAGCTAAGCACTTTGTATTAAAGAGCTTCAGTGGTTAGATATCAGCTTACAGGCAGGGCTCTCTCTACCTCTTGTATTTGTCTGTTTATATTGTACAGCGCTGCAAAATCTGTTGGAACTTTATAAATACTAGTAATAAATAAATAAATGAGAATATTGCCAGGCCAGCTTTAATTTAATTCTAACAGAATTCCAACCCTGAATGGTAGAATGCAAGAGAGGATTATTCTAAACCTATATTGGTAAGTAAAAGGTTGGTGTAGAAATTGAGAAAGTGCTCCATTCCCCGATCCTGGTCACGAACCGCTCCCCCTTGTTTAAACCCACTGGCAGGCAGTGGAGGCTTAATGAACAAGTACTGGGTGACCTGCTGGTTACTGCAGAGACGGCAGAAGTGCTGCGCCACTATTTTGACACTAACACCACCCCAGAGATATCTCCATTGACGAGATGGGATGCGCACAAATGTGTAGTCTGGGGCCATTTCTTCAAACTTTGCACCATGCGCAAAAGAACACCACAAACGGCTGGCGGAGCTCTACGCACGTACCGCGCAACTGGAACGGGAACATAGGGAGACACAGGCGGAAGACGCTTACCAGGCTTTAATGGAAGCACGTAGGGACCTCAAAAAGCTCCTTACACAACAATTAACTCATACACTACGTAAATCGCGCAGGTACCTTTATGAACACTCAAATAAATGTGGTCGCATGTTGGCCAAAATGCTACAAAAGAAGAGGAGGTTGTCACAGATCACTACACTTCGGACCCATGGAGGCGCCATGGGGCCCTTAAGGCCACTAAGCTCAACAGTGCACTGGGCCCGGATGGCCTCCCCACAAGGTACCTTAAGCATTTTAGGGATATCCTCATGCCCGAACTCTTAACAGGACTGAATTCTATTCTGGAGGGGGGGAGGTTCCCGGGGGACACCCTCATGGCGACAGTGGCGGTCATCCCAAAGGAAGAGAAGGACCCGGCCGCATGCACTAGCTATAGACCCATCTCCCTCCTTAACTCGGATCTCAAGCTTTTTACTAAAATCCTGGCCCTTCGGGTGGGCCGGGTGGCCGCCAGCCTGGTGCATCCGGACCAGACGGGCTTCATCCCGGGCCGGGAGGCCAAGGATAATACAGTCAGAGCCCTCAACATCATCCACGCCACCCGGAGTTCTGCCAGCGGTAGCCTCCTCCTCTCCACCGATGCCGAAAAGGCGTTTGACCGGGTGGACTGGCAATTCATGCGTGAAACCCTTCGGGCCATGGGGTTCGGCCCACACGTGCTGCTTTGGATTTTGGCCCTGTATACAGACCCGAGGGCCCGCTTGCGGATCAATGGCTCCCTGTCCCCGTACTTCGAGATTCGGAATGGCACGCGGCAGGGATGCCCCCTGTCCCCCCTCCTGTTCGCCCTGACGCTGGAGCCTTTCTTGGAGCCCATCAGGCAAGACGGGAGCATTGCGGGAGTCGAAATAGGAGACAGGACGCACAAGGTGGCAGCATATGCCGATGACCTACTCTTTTTTGTCGAGAACCCAATGGTCACCCTGCCGAACCTCCTTAGGGCCTTCCAGACGTACGGCACGCTGTCCAATTTGAAACTAAACACGGACAAATCCGAGGCGCTCCCGCTGCATCTGCCAACGGACCTGCTACCCCAGTTGCAAGCTAACTTCTCCTTCAAGTGGTGCCCGCACCGTATTAAATACCTGGGGATTTGGTTGACGAGGGACCTGAGTGCACTTTACCGTGATAATTTCCTGCCCCTACAAACTAGACTACGCTCCGACATGCTGAGATGGGGGGCGTCTTGCGTATCATGGTTCGGCAGAATTAATGCCATCAAAATGAACTTTTTACCGAGGCTCCTGTACCTTTTTCAGACTATTCCAGTCCGACTTCCCCAGGACTTCTTTAACACCATGAATACGGACATCAGAAGATTTGTGTGGAAAACGGGGACAGCGAGACTCAGGCGCACGCACCTGATCCAGCTGAAACACCTGGGCGGGGTGGGCCTCCCGGACCTGCAATCCTATTACTTCGCCACCCATCTCCTTCGCTTAGTGGATTGGCATGTCCCCCAGACGGATAAGCACTGGGTCCACCTGGAACGCACGCAGGCTGCGGGACGACTTCCGTGGGTGGTGTGGCTCCCCTGCCCCTTACAAACTAGGGATCTCCGGGAACATCCGCTGATCGGGGCGACATGGAGGGTATGGACAAACCTCCAGTTCAAATTGAGCCTCTCCACAAGCCCGTCCCCCTTGACGCCGGTAGTCTTTAATCCAGATATAGCTGGAGACCTGGCACCGAAAGACGTGGAAGGACTGGTAAATCCGGGCGAGAGACTGGTGCGTGAATGGTCGGGTCCGTCCTCTCGAGTCCCTGCAGTCACAAGCACAGATCACCGGGCTGCTACGGTTCCGATATCACCAGATCCGAAACTCATGCCGCACGCTACCTGGCTCCCAACTTATACACAGGGACCTGACATATTTTGAGTCACTGTGCGCAGAGAGGTCGCACCTGCCCCGGGGCGTCTCGGTCCTCTACGCCGCCTTGCTCACGGCCATGCGACTGCCACCGGCCCCTTACCAGTCGCAATGGGAGCAGGCGACGGGGAAGGACCTGTCAGACGCCGATTGGGAGAAGATCCATACTCTGGCACACCTGGGAACTGTTGACACCAAACTTAGGGAGCTTAACTACAAGCTCCTGACTGGATGGTACAGGACACCCGCTAGACTACACCACATGGGTCTCACGCCAACGGCCCAGTGCTGGAGATGTGGGTCGGCAGACGTCACGGACTTGCACATATGTTGGACATGTCCTCCTATAGCCACCTTCTGGCGACAAATTCATGGGAACCACTGCTACCCCTCCCGATGCTGCTCCATCACACTGACATGCAGATTGGCAGATACAAAAATCCTTAACGAAGCACTTCCTGAATGCGGCCAAAAGCCTAATTCCTACTAAATGGAAAACTCAATTAGTGCCAACGATCTCGGAATGGGAGGATAAGATAGAAGACATCTTTGTTATGGAAAGCCTAACGGCAGAATTACATGGCACTGGAGAGCAGTGTTCCCGACTATGGGGCCCCTGGATTACCTATAGAGCACGCCGATCCCTGGGTGCCGACCTGACCAATGCACGCCCTGAGGCGCAGGCCGCGGGCCGCGCGCTGTAGATTGGTGGTGGGTCCCCCTGCCCTTGACCAAGCCACGACGCTCTTCACCTCGTCCTCCCACCCTGTCCCCCCCCCGCTTGCTTCTCCTCACCTCTTCTCCCTCAGGCCCTTCCCTGCCCCTCAGAGCCTCTCACATGCACGGACGAGGCCCGAAGGGGGTGCCACGGGCCCGGGTGGCCAACTTGGCCTGTACCAGACGATTGCTTATGGACGGACTTTACCCAGCTCAGAACTGCGACACAAGACTGACAGACTCCCCTGCCCGCCACAGTCTCCATTAGGCAAAAGTGGGAACCACCTTCATCCTCCTAGACCCGTCCCCCACATAGTAGGGGGGGGGGCACTTCACTGACACGACCAGTGGATGACGGGAAGTGACTGGTGGGCGAGTCTATTGGGATTCATGACGGTTCCCCTAGTGATCATGTACGGTCGCAGTACGGTCGACACAGTATATACTCCCTGACGAGTAAAGACTAAGAGATTAGAGTTAAGGGCAGGGATAACCCCCGACTAATACTTCATGGGCGGTAGACAGGAAAGTAGCAAATAGGCCAAGGTCGGACAGGATAAAAACCGGAGCCTTTGTGTCGCCTCCACTACCCTAGGCCACACAATTGACACCTCTGCGGGTTGTGGCGCAAGACCAGCCGTGTTCTGATACCGGCTACCAGTGTAATATATGCATTTCCCTTGATAATAGCGGATTAACTGACCTAAACGCGCATTCCCGACGCCCGCTAGTAGCCCTAGGGTCTCCCTGCTTAATGTAATGCAATGTACAACTGTTGGTGGCGTACCACGGCATTATCTTCCCATTGTACTGCAGTGCTGAACTCTTGCTTACTACCTTGTATGTATTCGTTAAAACAAAAATAAAGATTGTCAAAAAAAAAAAAAGAAATTGAGAAAGTGCTATATCAGGGTATTGGTTTTGATCCAAAGTGGATGTGAAGTAGAGGTTCTTACTGGTGACTCAATCCAGTGCATGGCGGTACCTAGCTGCCAGTTTAATGTCCAAAATATTAGGGATGTATAAACCTAAATTGTAGTGTGGAACTGTTGAAAGTTCAGTTGCTTGTTTTTTTTTTTTTTTTTAGGAGTTCCAAAGAAATTTAGAAAATAAGAAATTTGGCGGTTGAAGGTCATTTGAAGATATTAGAACTAGAAGTGTTTGCAGAGGATTCACAGTTTTTTAAATTTTTTTTCCAATTCTTTATTTTTTGCTCAATAGACACAGCGAGTTTACATCAACTTTTGGGCTTACGCAGAAGCCAACTTGAAAATAATTTTTGGGAACATAGTGCGATTCAACAAATACAATATATGCCCATTCCTTAAAAAGCCGTTGGTACCTGCCGTCTACTGAGGGTTTTTATATAATTCCCTATTCTATTAAATTCTTTATTTTTCTTTGCTGAAATTCTTTATTTTCACAATAAACGTAACAGGTGTATATTCACTTTTGGGCTTATAAGGAAGCCGGTTGAATTACATAGCTTTATAAAGAAATACAATGCAACCTTATCATTGCAAGCGCTTTCCACTTTCTACCTTTGGGACCCGCAGTCCATTGAGGTATTTTATGTTTAAGTAAAAGACAGGCAGTTAAGTAGTTCAAGTAGCCTTCATGTTTGCTTATCAATCTAGTACTTAAGCTACATTATTCCTCCGACCGTGTGATCTTGCCTGGAAAAAGAAAACAAAAACAAAGAGAGAGAAGAAGAGAAAAGAGATGGGGTAGATAGAGCTTAGAGAGTTAGAAAAGGGAGAGGGAGGTTGAGGGGGGGAAGGCATCGCAGCCACTTTGTTGACAATCAAGTCACATTCAATAAGGGTGTTTATATCTTAGGCTTCTACCCAGATGTGGGAGGCCCTCAGTCTCTACTCGAGCCCACTATACTATTATCCCACGGTTCCCACGTTTTTTGGAATGTCGTGATGGTCCCTCTCACCCTTGCCGTTAGATCGTCCATAATTCTACATTCTTTGATTCTGGAAATAACCCATGTGAATTCTAGGCCCTCAGGTGTGAGCCACGCTGTCGCAATTGCTCGGCGTGCACACAAAGTAATCTTGTGTACTAATTTCTGTTCCCTTTTGGTCCACAGATCTATTCAACAAGTATATCCACGGATCCATTTTTAGGGGCCTATCGAACGTCTGTCTTAACAGATCCTCCACGGATCTCCAAGATCCCCGTGGCTTCAGGCATTCCCACCAAATGTTGATGTATGATCCTCGGGCTCCACATCCCCTTCAGCAATCGTCAGTCTCCCGTTTGTGCATTCTATGTAGTTTGATTGGGGTAGTCTACCACCTAAACATAGTTTTCCATGCCTGCTCCTGGAGGGTGACACATATTGAGACTTTAGCATTCGCCTCCCATATCTCCTGCCATTCGACTCCCTCCAGAGTCTCCCCGAGGTCGGTCTCCCATTGGTCAGTGTATGTCAATCTTCCCCATTCTTTTCACAAAGGTGTGCATATAATAGTGTGATCATCCCCTTGGGGGCTACCCCGTCCGAACATAACCTCTCGTAGAAGGTGGGTTTCCCTAAGGCTGCTGTTTTAATGTGTTGTTTTTTAGCGAAATCACGAATTTGAACGTACCTAAAGAAATCTGAGGGGGTTAGGTGATTACCTGATTGAAGATCTGCGAATTGTATAACCTCCCCATTGTGATAGAGTTGATGTAGCCGTTGTAGTCCTGTTCTTTCTATATTGCGAAAATCTCTGGGGGTCATGCCAGATGGGAATTCTCTGTTTCTAAGAATCGGGGTCAAGGGGGAGGGGGATGATGCCAGCCCGTATTTGGTGTTACATGTGTCCCATATTCGAATAGAGTTGAGTATCGCTGGGCATGTAATCCGTATCGCCGGTCTGTGTTCCTTGGGGACCCATATCGTAAACTGGGGAACGTTGACACCCACCATCATAGACTCAATTTCTACCCACCTTCTCTCATCCGGTGTGGAGTGCCACATGGCTATCTGCGTCAATTGAGCCGCTAGATAGAAGTAGAGATTTGGGAGGCCCAGGCCCCCTCTATCCTTACGTCTGTATAATATCTGTTTGGAGATTCTATGTCTCTTATTCTGCCAAACAAAGTCTCCTATAGATCTTTGCAGGGGGATCAGTTGCGTCTTTGTGACTCGGATGGGCAGCGCCTGAATGAGAAATAATATGCAAGGGAGGATGTTCATCTTTACTGAATTTATCCTGCCTATCCAGGAAATGGGTTTTTCTGTCCACTTGTCTAGGTCTCCCATCAACTCTCTGAGCATCGGGGCGTAGTTAGCCGGGTATAGACGCCCGGGGTCCGCTGTCAAATGGATCCCTAAGTACTTCAGTGAGTCTGTTTCCATTCAAATTTGGTAGGTCTCCTGTAATCTAGCTGTGTCAGCTTGCGTCAGGCAGATCGGGAGGGCGCTGGACTTCTGAATGTTCGCTTTATATCCTGATACTGTGCCGAATTCTGTTATCACTTCCTTTATTGCCGCCATTGATTCAAGAGGGGTCGTAATGGTCAAGAGGACGTCATCCGCATAGGCTGACACTTTAAACTCTTTGTCTCCCACCCTAACACCTGCAATGTTCGGATGCCGGCGTATCACTTGAAGCAAGGACTCAAGTGCTAGTACAAAAAGAAGGGGAGAGAGTGGGCAGCCCTGTCTTGTTCCATTGTATAGTTTGAAAGGATGCAGTGGGGCTCCTGATATCTGTACCTGTGCCCGTACGTTGTGATATATCGTTCTCATTATTGTTAGGAATTCCTCTGGGAAGCCCAAACTCTTTAAGACTGTAAATAGAAATTGCCACCGGACTCTATCAAAGGCTTTTTCTGCATCTATGGATACCACGAACATGGGGGTCTCTGAAGCCACTTGTTTCCAAATCAAGTATATGTTCCTTCTAGTATTTTCGAACAATTGTCGGCCTTGGATAAAACCTACCTGGTCTGCGTGAATAAGAGAGTGTAATAACGGATTCAGTCTGTCTGCTTGTATTTTTGCCAAGATCTTAAGATCGTGGTTGATCAATGATATGGGCCTGTAGTTTTCCGGGTATAGTGGATCGTTTCCAAGTTTGGGCAATAGTACTATGGTCGTCGGTGACATGTCATGGTCTAATTGTCCACCCTGCCGTAGGTTATCAAAAAGACGGACCAGTTGAGGGGTCAGCTCTTCTCCGAATATTTTGTAGTATGAGCCATCGAATCCGTCTGGTCCTGGTGCTTTATTGCCTTTCAGGCTCGAGATAGCTTTGTCTATTTCTTCTTCTGAAATATCTGCCGCTAGAGTGTTTGCTGCCTCCCCACTCAATTTGGTCAACCCTAGGTTGTCTAAATATTGCCTTATGTACTCCTCCTCACGCTCCCCAATGGCACAGTTTAAAAAAAAAAAAAAAGATACTTTTAAAGGAAAAAGGCCCTTTCTAATAAATTGAGCATTAATAAGCATGCCCAACTTTTTATTAGGTCGTCAATACAAGAGATGGTCACTAGTAATATTAATAGTGTAAAGGCAAGAGTTGACTGGGAAGAACTCCTAGGTATTTGATATGTCCCCTCTGCTATTGCAGTTTATTATATGCACCTACAGGTAAAGCAGGTGATTTTGAGAGATTAACATCAAAGCCATTAATATCTAAGAAGGAAGGGGTTGTTTCTTCTGGATTTGAGATTGTATAAAAGGATATCCTCCACAAATGCAGTCATTTTAAGTGTAAAATTGCCAATGGGGATGCCAGAGAAACAAAAGGAGGGTGTAACGTAGCCTGACAAGTGGCTCTAAAGACAAGTTAAAGTGGAGGAGGACAAATGACAGCCCGGACACACATATTTGGACATATACACCCTCTTTTTCCAATAAAAGGGAGTCCAAGAGTTCTTTAGTAGTTAGGTATTGACATTTTGACCCTTCGCTTTGTCTTATATGCATTTTTATTTCGTTTGCAAAGTTTGTTTTTAACATTTTGATACAGATGAGATAATATGGCTTCTCTTAACCATCTTCGATGTTTGTCAGAAGAGCACCAGGTTATTCAAGTGATCAAAGTTATTCATCAATTGGCCAATGCAGTCTCTAACATCAAAACAAAAGAGTCATTCATGAATAAATATGCATGAGATTGCCAATGCCTGAACCTGGCCAAAAGGAGGTACCAAAGCTAAAGAAAGAGTTATGGTCAGAGATGATAATATTATGGATGTCGCTAGACCTAACTTCTGATCAGTGAGGTGGAGAAAAGATGGAAGTAGCCTAATATAGTAGTGGAGTTATGAGCGCAGAAAACATGTGTAGTGTCTAGCTTTAGTATTAAATAGTCTTCAAACATCTTTCAGGTGGAGATGTTGGGACAACAGATGTAGAGGGTGTGTAGTTGTTTTACCAACTGAAGGAGAAGCCAGATTTATCAAATGCTATATTGAGAAGTTAGTTGGAGTCACCTATATAATATTGGCTGAAAGAGAAACCAAAATTTCCCATTATTTAGTGCAAGATAAAGCATAGACAATGACTAAAAGGTATTTCTTCCCTCCAGATCTACTACCAATATAATGTATCTCCCTTCTGGGTCAGTAAATTGTTTAACAATGCCAGCATTAAAAAAGGATTCTATTAATGAGTATGGACACCCTCTAGGAGTTTGATCTATACGAGGTGGTTACTCAATGACCAATCCATCTAACTTTAAAAAAACAAAAACATGTGGGTTAGTTGGTTTCCAGTAGGTTTCCTGGAGGAAAACCACATGAGGATCAAAGAGCATTTAAGATAATTTTCCTTTTAATAGGCAATTTTAAGCCCACCACTTTCCAAGAGACAAAATTGAGGGCATTTGACCGGTTGTTATCCAGGGCTATAAACGTAGAGGTAATGATTAAGGTCAAGTCTCCAACATTCGAAAAATAATTTTAGAAAAATCAGGACATTAAAGTCTTGATATGTTAAATCTGAAGATTTTCTGTGCACTCCTAATCGAGAAAATTTATGACAAAGATACCGTAATTTTCTCTTCCTGGCTAATCATGGCAGTATCATTCATGGGTATCTCCTTCCTTAGTTGTCACAGGACAGGAATAATTAGACTGATATGTATAAAGAGTCCCTCCTCCCCCTACACCTCAGTCCAATTATAAAGCTGAATAAAGAAAAAAGAATGGGCGAGAAAAAAGAATGTAGTGATTACCCTACATTGAAAGATTATAACCTTGAATATTCTGTTTCTGCAAGTATGCATCTAGTAGCTGTTTGATCATCTGTATGGACTCTGATAAAACCACTTCTTCTGGCAGAGAATTACGCATCCTTATTGTTCTTACAGTAAAAAAAAACCCAACATTTTCTTTGGCTTCTTTCTTCTTTCTTCCAGTCTAAATGCATGACCTTGTGTCCTATGTAAAGTTCGGTTTGTGAACAGATTTCCTCACAATGGTTTGTATTGGTTCCAAATATATTTGTTATAATGTTATCATATTCCCTCACAGGCGACGTTTTTCTAAACTAAAGAGATTTAAATTTGTTAACCTTTCTTCATAGTGGATATGTTCCATTCCTTTAATTAATTTTGTAGCCGACCTCTGCACTTTTTCTAGTGCCATAATATTCTTCTTTAGAACAGGTGCCCAAAATTGCACAGCATATTCAATATGGGGTCTTACCAGTGATTTATAAAGAGGCAAAATAATATTCTCATCCTCAAAATGAATGCCCTTTTTCATGCATGACAATACCTTACTGGCCTTAGCCACTGCTGATTGAGATTGCACATTGTTGCATTGTTTGTTGTCTATAACAATTCCCAAGTCATTTTCGTGTATTGTTATCCCTAATTTGCTTCCATTAAGGGTATACATTGCTTGTGCATTCTTTACACCGAAGTGCATAACTTTGCATTTTTCAACATTAAATTTCATCTGCCATTTGAGTGCCCAGTCCTCCAGTCTAAATCCCTCTGCAGCAAAGTAATATCTTACATTGTATTACTTTACAGAGTTTTGTGTCATCTGCAAACACTGAAACATGACTTTCAATGCTTTTTTCAAGATCATTTATAAACATTTTAAATAGAAGGGGTCCCAGAACAGAACTCTGAGGGACACCATTTGCCACCTCTGCCCAGCTTGAAAATTTACCATTAATGACAACTCTTTGTACTCTATCCTTAAGCCAATGTTCTACCCAAGAACAAGCATTTTCATCTAGACCGATCTTTTTGAGCTTGAACACTAATCTGTTGTGTGGAACTGTATCAAATGCCATGGAAAAATCCAAATAGATCACATCCACTGCAACACCCTGATCAATACTTCTACTTACTTCTTCGTAGAATGCACTCAAGTTAGTTTGACATGACCTGTGAGTCATAAAACCATGCTGATTTTTGCTGATAACCATGTTCTTCTCAAGGAATTCTTGAATATTATCCCTTAATAACCTTTCAAATATTTTACCAGCCACAGAAGTTAAGCTCAGTTAAGGTCTATTATTTCCAGGCAAGGATTTTGAACCCTTTTTGAATATAGGAACCACATCTGCCTTCCCTCAAACCGGAACATTTCCTGAAAGAAAAGAATCTTGAAATATTAAAAACAGAGGTTCACTTATTTCTACACTTAGTTCCTTAAATACTCGTGGATGAATACCGTCAGGCCCTGGAGCTTTGTTTATATTAACTTTCTTTAGTTGCTGCAGCACCTTATATTTTAATATCAGCGGGATAATGACACGGTAGACAAAACACTCTTCCCAAGGGCGGAAGAAGAAGGGGCCACGTCCAGTTTGTAATTGTAGCGGAGAGGTAGTATAATCCACAGTATCTCCGCTGGGTAACAGCAACAGCATAAAATAATCCAGCATACAATAATCCCCGTAGCGTTGTAAGAATCCTTCCCTCCCAAGAACTAGACGACACATAGGCTGGGAGTCAACTGAGGTTTTATTCACAGGTCACAGTATTTATGCAAGGGGTTTCCCTATTGACATTGCAGGGGTTATACAGTAGGGGACTACATGGGGGACTTAACAACCTGGACATTTTTCCCATCATGCACTGCTGGAAGAGAGGGATACTCCCACTAGAATATACAGTTAAGTGGACTATCCCTCCGTGCAGCAGAACCAATATTTCACATAAAAATCTATAACTTTCACATTATTCACTCTATTTAAACTAATGGATGTTAGTTGTTAGCTGGGGTCTGGGCGTACAGTTCGTGAGAATACCGATCAGATCCCAGCATAACTAACCGAACGCCGCGCGAAACACACATTATTTTCAAGTTACATCCAAAGTACCGATTGACATTAGGGGAACAAACAACTGAACGCCCGGGGCTCCCGAACGGCCTGGAAGTCCAGCGGTATTCGTGCCATCGAGTAGCCGATTTTAGTTCCAGGCACTCGACGACCAAATACCGCTGAGCTAACAAAGGATCCAAGATGGCCGACCGCCGCGTGGTCGGTAGCCGAACGATGGCCACCTAAGAAAGCACTTAACTACCGATTGCAACAATGTTGCAATCGGTTAATGGGCGCCACACGACCACCTATGTGTGGGCACCACCGCCCATTCGGTAGTTTATTTGTTTCACGAACAGTGTTGAAATTCACTGTTCGTTAAACTCCTGTATGAATGCTAGTTTTGCCACAGTAATGTTTTATGAACATCGTCGGGGAAGACCAAGTGGCTACTCTGCAAATATCATGGTATGGAATCTCTGCCCAGTTAGCCCATGAAGTAGACAATCCTCTGGTAGAATGTGTTCTCATCTTCATTGGAGGAGACCAACCATTTGAGATATAAACCATCTTGATTATCAGTGAAATCCAACATTTCAATGTGGATATAGATGCTGCTTCCCCCTTTCTAGCTCCAGAAGGTAGAATGAATAGTTGTTCATTCTTTCTGTACAACTCTGAACAGAAGAGGTATTGAGACAGTCAGTTCTTAACAACAAACGTTGCCACCTTACTTCTTCACTAGAAGCTGGATTAGGGTAGAATGATGGAAGAACCACTTCTTGTTAAATATGTAACTGAGAGACCACTTTAGGAAGAAACTCAGGATTTGGTCTTAGACATACCCTATCCTGATAGATCCGTAGCATGAGTTCATGGTAGAAAAGGCTTTAATCTCCGAAATCCTTCTCGCGGAAGTTATTGCTATTAAAAACAAAAAGTTTTGTAAGTTAGAAGAGTAGTGTCCAGATTTTCAAGGGGAACAAACATATCATCTGTCAGGTAGTTGAGGACAACCAGATCTGGAAGGAGGTCTTAACCTGAAAGCTGCCTTAAAGAATTTTGAGATCAAATGATCCGAGGCGCATGAGGTATTGCACAAAGCTGAAAGAGCAGAAGACTGAACTCTAAGAGTGCTGAGGCTAAGTTCCATGTCCATACCTTCTTGGAGGAAATCCAGGATCTGAGTATTGCGAGGATGCAAGAAGTCAGCATTGAACACTGCTTCCGAAAGGCCTAATTGTCGAAGTCTTTCCCTTTCAAAACCCACACCCCCAACTTGAGGTGTTCTAGATGAGGATGGGAGATTGGGCCCTGAGTCAGCAGATCCTTCGTTATCGTTAGAGGCAAAGTCCGTTCCTGACTCATCATGGTTAAGAGAGGAAACCATGGCCTTCGAGGGCAGATCGGGATTATGGCATTTACTTTTTTGCCTTACGTCCAAACCTTTCGCAGTAGTAATAGGCTTATTTGGCTACTTGCCAATGTTTTTTTTTTTTTATATAACTTCTAACATAAACATAATCTACAACCTGCAAGCTCATCCCGTCCTCCTTATTTATACCCTTTGTAAGATGCAGTAGGGGTGAGTTTCGTAATGGGATTTAGCTGTCCCCTTATGGTCCCTATGTTCTGCATCCCCATTTATTAGGATGAGCTCTAGTTTACTCAAACTAATTCGCTGTTTGGTAGGTATCATGGGTAGGGAACGCATACCCCAGATCGAACCACCAAGGAAGGGATAGAGCATCCTGGCCCATGGCCCGATTGTCTGGACGGAGAGAGTAGTAATTCTCTACCTGACAATTTTAGTAAGTAGCCATCAGGTCGATCTGGGGTATGCCCCACCGATGAGCAATCCATTAAAAGACTGCTGGATGAAGCCTCCATTCTCAACAAGAATTTCTGTTCTGCTGAGGAAGTCCGCAGTAACACTTTCTGAACCCGGAACATAGATTGCCTTCAGACCTTGGAGACTGTTCATGGCCACTTTCATCAAGGGAGCTAGTTCCTTCAACAGCAATCTGCTTCTTGTGCCTACTTGGTTGTTCACATACGAGGCTCAGTTGTCCGTTTTGATCAGGACCCAAGATTTTTCGATCAGCAGAAGGAATTCCAAGATGGCTCTGTAAATAGCTCTTAGTTCCCTTAAAATGTGAGTGTAGACAACTCTTTTCTCGGGTCCACTTCCTTTGTTTCCATGTGGAATTGAAGTGAGCACCCCATCCAAAAGAACTTGCATCTGTTGTAATAACGTTCCAAGGAGGTTCCTCGAACGGGAAACAGGTCGCCAAATTCTTTTTGCCCTTTCACCAGTTCAACCCTTTTCTTACCGGCAGGGGCAGAGTTATCCTTTGCTCCCAATCTGCTTCTACTCTGTCGAATTGAAGAAGGAAGCAGTTTTGAATAGGGCGAAACTTCCATTGGGCCCATTTCACCAGTCCGACAGATGATGTCAGAGAATCCAGGAGACTCATAACTTCTCTTGCTGAGGCCTTTTCGAGATATTGTAGTCTTCCGATTTTGTCTCGGATGTTTAGGGTTCTTCCTGAAGAGAGGAACACATGGGCTGAGATTGTCTCTATCACTGCTCCAAGGAATACAATTTTTTGAGAAGGAAGCAGGGAGCTCTTCTCAATGTTCAGAAGCCAATCGTGATCTCAAAGAATGCTCATCATCACTAGAGTACGATGAGCCACTATCCAGTGGGATGGACCTATCATGAGGATATCGTCCAAGTAATGGAAGATTTTGATTCCCCTTACTCTTATGAAGGCTATTAAAGTGACAAGAAGAACTTTTGAGAATGTTCTTGGTACCAAGCTAAGACCAAACTGAAGGCCGGAATTAAAAATGTCTTCCTAGAGCCCAGCATTTGAGACATTTTTACATGATCGCAGTTTATAGGGATTTGGTAGTAGGCGTCCTTCAAGTCTATAGAAGTCATCCAATCCCCCTCCCCCCCCCTTTTTAAATACTTTATTTTTTTCATCTTGACAAAAGTAGCAATGTAACGTAGGTATTACGGCTTATGCAAAAGCCTATTAAGTTACAAACATATTTGAACATAGTTATACAGATGCTAAGACAATGCATATCTAACGATTACAGTAGTAATAGGCTTATATGGCTACTTGCCAAGGTTTTTTTTTTATATAACTTATAACATAAACATAATCTACAACCTGCATGCTCATCCCGTCCTCCTTATCTATACCCTTTGTAAGATGCAGTAGGGGTGAGTTTCGTAATGGGATTTAGCTGTCCCCTTATGGTCCCTATGTTCTGCATCCCCATTCATTAGGATGAGCTCTAGTTTACTCAAACTAATTCGCTGTTTGGTAGGTAGTATTCCGCCCATCGTACCACAGTGGTCTGTGTACTACATTATGTAGCCTAAGCTAGCTTGTATTATTGTATGATGAAAGGAAGATCCTATAGTAGAAAGGAGTGTAGAAAAAGTAGGTAGAGTGAGAAGAGGGAAAATAATGAAGGGGGGAAAGGTGGTTAAGGTTATGCATCAGGTCAGCTCAGTATGACTCTGTGAGAGGGTCCTCTAGGGTATGTCCATTTCTTTTCGTGTTCCCAAGTAGCCCCTACTCTTGTCTCCGGGAACCCAAGATGTCCCTTAATCAGAGAGATCGCTATTCTGCCATGGGTCCCACAATTTGTCAAAACTAGACATGGTCCCTCTAAGTCAAGCTGTCCATGAGGTATACCTCTTTTATATTGGAAATGACCCTCTGGATTGGTGGCATTTTGGTTTGTAGCCATGCCTCTGCTATCGTTCTTCTTGCGGCTAAAGTAATCTTATGGATCAGTTTCTGCTCTCTCCTCGTCCAATCGTCTAAAGATCTATTAAGCAAGTATGTCCATGGATTTAGGTGTGGCGCCCTATGAAAGATTCTTTTGATCGGGTTATGTATTTTAACCCAAAACGATTGCGCTTGGGGACATTCCCACCACATGTGGATGTATGTACCTGTAACACCACATCCTCTTCAACAGGTGTTGGATGGTGTGTGATTCATGCTATGAAGTTTCACGGGTGTAGTTTACCACCTAAACATTGTTTTATAAGCCTGTTCTTGGTGGGTTACGCAAATGGATATTGAGGTGTTTGCTTCCCATATTTCTCTCACTCCCTCTAGTACTTCCCCCTAGGTCTCTTTCCCAGGCGTCCGTATATGCTAGGGTTCCCCAGTCCTCTGTTTCTGAACATATGTGTGTGTATAGGTTAGTTATAAAGCCTCGTTGTGCAGTTTCTTCGAGGCATATCCTCTCAAAGAAGGTCTGTGGTCTCCTAGCAGCCTGCTGCACTCGTGTTTGTTGTACATGGTCCCTAAGTTGCATGTATCTAAAGAAATCCGTTGGAGTTAAATGCGCTATTTGTTTTAGGTGGTCGAACAAGAATAGCTTAAAGTTCCGAATCAGACACCACTTTCCTTGGTGTTTTTGGAACCAAAAACACTGTGGAGTAAACTCCTTTGAACCTTTCCTCCTTCGGAACTTCATCTATAACCCCTTGTTCCTTAAGAGTAGAGATGCATTTCCTCATGGCTCTTCGTTTGATGCCCGACAATACCATGGACTTCCTGAAGAGAGCGGATTTCGGGTAAGAGGAGATTTCTACACTGTAACATTCTTTTATGATAGAATTGATCCAGACATCTGTGATATTTGAGGCCCACAAAGGGAGGAAGAACCTTAGCCTTCCTCCCACCATCCCCGAATGGGCCGGTAGACCTTCAGAAGTTCTTTCCGGAAGTTCTAGATCCTCTCCCTCTGGAAGCCTTATTGGATGATGAATGAGAGAAGCCTTTTTTGCAAGAGCAATTTCTAGAATACTCCCTTCCTAGTTTATAGCTTCTGCTGTCCCAAAAGGACCAATCCTTGAAGTGTTTAGTCTTCCTTCTTTCTTGTGGCAAAAAAAACCCCTTTTTTACCATCTGCAGCCTTTTGTATGGCGTCATCCAGAATCTTACCGAATAATAAATCCCCCTGAAATGGAAGGCCACACAAAGATGCCTTGGAGGCATAGTCGGCTCCCCATGAATGAAGCCATAGGGCCCAAATAGAGGCCACAGTTAAGGCCATACCTTTAGCAATCATACGAGTGATGGCTAAAGAGGCTTCCTAACAAAATTCTATAGCAAGGCTGATGTCCTTGAGACTTTCCAAGAGATGTTCCCTGTGGACTCCACGGCCAACATCCTCCTGCAGATTTGCGGGGCATACTCTTAAGGCCCTAGAGAGAGTGGTTAGTGCCACTGCAGTATGGAGGGTGGAGCCTAGGGCTAAGTAAGATTTTAGGAGATCCCCATCCATATGTTTTTCCATAGGTTCTCTAAGGTAAGTCATGGAGTAAATGGGGAACATAGTTTTCTTAGCCATATTAATCAAGGCAGCATCTATTTTAAGGATTGAGTTCCATACTGCGCTGTCATTGGCAGAGTAGGGATATATCCTCGTAAGCTTATTCTTTAATGTGGATTTTCTTTCAGGCTTGTTACATTCTAGAAGGATCGTGTCCCTAATTGAAGAATGCACCGGGAATGTTGACCTATTTCCTCACATTCATCTGAGACCTCCCACATATCAGGGCCTTTCTCAGAGCATGAAGACTGAGCTTCCGCCCTGCGTCTTTTACATAGACCACTTTTATCCGTGGTGGACTTAAAGCCCTCAGCAATGGCTTGGGAAATCCAGCGTTAAGGTCGTCCTGTTGGGAACTCCTATTGGAAGCATCCGCTATTTCCAATAAGCATTCTCTGCAGAGGTTCCTTCCCTGAGGTGCAGAGGACAAACAGTTCACGCATTTATTGGTTTTATCCCTTGATTTTTTAGGGGGTGAATCCAATTGTTTGCTGGGGCTGAAACAAAGCCATATATAAACATACAGGGAGTGCAGAATTATTAGGCAAATGAGTATTTTGACCACATCATCCTCTTTATGCATGTTGTCTTACTCCAATCTGTATAGGCTCGAAAGCCTACTACCAATTAAGCATATTAGGTGATGTGCATCTCTGTAATGAGAAGGGGTGTGGTCTAATGACATCAACACCCTATATCAGGTGTGCATAATTATTAGGCAACTTCCTTTCCTTTGGCAAAATGGGTCAAAAGAAGGACTTGACAGGCTCAGAAAAGTCAAAAATAGTGAGATATCTTGCAGAGGGATGCAGCACTCTTAAAATTGCAAAGCTTCTGAAGCGTGATCATCGAACAATCAAGCGTTTCATTCAAAATAGTCAACAGGGTCGCAAGAAGCGTGTGGAAAAACCAAGGCGCAAAATAACTGCCATGAACTGAGAAAAGTCAAGCGTGCAGCTGCCACGATGCCACTTGCCACCAGTTTGGCCATATTTCAGAGCTGCAACATCACTGGAGTGCCCAAAAGCACAAGGTGTGCAATACTCAGAGACATGGCCAAGGTAAGAAAGGCTGAAAGACGACCACCACTGAACAAGACACACAAGCTGAAACGTCAAGACTGGGCCAAGAAATATCTCAAGACTGATTTTTCTAAGGTTTTATGGACTGATGAAATGAGAGTGAGTCTTGATGGGCCAGATGGATGGGCCCGTGGCTGGATTGGTAAAGGGCAGAGAGCTCCAGTCCGACTCAGATGCCAGCAAGGTGGAGGTGGAGTACTGGTTTGGGCTGGTATCATCAAAGATGAGCTTGTGGGGCCTTTTCGGGTTGAGGATGGAGTCAAGCTCAACTCCCAGTCCTACTGCCAGTTCCTGGAAGACACCTTCTTCAAGCAGTGGTACAGGAAGAAGTCTGCATCCTTCAAGAAAAACATGATTTTCATGCAGGACAATGCTCCATCACACGCGTCCAAGTACTCCACAGCGTTGCTGGCAAGAAAGGGTATAAAAGAAGAAAATCTAATGACATGGCCTCCTTGTTCACCTGATCTGAACCCCATTGAGAACCTGTAGTCCATCATCAAATGTGAGATTTACAAGGAGGGAAAACAGTACACCTCTCTGAACAGTGTCTGGGAGGCTGTGGTTGCTGCTGCACGTAATGTTGATGGTGAACAGATCAAAACACTGACAGAATCCATGGATGGCAGGCTTTTGAGTGTCCTTGCAAAGAAAGGTGGCTATATTGGTCACTGATTTGTTTTGTTTTTGAATGTCAGAAATGTATATTTGTGAATGTTGAGATGTTATATTGGTTTCACTGGTAATAATAAATAATTGAAATGGGTATATATTTGTTTTTTGTTAAGTTGCCTAATAATTATGCACAGTAATAGTCACCTGCACACACAGATATCCCCCTAACATAGCTAAAACTAAAAACAAACTAAAAACTACTTCCAAAAATATTCAGCTTTGATATTAATGAGTTTTTTTGGTTCATTGAGAACATGGTTGTTGTTCAATAATAAAATTAATTCTCAAAAATACAACTTGCCTAATAATTCTGCACTCCCTGTATATTACAGGCTCAACCTGGCACTCTTTTAAACCCCCCCAGAATATTAAAAGTTATTGGCTAGAGAATCCATACTATAATGGAAATCAAAAGAAATGTCAAAAGACCCAAATCCACATCCCATCAAAATTCAGAAGCAAAACGGAATGTCAAGTAAAGTTTAAAAACCACAAGGAGAAAAGCCTACCTTCTGACAAAGACAATTCAAACAGCCAAAGGAAAAAACTCCAACTTCAACGCACCAAATCAAAGGACGTGAAGTAGTGCGCTCAAGATCGCTATCAGCAGATGTAGCATGCACACAGAGCCTCAGATCACTCTGATTTAAATAGTGTCGGGGAAGAACGGTAGTTCCACTCATTTGCAGAATGCTGGCATGCACGCTATGCATTCCAGGCGCTCGCGTTATACCCACACAACCCCTACGATGTCCCTTCTGTCCGCTGGAATGCACTACCTCATTCCAGCAATTGAATACGGAACGTCCCTACAATGGTTCCCTCCAACTGGAGGACCCCACACTAATATGGATCCCAATAAACTGCCACAAGGGGGAGGGGGGAGGGATTTAGGCTCCAATTTGTAGGGGTAATGCCAAAAAAAAGGAATTTTTTAAAGGAGGTCCAACCCCATGAAATACATTGTAGCTGTGTCACCCTCAGAACACAATATATAAATCCCACGCAGCAGTTCAGTACAGACACTGAACCTGACCCAGTTAGTCCGTTTACTGGGTCCTTCAAATAAGAGAGGCTGAAATTAATTCGGAACAAAACGACGACAAACAGGTGGCCAAAAACAATATGAAAAAAAAAAAGTGTTTTAAGTCCTGTAGAATCAGCTAAGGACAGGAACAAAGACTGAGGTGTAGGGGGAGGAGCTACCCATGAGTGATGCTGCCATGATTAGCCAGGAATATAGTTTTCTTGTCAATGAATTTAAAGGACCACTATAGGCACCCAGACCACTTTAGCTTAATGAGGTGGTCTGGGTGCCTGGTCCAACTAGGTTTAACCCTTTTTTCTATAAACATAGCAGGACACTATAGTGCCAGGAAAACGAGCATGTTTTCCTGGCACTATAGTGGTCCTTTAAGCAAATGAATAATGAAGAAAAAAAAGACAATGAGCCAGACCTCTGCAGAGTCTTCATCTGCAGGCAGCAGCAAGAAACCTAGGAAATAAATGTCTGGTCTATTCCTTATTAAGAAAATACCTGTATTATATTCTAAAGTTCAAATGAAGGGGAAAAACATAAATAAAAAAAAAGTCTGATACTTCAAAAATTTACTCAGACTGTCTACTGAAGCAGCACACTCACAAGTACAAGCAGCAGTATAGCCAGCAGCCACCCTGCAGCATATTCAGAGAAGAAAGATAACAGCAAGTACCAATAACCACAGCACACTGATAATGTAAGACTCCATCTACTTTCCCTCAGCTCACGACTAGTTTAATTGATGAACAATTGAACATTAAAAATTATTGTTTTCATTTTATATTTCTGATTTTTATTATGCAAACGTTCAAACAATTCTTATTTTATTTGGCTGCGAGTGTATATGTGCAACTGCATTGAATTTCTTTAAAGATGAAATGTTTATTCCTAATGGTATAGTATCTCATCATTTAGGTGACTTCCTCCCCCGCGAATGTTAAAAGTCAACTCACCATATTTCCCACGCCACTATTTCTACAGCTGGTCCCGCCTCCTTGGCTCAGATCAGTGGTGTATCCTGGTTTTGTGCTGCCCTAGGCAGGACAAAACTCAGGCACTCCCCAATCCCCCCCTCCAGCCCCCCCCCGCGCGATACCGCCACCCATCCCTTCCCCCCGCCCCGCCTTCTAAATACACACACACACACACACATACATTCATTCACTGACAGATACGCATACACTAGCTAACAGAAACACACACTCACTGACACACTCATAGACACACACACTCACACACTAACAGACACACACACACTCACTCACCACATTAACATTTTTTTTTTAACCCCGCCTCCTTACCTTTGGGAGTGCTGGGGGGTAAGGGGTTCTCTATCTCCCTGGTGGTCCAGTGGCTGCTGGGTGGTCGGGGGGCGCTGGGCGGGCGGCTGGCGAGGGAGCACTTCCTCTGAGCGGTCTGCTCAGTTCCCTCGCGCGCCGCAGAGTTAGGCTGGGAGCCGGGTTGATGACGTCATATTCCGGCTCCCAGCCTCACTCTACGGCGCGCGAGGGAGCTGAGCAGACGGCTCAGAGGAAGAGCTCCCTCGGCAGCCGCCCGCCGGACCATCATCCAGCGCCGTCCGCCCGCTCGGCATGTCTGTTAGCCGCAAGGCTAACAAGACATTTGCCCTGGGCATTTGGGGGGCGGCTTTTTTTGCCGCCGCCCAAGGCAAATGCCTTGTTTGCCTCGCAGCTAAAACGCCCCTGGCTGAGATCACGGAGATTGTTGATCCCAACTATTCCATAAGAAAACATTGGAAGGCTATTGTGCATGCACAGCAAATTGTCACACTGCGCTAATCCAATAATCCATGATTTCATGGAAGAGGCACCAGAAGGAAGTCGTTAAAACAGAGGGCACATGGCACCCAGACCACTTCACTGAGATGAAGTGGTCTGGGTGCCTGTAGCGTTCCTTTAATCCTGTTTTGCAAACAGTATTCATCCATTTCCATAAACATCAATGGTTGAACGAGATTTGTTTAACTAAAAATTTTAACAAATTTTGGTTAAACTAAATAGCTATGTGAATACATTTCTGGATGATCTGAAACAAAAATTGTAACAAAGAAATGAACAAAAATTATTTCTGTGGACATCTCTACTCCGGAACATAAATGCTTAAAGGGACACTCCAGACACCAAGACCATTTCTGCCCATTGGAGTGGTCTGGGTGCCAACTCCCACTACCCTTAACCCTGCAAGTGTAATTATTGCAGTTTTCATAAACTACAATAATTACCTTGCAAGGTTAACTCTAGTAGACAGCCACTAGAGGGCACAGGAAACCTGTGCTAGAGCGTCGCTGGAGGTCCTCACGCTGTGTGAGGACCTCCAGCGTCGCTCATTTCCCCATAGGAAAGCATTGAAATGCATTTTCAATGCTTTCCTATGGGGAGCGCTAATGCGCATGCGAGGCATTGCCAGTGGAAGGGGAAGGAGGAGAGGCGCGGAGGGAGAAGCAGCGACGTGGGACATCGTCGCTGCCTCAGGTAAGTTACTGAAGGGGTTTTCACCCCTTCAGCAACCGGGGCTGCGGGGTGGGAGGGAACCTGCAGTGCCAGGAAAACTGATTGTTTTCCTGGCACTGGAGTTTCCCTTTAAATACAGGGATTATATTAGGTGTAGAAAACATTACGGACTGACTGGTCATTGCTGACAGCAATACGGGTTCAAACAGAACTGTTGTTACACATTGATGTTACTAACATCATTAACATGCCAAAGATGCTCCTTTGGGATTGATATATAGGCACTGTACAGGCCAGTGGTGTAAATGCAATGTGCTGTTTTTTGACATAACTCACCATGCATCTGGAAGTCATATAGTTCACTGCTTGTTTTAATGTGCTGGTCTTTGAATAAAGTGGCTAATAATATTATTGTTATTTTTTTTTAAATGAACACTATAGCGTTAGGAACACAGATGTGACACAGAGGAGACATTTAAACCCTGCAACGGCTCTCTTCCTGTTTAATTGACACAGTGTGACAATTTGCCACACATGCTTACTAGCCTTCCAATGCTTCCCTATGGAAAATAATTGGATTGGTTTAGGACAGTCTTGATGATCTCACCCAAGAGCCAGAGCGTTTGCAGTGAGACCAGCTTGGCAAGGGAGTGAAGGTAGTAATACTCAATTTTTAAAGCCTCGCAGAGGGGTGGTGGACACAAACATACAGTTGTGCTCAAAAGTTTGCATACCTTTGGAGAGTTGGTAATATATGTACCATTTTTAAAGAAACATGAGTAAGCAGGCTAAACACACTTCTTTTAGTTCTTATGGGATTCATATTCATCTGTAGGTTATAACAGAACGGCACAATTGTAAAACAAAGCATGTCAACCCAGAACCTCACCTTTTTCAACTGTAACCAATGGAGGGTCAACTTGGCCTTGTGGTCATTGTACAGTGCTATGGAATTTGCTGGCGCTATATAAATAATAAAATAATAATTGTCATGCTGGAAAGTCCAAGAGCATCCCATGCGTTGCCTTTGTGGAGAAGAATGCAAATTGTCTGTCAGTATTTTCTGAAAACATGCTGCATTCATCTTGCCATCAATTTTCACAAGATTCCCTGTGCCTTTAGTGCTTCCACCTCGCATCAGTGGGCTACCACCATGCTTCACAGTGGGGATGGTATTCTTTCCACTATAGGCCCTGTTGAGCCCACTTCAAATATAGTGTTTATGGTTGTGACCATAAAGCTCTAGTTTGGTTTCATCACTACATATGTGCCAGAAGCATGTCAAGGTATTGTCGGCATATTGTAACCAGGCTTTTTTTTTTTTGGTGGCATTGGCACAGTAAATGCTTCTTTCTGGCAACTCGACCATGCAGCTCATTTTTGTTCAAGTATCATCGTATTGTGCTCCTTGAAACAACCATACAGTCTTTTTTCAGAGCAGCCTGTATTTCTCCTGAGGTTACCTGTGGAGTTTTCTTTGTATCCGGAACTATTCTTCTGGCAGTTGTGGCTGAAATCTTTCTGGGTCTACCTGACCTTGGCTTGGTATCAAGAGATTTTCCACTTCTTAATAAGGGATTGAACAGTACTGCCTGGCATTTTCAAGTCTTTGGATATCGGTTTTATATCCGTCTTCATAAAGTTCCATTACCTTGTTATGTAGTTCTTTTGACAGTTTTCTGCTCTCCATGGCTCAGTATCTAGTCTGCTCAGTGCATCCACGTGAGAGCTAACAAACTCAGTGACTATTTATGCACAGACACCAATAGCAATTTAAAAATGCCCAGGTGTGGAAAATTAACCTTAAATTGTCATTTAGCCTGTGTGCGCCACTTTGTGTGTCTGTAACAAGGGAAAACATTCAAAGGTATGTCAACTTTTGATCAGGGCCATTTGGGCTATTCCTGTTATCATTATGATTTAAAAAGGTACCAAAGAACTATGTGATAATAAATGGCTTCATATGATCACTATCCCTCATTAAAATATATTTTGTTTGCATGATCAGTCATATTTTCCAAAATCAATGCCAAAATTTCACAATTTCTGCCAGGGTATGCAAACATTTGAACTGTGGGTAGAGTAAAACTATACGATTAGCAATAACATGTTTGCTTTCCAAATACTATAGTGTGTACCTTTCCTTCTCTATCGCTAACCATTCCCAAAGGGCACATTTAACCTTCTCTGTTTCTTTCCATGCAAGAAGAAATATAGCTTCATGCTTGTTAGTAAAAAGAAAAGGTATTCTCCCATGTGGGTTTTTTTATAGAAAGTTACCTGCGCTCTCTCCTAAATCCCTATGTATATTTAGACAAATGGAGGTCATTTAGTTGCTCCAATGGCTATTGGAGGGAATGCTCGCCTGCCAATGTCAAGGCAGACCCCTAAAGCAGGTCCTACACTGATCCTTCACCTTGCTTCCTTGAGCTTCTGGCAAAGATATCTCTAATGAGACAGAGAGGGGTATTTTTTATATACACCCCTATATACTTATTAACCCTTAATAGGGAACACATGGGATGGGCGGCAGCATTGTAACAAGGCTGTGTGATACAAAGTAAACACAAAAAGATAAGTCCCGCGCTAACTCCCATCACTAGTGGGCCGGCAGCAATGACTACAGTACACATCAGCTCCAATATATAGTAAAACCAAAGAAAGAAAAAGTTACCTGCGTTCTCTCCTTAATGCCTATGTATATTTAGACAAATGGAGGTCATTTAGTTGCTCCAATGGCCATTGGAGGGCATGCCCGCCTGCCAACGTCAAGGCAGACCCCCCTAAAGTGTGTCCTACACTGACCCTTCAGCCTGCTTCCTTGAGCTTCTGGCAAAGATATCTCTTATGAGACAGAGACGGGTATTTTTTATATACACCCCTATATACTTATTAACCTTTAATAGGGAACACATGGGATGGGCGGCAGCATTGTAACAAGGCTGTGTGATACAAAGTAAATACAAATACAAAAAGATAAATCCTGCACTCACTCCCATCACTACTGGGCCGGCAGCAATGACTACACATCAACCCCAATATATAATAAAAACCAAAGAAATAATTTTTTTTTCTTTCTTTGGTTTTTAGGGGGGTCTGCCTTGACGTTGGCAGGCGGGCATTCCCTCCAATGGCCTTTGGAGCAACTAAATGACCTCCATTTGTCTAAATATACATAGGGATTAAGGAGACAGCGCAGGTAACTTTTTCTTTCTTTGGTTTTTACTATATATTGGGGCTGATGTGTACTGTAATCATCGCTGTCGGCCCAGTAGTGATGGGAGTGAGCGCAGGACTTATCTTTTTGTATTGGTAGGGATTTCAGCGGCTAAATCCTCTTTCTTTTGAGTGGGTGCAAGTGGCTATGCGGGCGCAAGATTTCAGTGACCGGCAGGAGGAAGGTGCTCCCTCCTGCCAGGCCACGTTCTGGACCCCCCCGGCATGGCGTGCAGCAGTGGTATGACGTCATATTCCGGCTCCCGGCATCAGTCCGGCTCCCGCGAGGGAGCAGAGCAGAGAGGTTAGAGCTCCCTCGCCCCCTCGGATTTTAACTCTGTCGCCCGCTGAAGTGAAGCCCCACTGGATCCAAGGGACAGACCCACACCATCTCTCTAGGTAGGGAGGCTGGGTGGACATTTAATATTAATAATTTGGGTGTATGTAAGTGTATGTGTGTGTCTGTGTCTGTAAGTGTATGTGTGTGTCTCTAAGTATATGTGTGTGTCTAAGTATATGTGTGTATGTGTGTGTCTGTAGGTATATGTGTTTGTAAGTGTTTGTGTGAGTGTGTGTCTGTAAGTGTGTTTGTCTGTGAGCAGAGTACTTGTAGAATAGAAGAAGGAGTAGAGTATTTGTAAAAAGGAGAAAGAAGGCGCAGAGTACTTGTAGAATAGGAGAAAGAAGGAGTAGAGTACTTGTAAAAAAGGAGAAAGAATGAAAATAAAAAGGAAAAGGAGAGAATTGTTGTTGGCTAATAATAGTAAGTGGGCTGCCTAGCTCAGCCTTCCTTCTGGGCATTGCTATAAGGAAGGTGAAAAAATAGAAAAAAGGAAGAAAAAAAAAAAAGGTGGGGAGGGGCATTGAGGAGGCAGAGGAGGGGAGCTGATGCACAGATAAATCATATTATGAGCAAACAGAGAAATCGTCTGAATATCACCGAAAGAGGAGACCTTCGTTTGTTCCTTACGAAAAACGAACCAGATATTAAATATTTAGTCTTGCAGCATCAACCTCAAGGATCTCATTAATCACTAGTAAAGGTAATTTCAATTTACTTTATTGTTTTCTCATTAAACTTTATAAATTTAAAAACATTATAAACATGCATAAAGTAGAAATAAAAAGATAAATGTACGTACATTTATTTTTTTTTTAAACGCCCTCCTTTCTAAAAAAATATTCTGCACTTGCGCGAAAACTGGTGGGCGGTAAGGACATTTTTCCATCAAGAAAGATGCATTAGTGGGCGGTAGGTAGAAAAAGGTTGACTACCACTGGTGTATACAAAAGTATATAAACATTTGTTAAAAAATATTTAATTCCAAAATCATAACCATTATGGGACTGGTCCTCCATATTATAATGCACTTCTCTTATAGTTAATCTAACAGATATCAGAACATACCATTGTGATTTCCTTTAATTTTACCACAAATGTATAAAAGAGGACCCTGATGTTCTGGAGAATAGTCAGCGTCCACAGTGTTCTTCCACACGTATCATGATAAACTATGCCTGTATGCAGTTCACTTTGTGAATGGACACATTGCGGTTATAAAACAAGGACTTAATCCAGACTATTGCAGTAAACTTCTAATTACAGAATCTTCCACAATATCACTGAATAATATATTCTAAAGAAGTTTGCTCAGTGAAATGAACTGGCTTAGTTGTAACAATAAAAAAAACAAAAAACTTTAGAATTCTTACACCAAACTTATTTTGGTACTATGCAGTGATTTGAGTAACTAGATGATGATATTGGATTCATTACTCCAGAAGAGTATATAATATTAACAAAGTATTTAACCAGGAAAGGTACATTTAGATTACTCTGGTTTTCAAGTATGTCCTGGGGATGCTACCTTAGCCCAACATCCAGGGGTTGTTGTTACGGTGACAAACTCCCCTTTTCAAGTCAGTTTGAAAGAGTTTCTGGAGGAGCCTGCCCACACTATGGACCCTGTAAATGAGATGTAAAAGTCTCAGTTCGGAACCGAACAGCCGCACAAACCAGAGACAACCCTGGAGCTTGTTAAGCCTAATTGCTACTTTGTTCATGGAACTATTTTCGGATACTGAAACTCCCGAACACCGCTGGACTTCCACCTGCATTCTGTTCTACAACCCTTAGAAAGACACTGTTCGGTGGAAACGTTCCCACAAAACCATCCCGGGTAAGATTATTGACTATGTTCGGTAGTTTGAAGACGACCGCCAGTCTAAATTATGACTTCCAGGAACACCCTTTTTGGATGGCCTTTGCATGGGAACCTGCATATAAGGCAGTTGTACTCGTCTGGTTACTGGGGTAAAAGGCTATTCTTTAATCACTGTTCCAACGGGGAAAGTGTCGTCCAGTGGGGGTGTCTAGAGCGGTTCCAGGACCCCAGTTCCGTCACAGGGAGCTCCGTCACAGTTACTATTACCCAATTTAATGGTACTAACTTTATCTACCTCAGAAGAATGAAGGATCTAAGACCAATACTGGTACACTTTCCAACATTAAAATTATGCTTAGCATTGCACATTTTGATCTTGGGCTGGTTTGTGAGAGCCAAAAGAAATCCTGCAACATGAAATTCAGATGAACATTTTTTTTTTTTTTTAATATTATATCCAGAGGCAGGTTAAAACAATGTTATAAGGGTTGTAAAGGGATATAATAGTTCACATAGTACAGCACTAGAAGATTCTATGAGCTTGTGTGCCCCAAACATTTGCAAAGTGAATTTCTCCAATTTACAATAATAGACCTTACAGTTGAATAGCTCAGATCTAATTAGGAAGAATGAATATAATTTGATGTGTTGACAAGGTGGCATTTTATGATGGAGCTACGTTGAAAGTTACTTAACTATGCATAGTATGATCAATCTATTAACCGTATGAAGACTGCATGTCTGTATATTTAATATTATACAACTCTTACCAATGGTTTGAACATACCTACTAAAATCAGGAGTGAAGAATCGGGACGGGGTGGGTGGGATCGTGAGGTCGCATCATCAAGTGACACAACTCATGTCACTAGCAACACCCATAATGGCCAGGCCCACCCACTGACAGGCCGTCTGGTTGGCTCCTCAGCCTTCAGGATCATGTTGAGGGCGCTGCTAAAGCACTCCCCTAGTGCCAGCTGCACAATGCAAGTACTACTAATGACGCATTCTCACTGTGCTGTCTAAAGACAGTTCCCTGATGTCACAAGATGCCAGATACCAGGGAACTGAAGTAAGATAGGACTCCGAAGGCCCTGAGATTGACTGAAATAACAAAATCCGCAAACTGAAAGAGTTGTCCACATATTTGTGGCCATGACGTATACACTTATGGAAATGAGATAATCTAGCGCATTGACTACTTAAATGGGCACTTATCTCCTACTAGCTTTGCTGTGTTACTGGACACTGTAGGTTAGAAAGGGAATTGTAAACAGGAAGCTTGGGTAAAGGAGGCTGGCTTAAAGGGACTCTCCAGTGCCAGGAAAACAAACCGTTTTCCTGGCACTGCAGATCCCCTCTCCCTCCCACCCCATATCCCAAGTTGCTGAAGGGGTTAAAACCCCTACAGCGACTTACCAGTATCCAGCACCGATGTCCCTCTGCGCTGGTTCAGGGTCCGCCCACGCTCCGGATGATGGCGGGGGAGACCTATTGCGCATGCGCGGTAGGCGGGGAGAGACCTAATGCACATGCACGGCACTAGACCTCTTCATAGGAAGGTACTGAAAAAGGCTTTCAATGCTTTCCTATGGGGATTTCAGTGACGTTGGCTGGAGGTCCTCACATAGCGTGAGGACGTCCAGCGACACTATAGCACACGAAATGTGTGCTATAAACCCGGAAGTGCCCTCTAGTGGCTGTCTAGTAGGCAGCCACTAGAGGAGGAGTTAACCCTGCAAGGTAAATATTGTTGCAGTTGCAGGGTTAAGGGTAGTGGGAGTTGGCACCCAGACCACTCCAATGGGTAGAAGTGGTCTGGGTGTCTGGAGTGTCCCTTTAAAGGGTCAGCCAAATGGATAGATCATGATCTCAATCCCGCAGTCTCACTGCTCAATTCTCTGTTTAGGAGTGAAATCAATATTTCTGTAGCCCTAGCCACTTTCACCATGGCTATTAATTTACACTTCCTAAAATATCAATTTCAATCTTATGTTCAGTGTAAGGATAGTGTTTCCTTTAGACTTTCAGAAGGAAAGTAAGATATGGGTTGAAGACAAAGATTAGCTGTCATTAACCCAAGTGCACTCCGGATGGCCAAAGAGACATTATAAGCACCACAACAGCACACTAGTTGTAGGGGCCAGGAGCCTCCAAATGTAATTAAACAGTAATATGTTAAACCAAATATGATTTTTTTTTTTACACATGCATTGCTGTGTCCTGAGTTCATGTGGTAAACGCGAGATAATACTTCTGCGATACAATTATTACTGGTGTCTCAAACTCCAAGCAGTCACAGCTTGCTTATTTAATGTTTGTCTATCCTTGGCAATTAGTATTTCGGTTAGATACAATACGATTTTACTGAACAGGCCCACTGGGTCAGTTTTGTCTTCTTCAAAGGGTAGCACTCAGCACCATAACAACCGCTTACCCTTTCAAAAAACACAGAATCCACAGCTACTTCCGGATCAGAGACAACGACTATCTCCCAGGAATTTCCTCTACTTCCGGTTGGCTTCCCTCCCAGCGTGCACTTTGACACCACTACGGCGAGCGGAAGGGCTCACTCTCCAGCGGCATAATAAAAAGGGGACCCCTTGTGGGCTGGGAAAGCATCGCGCGCTCTTGCTCTTTGCGCATGCGTAACGGCGAGCCGCCTCTCGCGCGTGCGCCATGAGTTCCTTGCCGCCTCGTTCCGCGCATGCGCGGGGCTCTGGATCTGGGAGGCTGCGGCTGACAAGGATCCCGGCAGCACCGGAGGGCGGAGACCGGCCCCGAGAGAACCGTGTGAGCACCAAGGGAATAGGGTAGGGTTGTTGGTGGAGGTGGTAGCAGGTTTCCTCGCTGTCAGTGTCTGGTCGGGCTGTGTTAGAGGCTCAGAGTGGAGCTGCTGGTTGCATGTCTAGCCCTGGGGCTAGTAGCCACACTGAATGGGCTACCTACCAGTACAGGCTCAGGTGGGCTATGCACACGTACAGACTCAGGGAGTGGCTGACCTCTGGCACTCACCATGCTGTGGACTACATCTCCCATGATTCCCAACTAGTTACTGGAAAGCCCACAGTCCTCCAGCTGTTGTGAAATCTGTTCCCCTTATGCACAGCCATGTTGGACGAGCCAGATAGAAATGTAATTCTGGTGGCCACATCCCTGACTCTAGAAAAGTGATGGCCTGTGACATGTAGATTCCATTAATTGATGGTGGATTCTTTTCATTATAGCATTTGAAGGCTACTTACTACATGGGATCAATGTTCATGTGTTGCCCAAAAGTAACATTGTTAGTGTGTGTGTGTGGGGGGGAAATGTGGTGGATTTAGCAACCATAAGCATAGTCTGCAACAGTCATGGTACCAAAGCTTGATTTTAAAGGGACACTCCCGGCACCAAAACAACTTCAGCCAAGTGAAGTTATTGGTGCCAGGAGACCCCAAGGGGCACTCTTATCTTAAGAATGAGAACGGTTTAACCCTTCAGCAGAGCTCTCAGCCCCTTGGAAATAAACGTATCTTTTCCAAGCCAGTTTTGTGAATGGAGAGTAGCAGATTAGTAAACTAGCCACTCTCAGCCAATCAGCTGCGCTACTGCCTGGTGGCACTCCCCAGATCCTGAAAGTTTAATTTCTGCTCTGGGGGGAGCTGAGATCCCACTGGAGGCAACTTTAAGGGTACCCTGGCAACATAACTGCATTTGTAAGTTGTTGTTTTGGTGCCCAGAGTGTCCTTTTTAAAAAAAAAAAAAAAAAAAAATTTATTAAAGCTTTTGTTATTTTGGTTAACTTTTACTGTCCTGTTTTTGTCTGTATTTGGAAGCATCTACTTTTTTTTTTTTCTATTAGTAGGCCTTGTAATGGGAATAATTTGGTATTTTAGCAGTTTGAATCAGAATTGGGTTCTTTATATGTATGTTAGTAGCAAAGGACAACTATATGACCTGGGTTTTTTTTTTTTTTTTTTTTTAAGCTGTCCATGCTCTTTAAGTTGAATATAGCATAATGAAGAATTTCCCATGCTTTGGAGAAATGAATTCGTGCTTTGTAAAATTTGTTCTACCTGAAAGCACCTATTGTAATACCTGACATCTCAGTGTAAAATGTCTGCATTCTGTGGAATATGTGTGATTCTATTTAAAAGGTCTCAGAACCTGGGGTAAGAAATCACATGAAATAACAAGTGTTGGCAAGACACCTGTACTCTGAAAAATTACAAATAAACTAACCCGAAGCTTGTCCTTGCTGTTCAGGTTTATTAAAAAGACCAGAATATGTGGCAAATACAGATCTACCAAAAAGTCCTTGCACCAGGTTGAAGGGGAGGAAAAAGGAAAGAATAAAATAGGAACCTTAAACACAATGCGTTTTGCATTCATACGTAGACACTTTATTTACACCGTTGATACTCATGACGAGAGCTCTTGAATCACACTGTCAAAATTAGTGTTATACTGCATACTCGGTGTATCAAGTGTAATTTGTTGTTGCAACTTTTCTCCAGGCTGCACTACTATCTACACCCACAAAAGTATCTACCTATGAGTGAGGCATCTGGTGATTAGCTAAACTGTGTGTGTTTTATGGTTGACGGTTCCCATTTGTGTTTAAAAGATATTGCACATGAATGTGACATCATTCATACTAATGCATATTGTATTACACTTTACACAGAGCGTTCTGTGGACCAGTATTGCATGAATCTACTGGGGTGACCTCATGGGTAGTGATGAAGCATATTAACCCTTGGGACATGCTAACGGTGGTGGGGTTGAGTCTTTAAGTGAAGTAAGAAACAGTGACACCCTATTCAAATACTGCTCTCATTAAAGATCATGTTTGAGCAGAAAATCGTATGTTGTCATATTTTGACTACAATTTAACAACTTTGTACAGTCATGAATCATTCTGAGTTAAATTCTTTATTGTCTTGAATTACATATTTATTATGGTGGTCATCTTTTGAGTTTTTCAGAGGGCACTTGTTTAGCTGACAGAGGAACCTGTAGTGCAGCGCTAAAAGACTTAATTGAATGCATAATATTCTGTTGGAGTGGCCTAAACACTCAAAGGGACTGGTGGGATTGACTCTTCTGTTATAATACATTATGAAAATTTCCAAAATTGAATTTGTAATGCATTTAATCTAAAAAACACACCTGTACTTTAAAATTCTGCTTCAAATCTGTTCTGTAGCTTCCTCCGGGTCCAGGAAGTAAAAGGGAAATCTGCCAATCCTTGTTTCCGTTAAATTGTAAATGTCCCAGTAATTCATGCCAAGCAGCAATTTATGGGGTATGTATTTCAACAGTGGTAATTGTTTTTATTTGAGGTAAAAACTAACCAATTGACTGGGGCTAATTGCAATTAAATTGCTTAATGGGAAACTGTATTTTTAGTGCCATCTGCCCCCACTCTCTCGCCCCTGCCCCATATTTTGGGGCAGTTACCTCAATGCTTTCCTATGGAGATTTTTTTTTTTTTTTAACCCTTTAATGTAAACATTGAGTTTCTTAAAACTGCTATTTTTTTGTTGTTGTTGCAGGGTTAATATTACATGTGCACTGCACCCAAACCACTTCAAATGGTTCACTTCAGTGGTCTGCGTGCCTATAGTGTCCCTTTAATTCCTGTGCAGCAAATCACAACAAGAGCTGCAGTTCTACAGGCTTTTACAGAACGCTACAAGACAACCTGTTTAAGTTTTGTAGTTAAGAGGAAGCATATCTTGTATAAGAGTATCGTACACCTATACAAGCTCTGCTTTTTGGCACTATCTTGAATCCTTGCTGTTGTAATGAATTTTATGAAGGGGACATGGGTGTGCACTTTGCACTACGTAGTGTGAAAGTAGATATTAGGTATTGAATTATTTTTGTTCCAATTACTCTGAGAAACAAGTTATCATTGCACTTTAAAGCTCTACACTACTGACCATGCCTTTAAATTTACCTGCTACTGCAAGTCATAGCATTACCCACCAGTGGTGAAGTTCTACTCTTCAGGGCTAAACTGTCACTAACCAATGGAAATTTTGAACACTGACGTTATAGTACACGTTATTTTGAGTGCAATTAGAATTTCTCATTTAAGTGATGCTGGTGAACTCTCTCCTCACCTCCCTCCTGCTGTTATCAGTTCAATGAATGAACCTGGTACATGCACAGTTTAGCCATTAGTATGTAATGTTATCTCGCTTCTTAGAAAACCCCAGCAGCCTTCTGCTGGACAAGCTCTAAAATTCTTTGTTACTCTGACTGTGCCTAAATCAAGAAATACACATGGTGTGATACTTATTCATGCCAATATTCTATTTACTTTATCCCCTATATTTAGCAAATATGTCTTTGTTAGGGTTGAAAATAAAATTGAATGTAGAAATGTGTCTCCATCTCGGCTAGCGGTCAATCATTCAAATCTTTTTTTTTTTTTTTTTTTATTCAATTGTGTAATTTCCACTTTACCTATTTTAATATTGTCTGGGGAAGAATGATTCATCGTTCCATTTAGATCTGCACTCTTAGTTTGCTGTGCATTCACATCAAGAAGTAATGATAAAGGGAAAAATTGGTGGCACATGGAAATGCCATAGGCTTCTGGTTCCATTTGTCCATTTAAACACCTGTGCGTTTACGTAATCCTATTGATATAAAGCAGGGCTCGACAAATCCCAGCTTGCCATGGCGACTAGAAATTTTGCCCTCGTGTCTGGGTTGTCAGCCCTTTGAGCCGGCCGCGGTGGATTTGGAGCCGGCTGCTCGTGGCGGCATTGTAGGTGCCGCCGCAAAGGAGCAGTAATCTACCTGCAGCTCCCCTCTGCTCCTTCGCTCACTTTTTAATGATGCCGGGAGTTGGAATATGACATCGCCCCAGCATCCCTGCAGAGAGGAGCTACAGGTAGATTACTGCTCCCTTGCACGCAGGAAGAGAGAGCGGCCCCCTGATCCCCAGGGAAAGATCCACTTAGCTCTCCCAAAGGTAGGGAGGCTGAATGAATTTCAATTAAAATGAAATTCTCAATGTGTGTCAGTTTAGGCACCTTTCCCCCTCCAATCGTACAAGAGGTGTTTTTACTCTACTTTTTTCCCACACCGTGCCCATTTCGCCATGGATGAAATCGGTCTTTATGATTTTTAGCCAAAGGAGGATATTGCGCATGTGCAGCAAAACAATGTACCAATCCGCATCTCTTCATAGATGCATTAAATCTGTTTCTATCTTTGTATGGAGGTGCTGAATGTAGATGTTGTACGCAGCACTGACCAAGGACTCTCTAGTGGACATCTGAGTTACTGTTACTAGGCAGCAATGTAAACACTACATTTTCTCTGAAGTGTTGCTGGTGTCTAGTGTCCCTTAAGAATTGCATTTTGTTTGTTTAAATTAAACTTAAAATTGTTTTAAAAAAACAAAAGTCTTGTAATTTTTTTTAGCTGGCTCCTAGATTCTAAACAAATCTGTCAAGACCTGATCTTGAAGTATATCCAGATTACCTCTGCTGCAAAAGGTGCTGATGATATTTTCAAATGCTA